TTCCATTTCATTGCCTTAACTGATGGAATTTAAACCCGCTGCAAGGATAATCTGTGGATGACACACCTATAACAGCCGTCTCCCTCCCTAAGTCTCTTTCTGACAAGGTGTCACTTCTTCTGCTTGAACCCTCAGTCTCAGTCTGACATCAGCCCTCCCTCTCTGCACAGCTTCCGTGCATCTTGTGATGTATTTTCATTTGTCTTGGTGTACACACGTTTGCTTGGGTGCATCAAGGTTGTGCTTATTTATCTTCTCTCATGTGCGAGAGAGCTCTGACTCACAGGCAACTCTTCTAAAAGCAGCCTCCGCTACCTATATTAATGCAAATATGGACAGCCGAATGAGTCAAATTTGTCACTTCCTCCTCTAATTCAATTTTCTGTGTTGTCCCTTGAGGCTGCAGGGTTCAAATTAGCTCGAGTGCTTTACGCCTTCTGCTAGTCCTCTGGTCTCATCAATACACACACTGCATTCGCTTCAGTAATCACACTGATACAACCATATACAGGGTCTAATGCATCCATCATTCTTCTTGCTACGATGGGTCCCATCACATTCATATCCTCAAAAAAGAGGGGGAATAAAATCACCTCATGAATATGTATGAATGCAGGGGTGAAAGTCTTTGATGATCTCCATTGTCAGAATTTTATATATTTGTCCTTGCCTAATAGATGATCTTGCAGTGCCTCACTGAACAATAAAGAACTTTTTAGCTCGTCTGTTGTGCTAGGCCTGCACATGGTGCGACTTGGAAAGGTGGCAGAGTGAGTGATGTGGCAGTAAAGTGGGGGGTCTTACTCAGTGGAAAGTTGGTGGACATGTGGTGCAGTCTTCTTGTTAAAAAGTCGGTGGGTGATCGGGTACAATTCCATTGAGTCACATCCTGGTTGTAGTTTCTTTTGAGGACGTGGGGTAATAATTCATCTGATGTTGTGAGGGAAGTTTCTGTGACATCCTTTCAAGACATTTCACACCGGAGCGAAAATCTAAAGTAATTCTTTGAGGTCCTGTGTTATGCCTGAAGGAAGCTAGTGATCACCTGAACCTCTCATATTTATGTATATTAATAGAATTTTTAGCTTCTGTAAGAGAATCTCATAAGATTTAATGGTGACATTATTTGTAAGTCACTAATTTTTACTCCGATAATAAAGCATTTGCATTAAGCTGCTGGGAATGTAGCTCAGCCTGTACAATTTCACACCAACTCTTTTTTTCCCCAATTAAAGTCCTCTGACAAATGAGAAATAACACTGGAGCCAACACTGCTCTCGCTCTCTGGAGGTGGAGACCCTTGCTGGCTGCCAAAGGGCTCCAAGTTGACAGGGGTTTTGGTTTTGATTCTGTCTGATTTGCTTAGAAGTGCTGGTACCTTCAGTGGAACATCCAGTTGTTCCAAATGCCATATACTACAACTGCAACCCTTTTTTTATGCAGCTTTTCTCATCTTCACAGCAAATCACCAGATGAGAAAGGTCGTACTCAGCTCATTCAGTAATTCTAGCTTGTACAAATAAAAGTATTTTTTAAGAAACAAATTTCCAGGGTTAGAAATTTGGTTATTTTGCTGGTTATTTTATTGGTGGTTGTTTGTTTATATGAACACACTTGCCAAGCACATTCAGAGAGCTATATTTATGTGTATCTTTTTATATAAAATTTGAATCTGTATGTATTATGAAGATTTACAAAGAAACCTCCTGACAATAATCACCTTAAACTGAAACTGTACTCTACATCTGGCTTTAAAATAGCAGTTTTGCTTCACTCGCACTGCTTTCATAGTATTATATGTTTCATCAGGAGGAGGCTATATCTAGTGAAAAGCTCAGTTAACCAACTGTAGCAGCAATGTCAGTTAGTAACAAGCTGCTGAACACGGTAGCACTTAGCAGCTTAAGACCTAAATGGTTGTCTCAGCAGGATAAGGCAGAAACAAAAGCAGAGCAAAACGGGGATGAATATTGGATTCACATTCAAGTCAGCAGAAAAATCAATCCAAATGAATGATAATGTTAGACCTGGCTCATTGTGTTTAATTGATGTGTGTTGTAGTAAACCATAAACTGTACATTGGAGAGCAGTGGCAGTGAGTCAGTGTTGTGTTTGTATCCAGTTATTCTATCCTAAAATGAACACAACATCTGCTATTTTAGGTAAAAATTGCAAATGCAAGATGCCTGGTAGAGAAAAGCCATTTGCTTTATGACTTTTATGCGCACCAATCAGCTGTCACATTATGACCACTGACAGGTGAAGTGAAAAACATTGATGGTCTCATTACAATGGCACCTTGCAGTGTGTGGGACATATCTGGCAGAAAGTCAGCATCCTGTCCTGGAAGTGAATGTGTTGGAGGCTGGAAAATGGGCAAGTGTAAACATTTGATGGCCAAATTGTTATGGCTGGATCACAGCATCCTCACAGGTAAAGCTCTTGTGGTCATACCAAAAATGGAAAACAAAAAAAACAGGCTGGCAAAAAGGTAATGGGTAGTCAGAGAGATAATTTGGCTCAAGCTGATATTAATATATAAGTAATAATGCTGGTTCTGATTAAAAAGTGTCATGGTAGTCAGTATTTCACAGTTATTGTTTATTTCACACTAAGGCAGCAGCAGTGGGCATGTGAGCATCAGAGCTAGACCAGTGGAGCAGGTTTAATTAATCCTGTTTTCTTTCACATCATTTACCTGTCATACATGTGATCTAAACTGGGAAAACGTGAGGCCAAATGCAATGTTGGAAGAAGGCAAGTTGGAAGGAGCCGTGTGGTGCTTTGCAAAACACTCCTCATGGAAGCCTTATATCATGCTACTCGTGTGAGCGTTACTGTGACCCATAACAGACACCTCAGCAGTACTGTTGATAAATGACACTTTCTTTAAAAAAGCTGTAAACAGAATTTATTTGCCCGTGTTATCATACATAAAGGAGATGCATCCAATAGAAGACAGAGGCTGAACTAAAGTTAAGATTTGTGTTGAAAGAAGGAGAGTGACAGATGCACATACAGAAGCTGGTCATATGGGAGGTAAACTGGTTACAGATAACAGCTCATTTAACCCACTGGGTCCCACCTGCTGCTTCCCCAGGGGGCCATGATCCAGATGGCCAGTGATTCCTTCCACACAGGCCCATGTAAGAAACACTAACAGGACCTGTTTGTACTCCTCGTGGGAGTTTGCCAACACTGTCACTGGGTCTGTGTGCTTCTACTCTTGCGTGGGGGTGCAAGAAAATTTGTTTGCGAACGCATAAAACTCATTAGGAAAGTTTGAATTAGCTTTAATGTGAAAATTATGCTATTTGCCAAGGGTGCTATAATAAATTCAGACCAGCTAGTAATGAACATGTGACCCTACTGTGAAGAAGCAGTATGTAGACACAAGATGGATGGATGGCGATTCAGACGCTTCCAGATTCGGTGCAATCTGATTGGGAAGTGTTGAGAAACAAATCAGCCAATGACATACAATTTTATCAGAAATAAATGAGAAATGTTATGTCGGGAAAATTCATGGGGTTTGAAAGTGGTTCTCTGAAAAGATGTAAACTGTTTACGTAATTTAAAACCGAGGGGCCATTTTATTGAAAAAAATAATTGGTGCCATTTCCCTTGATTTTCATTCAGCTGAATTCATCCTCCACTTATGAATCACCAATCATTGTTTCAAGAAATGGTTAAGGAGGTGGAAGTACAGGGAATAATTGAAAAAGAGTGTAGATAATAAAAATAATTATCAATGCTGTAATAATTAAATGTACTAAATAAACAATGATTGACAGGTGATGCAATGTCCTTGACATTCTGTTTGAGACTGTTCCACTTATAATTCTACATTCACAACACTGCTTTGATAATTGATGGTGAATGCAATACTGGGAAACTGATGCATCTTAGCTCAGTTTTCAATAACTGAGTTTATAATCTCAGTTAAGTATCAGTTATTAGACGGACACACTGTTTTGTCGTGCGAAACAAAGCAGGTGTTCCGAGACCTTAATATTCACCAACAATAGTCATTCATGGAGATGAACGAATTATGTTCTTGACTTTGAGTGCATCTCTTACTGATGTGAGAATGTGCTGTCAGTTTGATTTCAAATCATGTTTGTGAAAATGGTCAAGTGCTTTTAAAGTCAAAACAGAAAATTGCACGGTTTGGTTAATTGAATATGACATTTGTAACATTTCCAGAAATGTAAAGATATTAACTGATAACTTTAGTTTTCCTTCACTTAATTTTTAGTATGATTTGTTTCCGTTTGGAATGCAGTTTTTTTAAGCCATCTGCCATTATTTCTAAGCAGTTTACACTCTGAAATGGATATGCATGTCTGCACAGGAGCTGCTGTTGGTGCTTGTCATATCACATCCCACTGCAGATTCCTTTGAGAATGCTGTGTAGCCTATAGATGAGGCACTGCTGCTTTCTGAATGTGAATCATTGCCGTCTCTTCCTTTACTTCCCAGCAGGGCAGGGTTTAAAGCGGAGGGAGATGAGCATCCTGACAGCAGTCCTCTTTGCTCCTATATCCCTGCTCTGCACCTCCATGTTCATGTGAGCAGAAAGACTGAGGCTGGTGGAGTCGTGATGTCCATCGCAATGAGGGGGGGGGGGGGGGGGGGGGGGGGCCCCCGAGGGGGGGGGGGGGGGGGGGGGGGGAGGTGTGCACACAGCAGTAGAGATGGTTTGAGTTGTAACTACATTTAAACCCAGTTCCATAAGAGGATTTAAAGTGCAGCATGGCTGTGCTACAGACAATACACTAGAAGTTTAATGTTCCCTTACTAATTGTAAACAGTGTAATAGTTTATATTTGCACACCAAATGGTAAACTCTGCATCCATTGAAGTTCAGTTAACACTCAATTAGCTTAAAAATCTTTCCAACTGTTCCAATAAGGGCTGACAGGTAGCAGGGTGTCCTGAGAATAGTGGGGATTCCAAACATCCACTTCTGATGGTCTTGAGTTTCCACAACAGAAATTCAGACAAGTTCTGAAGTACATTTTGAGCCTTTATTAAAAACCATTACATTTTCATCTCAAAGTATTGTGTTCAGTGAGGATCACTTCACCACTTGAGACCAAGGACTTCTGACTTGAGGGAACCTTTACTGCAGCTCTTCCTGCAAGGAGATGGATTCAAATAAATGCAATTAATTTGCGCAAAGTTTTTCACAAAGAATTTGTAGATATAGCAAATATGTAGCATTTGGTAGCATATTGAAGAGTTTAAAAATACAGGACGACCAGGGCCTAAGCCATCTTGGTCAGCCTTCTGAAGATACTCACGTTGGCGGTGGCAGTGTTGTTGGCAACTGTTTGTACCATTTGGATAACAGACAGCTGTAGCACAGTGAATAAAGATCTGAAAAAGACAGCCATGAGATTCGAGGGCAGATGGTATTTTTGAAGTGGAAAAAAAATAATAATTCTGGTGAGACATACCGTTTCCTTCTCAGGAGCATAGGTATCCGGAGCCACAAATGCAAACATTCTACTAATAAAACGTTTGTAATGACTTGGGTACTGAAGGCCAGAGGAGCCATCCACAGGAACCATGGTGCTCAAGTATCTGTCATCATGGTAAGGACACCTATGTCCAAGAAGTGTCATTAGTACTGGAGCTGTACACAATGAGACAGTAAATGTGGTTCTGTGCTTACCCGTCAATCAGAAGGTCCCACTGGGGTAGGCTCTCTGGATCAGGGGTGGCAGTGGCCCAGCAGTGGTCAAGGTTCAGGACGATATTTGGGTCAGACCTTCCCAGGAGTCTGACCTCAACGTAAACTGGCTCTTGCAAGAACTTGGTGACGGGGTATTCAGACTGAGTGAAGAACGAGCTGTATGCCACGTCCTCTGCAACCACAAGATTGTTTGAGTAATTCTCAAAAGTTCATAGCTTATTTGGCAGGTTTGTACTACTTGCCTGCAACACAGCCTTTTGAGTGGCATTGGCCATTCCCCAGTCTGAGTTCCACTCTCAGGGGTCCTGCAGCTGCAACAGACACAGGAGGAGGAACAGGATTCACCTCCATGATAAGAGCCTCCACAGCAGCTCCAGAGTATCTACACTGGAACAAGAGCCTGTGGACAAAGGAGAGATTTTAAAATCATGGTTATGGAGTAGAATGTCTGCGATAGCACATGAGGGCTAAATGAGTCATCTCACGATAAATTAAATTGACATTTAGCAATGTCTGCTTAAGAGTGGGCTGCATTGGTTCATGGTGAAAACATAGTTCCATCATAGTACCATCTGAACACAAGAAATCATAACCTTACTCAAAATGGCTGTCCCGGGTGATTGAGCCTCTGGGTCCAAGTCCCACTTCATACGACGACACCATGTGGTTTTCATATGCCACATATCCCTCATCATCCTACAGAGTTTTGAAACCATTAATCAAACACGCAAGTCTTAAATTTGAGTAAGTCAACACATTAGATTTGCCATAGAACAAGTTACCCACCTTGAGTGTGGTGCCACAAGATGTCACAGGGAACTGAAAGATGGCAAAGGCAGAGGTGCCATCAACCGGGCCACAGAGGACATCGTTTGCATCAAGCAGGCTGATTGAATTCACATCTATAGGTGGTACAGTGGCATCTCTAGCCACCACCACCACAAATTGTCCATCTCTGGTACACTGCACAGTCACTGGGTGAAAATAAAGAGTTGATCTCTTAGCTGTTGAGGCATTTTAAGACAACCGATATGTCCAAAGCACTAAAAGATACAATTGCTTATACCTGCTTTCCCATAGTAGCACTGATACCCATCAGAACAGCAGTTAATGTCTTCACACTGTTCAGGAGTGATATCTGGAGTCCCACACTGAATCTTCTCAGTCTCCTCCACGTCACATTTATCAGAAGGAACGTCAGGAAGTTTTGTCTGCTGTGGCTGCTTGAAAGGAGGGGAGAGCTGTTGTTTCGGCAGAGGCTGTGGCCAGTAATTCTGTCCAGAAACGTTACAGACCAAGAAGAAACCAAACAGAAACTTGAAAAGCTCCATTTTGGCAGTCGTAACTACACACTGGCAGAAGATACAACGTGCAATTCTCAGGCACAGCTCCTATTTATCCCTGGCTGTGAGCAGTTTGCTGTGAACTCCACCTCGCATTGTTAAGAGACAATTGTGTGACAGCCCTGCAGAGTTAATCAGCTGAGATCTGACAGGTGGAGCTTATTGTCTGCTCATCAGTCTGAGAAGAAGTCGTTTCACAACTGCTGAGTCGAAGCAGTGTTTTTTTTCTATTTTGTTTAACAGAGTCAAGATGAACTTGGGAAACATGTGGAACATTAACTCCAGTGACATTCCTCACACCTGCTTCTCGTGAATGTGAATTTGACAGAACTTTATTGTCAGAATGTTCAAATACGCTAACAATCTCAGTTTGAACGTTTTTAAAGTGGGAAACTTGCTGAATCACACCGCCTCCCACCTCTATTATGCCTGTGTAAAAGCTTTTTCCCTTTTTTCTTTTTTTGCGTTGTACACAGATGTATGGGCGGTACACCCAGGAACTGGGTGTGTATGCCAAGGAGGAGGCAGCCCGCCTACGGGATGGAGGGGTTCGAGATGGTGGTGGGCTGCGGAGGAACACCAGCGTCCGAAGCCGGGCGGGAGATCTGCTGGAGTACGAGAAAGATCCCTGTGCAAAGTGCCATTGTAAGTGATAATCACTCAACAAGCCCTAAACCTTCCTCGGTCTGTGCTTCCAGGGACAAAATGTGCAAGGAGAGTGGTTCGGGGACATATCTTGAAGGTCAGACCAGTGCACTGAAGCGTGCAGGTGTGTGTGGCCGCATAAATTTGTGTGTGAAGCCCTGAAGCAGCATTTTGTAGCAGATTGCAGAGCTCCAGTAGACATGAAAGTTGTTGGAAAACATTGACTTATTAAAGTACAGCAGAGCAGCTACCTGACTCAAGGGAGCAGGAACGGATGTGAGCAAGATTAAATGTGACTGATCGAGCAATGACCTCCAGCCCTCAAGGACTGCCCCAATGTAAAAAGATGGCCCCCTCTGCAGGCTGCCAGCGGCCTGCCGTTTGGTATGTGCTGTGTGTTAGCGTGCATAAATGTTTTACCCAGTTTGAGTGTATACTTTTGCTTGTGTGATCCAAACCTTGATCTAAACTGTCAGATTATTTAAAATCCAACCACCTCAGATGACTGCGAATAAGGGATGGCACCTCAAGAGAGCTTCACTTCAGTCTGATGTGTCCAACGATAGCGGAGTGACATAATGGATGAGTGTGCGTCTGTGTCTTCAACAGCCAACGTGTTGGTTCTGGATTGACTTGTTGCTTTTCATTTTTTGATGTTGTCTTCTTACCATCTAACAGCTTGGCTGATAAGAACCCCAGTTAAATGTTTTAGGGAGGAACATTTTTTATGCACAACTGAGAGATTTAGAATATATTTTAGAATAAAATTTTGTTTTCGAGCTGGTAGTAGGAGTATTTAAGGAGTATAGTAAGTATAGTAAGGAGATTTTCAAAAATTGTGAAATGATCATTTCAAAAGCTTAACTTTAACTAATTTGACTGCAAAAAATGCATTAATATCTGCCAGTCTATTGAAGAAGTCGTGTTTGCACAAGTGAGCCAGCTAGATGGCTTTCTGAGATCAATCTCTACCAGTTTGTCCTTGTGACTGTAAATGGTCTGATTAAAACACAGCAGCGTCACTTGCTGTGTGTAATGGAAGTCATTTAAAGCGATCACTTTCAGATCAAAGATTTGTGGGCTCTGTCTGCAGTGTGTACTCGTAGATCAAGAAGTGCTGGTATTTTTAGAACTGCTCAGGCTGGCCAGCCTCTGTCCTCTTAGGTAATGCGTACAGAGAGATGCTTCCTTCAGATTTGGTGGACGTGGGAGTTTCAGTGTTTTCCTGTATCTGTGTGGGAACAGCATCTCTGTGGGGGATGGACTTTGAGTGTGAGTGAATTGCTTCAGATCAGCAACTCCAGCCTTTGAACAAGGCAGCCTACACATGCTGCTAAAGGCTCTGCTGCTGGTCGAGAACGAGTGCTAAAAACACATACTGCCTCAGTGTTTTTATTTGATTCACGGAGGGAAAACTGCAGGGATTTATGGCTTGTTGTGATTCAAACCTCTGATTCGGCCTCAGTATAGTGCTTCTTTTTGTGTTCATCTCTGATTATACTCCTAGGTGTAAATGAGGGGGTAAAAAAAGTTCAGTTTATGTTTTTCATATTCAAGATTAAAGTAAACAAATAATTAAATGCAGCACAAAGAGGGATGGAGAGAATGACCGGTGTTGGGGGTGATCTTTACCAAAGGATCAGAAGAAGACATCTGTGAATGCCACTGAGTCTGCGGATGTGAGTGTGAGCCAAGATGCGCACGGAAGTATGCATCTCTGCAGGTGCCAGACACTGTGTGTGTGTGTGTGTGTGTGTGTGTGTCCATTTTTGCAACTATTTTCATGAGGACCAGTGTGTAAACATTTCAGCCAGATTCACTTTCATTTGTGTGAAGGTTTTAGGGTTGCCATCAGAATAGGTTTTGGAGCAGTTAGTTATGATGGTAGTATTGGGGTGCTATGGAATACTTAATTCCATCGAGGTCCCTCTCAATAATAGCCACACAAATGTTTGTGTGTGTGTGTGAAAATAATGGAAACAGAAACTGGGAATTCTTCCAGCCTCTCTCACCAACGAATGTTCAATGAACAGTGAAGCAAATTAACCACTAAACCAAGAAGAAAATCTTCTTACAATTATTTACAATTATTTGTTCTTCCATTAGACTGATGTCTGTACATATAAGTTATTTGTCTGCACATTAATGCTTGCGCGTGTAGTCTATGTACATGTGTACATTCTGTGCTGGCAGCTCTTCAGGCAGCAGGTGGCCTGGCTGCTGGGCAACTTCGCCTGTCATGCAAACAGTTTTCTGCTTTTTATTTATTTATTATTTAATATTTATTCATTTTTAGCTCTCAGGATTCTCAACATCCAGATGTAGCAGACCTCCTGCACCAGAAAGACAAAAAAAGCTGCAATGTTTTTTTTCTTTTCTTTTTAATGTTATTGGAATGCCTTCAACTGTAATTAGAAACAAAACAGGCATTCTGCAAAACTGTCTAAAAGCAGTTGACGAGGAAAACTGGGAGAATGTGCAAAAATGTTAGAACTGAAACATGCATGGATTAGGTTTCATGACATTTTTTGTCTACCACGTTAATGGGCTACAAAATCAGTAGGCTACTTGTTTTGAACACGTTTTTATTTTTCATCATAGCTTATATCTCTCTTAGAAAAACTTTAATCCTGTAGATTGATCGACTTGGCGTATTTTAGTCCCTTTGTCAGGTATTTGTTTTTTTCCCCTTCCTTTTTCTTAGGTATGTCTTTTGCAGATACTATTATTCATATTCAGATATTTTAGCTACTTCTTCTACTTCCAGTTTAGTCTATTTTTCTCTATTTGAATAACACACTGCACACCAAGATTTGCCATGTTTTCAGCTAATGGCTCCTGGCAATCATCTTGATAATGCAAATACTACCTAAGGCTCGTCCAAATGTGTTACTTTTATTTGGGCATTTTGGTTAATGGAATGTTTTTTGTGTCTCTGAAGAATTGCGAACAGTCTTTTGATTTGATTTAAATGGAATTCTTTTGTGAGTTATGTGTCATGTAAAGTTACAGCTCTGGTTGGAGTTTTTTGTGTCTGAATGACTCATAGATCAGGATTAAGTGACAGAAAAATAAAGTGTGAACAAAAAACTAAATAAAAAACAAAGCATTCTTGTGCAAATGGTCAAGCGCAACAGTTTTCTGGAATTACCATGGATTAAACCAATTAAACAATCTCTGAGGACTGACAACATTAATTCAGGGTTTTGGTGCTCCTTTCTACCTTTAAATTATGTAATGTAAATGTTCAAAGAATTATGTGACTAAAGTAGTTTTCTTAAAGGTGAATTTCCTTTTTTTCTTAGTTTATTAAGAGCAAGAAAGCTACATTTTTTATCTTTTTCTTCCATTTTGTCCATAACGAAGTCAACCCAGGCGTTTTTAGGAAATATGGATCTTCAAATGTGTTAGTGGCACATTTTTTTATCTCCCTTGGGACAGGCACATCTATGAATGCTCTCGATATTGCAGGGAATTTCAGGCTTTGGCAGTGTCCACAGACAGGGAAAAGAAATTAGTCCAGTGATGCTTCTTTTAGCTGACCTAGCTCAGAGTTATGGATTATAATGTAATTGCAGAATTTATAACCGTGACCTAGCTTTGTTTTTTCACCATATTAATATGTTCAAAATGGATATGGATAAAGTGACTCTCATCAAATTCTGAGCATATAAATCTAGATTAATATTTATTATACAGCTTGTAAAGTGTGTGTTCACTCTACTGCTAAGGGTTCCATATTGATATAATTCTTTAGTGTCACGCCAAACTGACTTCAATTGGCCTTTAAGCATTGGAATTTTCTTAGTGCTCTCTATTTTACATGGTCATAAGAAAAGTGGAGCAGAATATTTGTGCTCTGTGTTACCTTCAAGTGTGGTAAAGTTCCTACTACTACTACTCCAGCATTTGGTTTTAGAGTGTAATGACACAAAAACAAAAAAACATTTACTAAAGAGGATCTATTTAGGTGCCATTCTCTTATTTGCAACACACAGATTTTTCTTTTGCGGGGATGAAGTAGACAGAAAGTTGAAACATTTACATATTTTAAAACTTTTTACCACATTTACAAATGGATTTGATATCTATTAATGGATATTAAAATCAATAGTCAAACAAAAATGTCCACAAGTATAATACACAGATCTGATATTAGCAGGGATTGTATTATTTTTCCCTGCTGAATATAACAGTGTACATCTTTTTTTATTAAGATATGTGAGTTTAGCTTTCCACTTTTTCTGTACCTTCAGTGTGTGCATCTCGCTGCCAGAAGTTCCTGATCTCTCGGGTCGGGGAGGACTGGATCTTCCTCATTCTGCTGGGACTTCTCATGGCTCTGGTCAGCTGGGTCATGGACTACGCCATCGCCTTCTGCCAAGAAGGTAGGAAAGAAACGGGGCGCTAAAAGAGAGAAATTAAACGACCCAAACGGTCAAATCAAGGTGAGAGTGGAGTTCTGGGTTGGCTCTCATTTGATCACGTTGCAAATGAAAATTAAAACTGGCTTTTCTGGATGATTCAGTGAGTCAACCTGTGGTATACTCCACTTTTAGACAAATTGAATCTCAAGAATTAACTCTGAGATTTAAAATCAACTCTAGTTGAATGAGCATATGAGACATGTGAGAGTTGGCAACTAGAAATATAATTTTATTTTATAGAAAATAAATTAAAATATGTTGATATAACTCATATTTATTGAACTAATATTTAACAAGTATGTTTTGAATGAACTTTCTTATGTTTTTAATTACTTCTCCTGCAGCTTGTTTTTATTATTTCACAATGATTTTCTGTTTCTCAGGTCAGTTAAATCTGCATTAAATGGAACTTGATATTCATTACGGGTATCTCTCACATCACAAATTAGGCATCACAAATTATTTTTTATGTTTGTTTTTAAATAAACTAACTTTGGTAGTTTCTGCTTCGGCATGCTCGGATGAAGTTACTTACGTGTGTGTGTATGTGCAGCACAGAAGTGGATGTATGGTGGACTGGACAGTAACATGCTTCTGCAGTACATCGCCTGGGTCACGTACCCTGTGGTGCTCATCACATTCTCGGCAGGATTCACACAGATACTGGCACCGCAGGCTGTGGGTAAGACCTACTTGCAAATTAAACACAAACATATGTATTCATTTGACTTATTCATGGTCAGTTCTCCGTGTTTGAGTAATGTCACTGGCTCTGAACTGTACAATAAGGGCTCCAAGGACATGTGCTAGGTGTCTCTGCAGGACATAAATATGCCCATGATGAGATGTGCATACACAAAACTGTATGAATATCAATCAGCCCTCCCACCTCACCCCTCCCCTTTCCCCTCATTTATTCCTCACATCCCACTGTCTGTAATGGCTTTCTTTCCACTCATCTTTTCTGTGCACTCCATCACCTCATCTGGCTTTAGTTTTTCTCTTTTCTCTCTTTTCCCTTCCTCAGGCTCAGGTATTCCCGAAATGAAGACGATACTTAGGGGAGTGGTGCTTAAAGAGTATCTGACTTTCAAGACCTTTGTTGCCAAAGTCATCGGTCTAACCTGCGCTTTAGGCAGTGGGATGCCTCTGGGAAAAGAGGTAGAAGGATCATAACTTCATCACTTTTCATCGCAGGGTGCCTAAATTTTAAAAGCAAGAGTTTGATTTTTGTCCGTCTGGAGAATTTAGTCCTTTTCCTTCCTCTGGTCTCATTAAAGTCATTTCTGTAAAAACAAGAACATGATTTACTGGTAATAGCTGTTAAGCTTCCCCGGTGGGGTGCATTCCTATTCTGAGCAGGCTTTAATAGTGTTTTGATAATGTCTCTCATGAATCCAGCATGCTCTCCTCTGTGTTGTGATCATTTGTAACAAGTTCACTGACATCTCTCTCCATCCTCCACCACAGGGACCCTTCGTTCACGTTGCCAGTCTCTGCGCTGCTCTCCTGAGCAAATTCATGGCAGCTCTTTTTGGAGGGATTTACATGGTGAGAATGGAAAATGGTTTGTAGATGTTTTATGGAAATATTACCTCCAAGGTTACCGCCCTTTCTTTTACAAGCAGAGGGTTAATCATTGTCTGTTCCCCCCTATAATGACTAAAGAATCCAAAGAACAAAGCTGAAAGGGATTTCTGGAATGAAGAAGGCCCAGGTTTGGATTCTTTGCTAAAAAGTCAGATGATTATAGTTACTTGATTGATGATAAAAGTCAAACTTCAGAAGAGAGTTTTTCTACCTTCCAATTTTCCGAATTTATTTTTAAAGTGGGCTCAGAAAAGCTTTTGAAAACTGTTAGCGAACTGCATATCTTCCTCTGCTCTAGACAGGATCACTGGAGGGAAGTGCAAAGTTATCTCTGACAATTTAGAACCGACTGGGTAACTATGGATGCTTTAGATAAGGGAGAATTGATCTGCATTGTAATGAGTCCACAGTTTAAAAGTATCCATGAGTGTGCAGAGGTGGACAGTAGCTAATGAGCAGAAGCGGAACATAAACCTGTGGTGTTGTGGGACAGCTTGTGGTTTGAAGTAGGCAGAGTGATCAGGGCTCCCCTGATCGCTCTGAGACATCTTCATGTTGAAAATAGCTCACAGCAGACTGGAGCCACCTCACACTGTGAGAGCAGAAGTAGATGACGGCGGAAAATGGTATGCACCGCTCAGCTAGTAAAAACATTATGTCCACAATAGTCAGTCTCATGGGCATTAGGTGTGCAGGTGAAGTTGCTGATTTTACTGCCATGAGAGGTTTTGGTATGCCAAAATGACTTTTCATTTTTGTTTCAATTCCAAAGGAAGAACAAAGATAGACAGCTGTTCTATCTCAATGTCTCTGATGCCTCTTTGACTTCTGCCGCTCCCCAGGACAAACTCTCACCTCCACTCATGCGAGACCTCACCCTGGGCCTTTGTCTTGTCTCTGCACTGGATACCGTGCTGTACTTCTTGCTGCACCAACAGCCTCATCAGTTTGGAGGAAGATTGTCCGCACTGATGTGGAGGAGATAAAACTTGTCAGTCATTGCAGTTAGACAGAGTCAGAAAGCCCAGGGGTCAGCTGCACGGACATTAAACATCCTCATCAGGGGGCACGTTAATTCAGTCCACTTTGGAATCAAGGCTGTTTGCTGAAGCTGATTCACTGCTTGTTTGATTTGTGGATCAAAAGGTAACTGCCGCTCTCACACCAAATTGTCTGTCTTTTTTTAACTTTTACTGCTAAAGGAAGAGCCCTTTGAAGGAAGCAAGGTATGAATGCATGACTCAGATTGTGTCTTCACGACCAGTTCCATCAACATAAATAATCCATGCCGTCCATTTCAGAGGCTGAGACAGGATCATGCCCTTCCATTTGTCTGCTTTATATTTTATTCTGTCCAGTGAACCATCAAAGTGAGACAGTGATCTGCTTGCTTAGCTAAAAAACATGTAATCCATTGAGTTTTTTCTTCTGAGCTTCTCATATACATCCACTCAAATGTGTAGGGAGCGTTTTAGAACCAGGAGTCTGATGCTATATTTAGTCTGTTTATCATGGAATCAATGTGTTAGGATGTCTGTGTGTTTTTGTAAGACTTTACATCTGACTCTTGTGGCACAGAATGAGCTCAGGAACACGGAGATGCTGTCGGCAGCCTGTGCCGTGGGTGTGGGCTGCTGCTTCGCTGCCCCTATCGGAGGTAAGGCACCACATCTGCAGCTTTGGGTTTAATTGGATGTAATTATGGTAGATCGTTACAGAAGATTAATTGGACGAAGAGACATCTAGCAGTAGGGGGATGCCAGTCTTGGTCAGTACGTCTGTCAAATTATCTTTTATTTGCTTGGGACCGTTTGTATCTCAGCATTAATCAGCCTGAATACCGTGAAGGTTTACATGGTCAGTTATGTTCCCCGTTGTTGGGGGCAGCTGTGGTTCAGGGGTAGGAGCAGTTGACTGCCAACAGGCCGGATAAATGGGAGATGTGTGTCCGGAATGGAATCTGGCGTAAAAACTCCTGCCGAACTTCCAATGCGAGTCAAGGTTGAAGCGCTGTGGTGACCCCTAATGGGAAAAGCTAAAAAACAACGAACAGTCCTGAGTTTTATAGTTTAGTATAGTATAGTCAATGTTGGGTCATGGTGGCAACCGACTAAGCACGGTGGCCCAGCCATCCTTCTACCAACACTCTTGAGTCAATCTAAGACATTACCAGGCAAGTCTGTTCATAGAAATGTCCCCTTTTTTGGTGGGACAGATGCCTGAGCACAGACCACTGAGTCTGTGGACAAAGCTCACCACGCTACAGAGAATATGTTTGTATATCTCCTATCACTTGCAGCGTCATTCCTTTGATCACTACCCAAGTCATGGGATTATGGATGAAACACTGGTGGACTCAGAGCTTCCCCTTGGGGCACACCTGACTCTTAACTTCCACATTCTGACACATTTGCCAAAATAATGCAGATACGGCACAAATCCAGCAGTCTGTCTCTTGTTCGAAGCTCCATCTCCCACCAGGGTATTTAAACTATCCAAAGCCTGGAGAGAGCTTTAAACTTGGAGGTTTCAGAGTCTCTCAGCAGGAAGTCATATGGTGAAAATTCCTTCAAAACCATTTTTTATTCTTATCTGTATGAAGAATCCTTATCTTTTTTTTTTTTGTTCGCAGACCCATACACTTTCTAGTATGAAAAGCAAATAAACGTCTTAAATCCACACCCTGATTTATGTCAAAAGACTAAAGAAGTTCATCACATTAAATGTTAAACTGATGAAACATATTCGGACCACTCAGCAGCTGCTCTGCTTCAACTGTTTCTTATTCTCAGCAGATGGACTCGCCCACTTATGAAAATGTAAATGCTAAAATTTCCATCTTCTCTGAGTAGTGCATTAACTATGTGACCTTTCATCGAACAACATTATGAGGCCAACTTCTCATCTTGTCCTTCAATTCATCAGATTGTGTGTTAATCACTTTTCTTTTTATCTTTGTTCTGATCTCTTTGCTTGGTTGCAGTAAAATTTATTTAAATGACCTCTGGGATGAAAATCTGCTTCATATATGAACCTGCATAATATTATTCTGAAGGTCTGGAACAGTGTTGAGCAGATTTTCTTTCCTCAACTAGATCCTAAGAAACCGTGGACATGACAAAAAAATTGAGAAAAGTCTAAATTATGTTGAAAAATATATATGTGTATATTTTTCATGGGTGTTGTTTAAGTTGAAAACAATAGAAGCTTGTGTTAATCCAAGAGGCATTTTTTTCCAGAGCATGATTGACACATTGTCTCATTCATTTAGCGCAATTAGACTAACACATACTGACATCAGAACATTCTGTTCTACACAGTTACTGATCAAGCTTTGTCATTTTCAAGACAATTGGCTTCACAAACACGTCACAAGTAATTATTGCCAGATGCTAATGATGAAACGTGAAATCTGTGTGAATCACGAAATCTGTTTGTTGATTATTTATCTCTGATCATTTTGTAAACAGATCATGATTTCTAGTTTTCACCATTGCATTTAATTATTGACTGACTGAAAATTAGAATTTGCTCAACAAAATTGGATGCTCTCAGGATGTTTGAGGCTGAACAGTAATTAAGCATTAGCCGTTTTTCAAAAAGAGCAGATGGGAATACGTCAGTGTTTGTTTTTCGCATTTCAGGTGTGCTGTTCAGCATTGAGGTCACGTCAACTTTTTTTGCTGTGAGGAACTACTGGAGGGGCTTCTTTGCTGCTACTTTCAGCGCTTTCATATTCAGAGTGCTCGCCGTCTGGAACCAGGAGGAAGGTAATGCGAAAGAGAGAAAGAGCTGTTGGTCTTATTGGTTTATTTGCATCCATTTGTGCATATGTGACTTTTGATGTGCTGCCAGCTAGCTTAAAGGAAGAGGGACCAACACTTTATATTCAATGGAATCATATTTAATATGAGAGGTAATATTCAAAATTACGTCTCAAATTTAGCAAGCTACTACATAGTCAGTAAGGTGCATCGTTATTGATTAACACATCGCTGTAACCTCAGACTGAGACCAGTGTCCTTTCCTCAGAGACCATCACTGCTCTCTTTAAGACACGCTTCCGTCTGGATTTCCCATTCGACCTTCAGGAGCTGCCAGCATTCGCCGTGCTCGGGTGAGTGTGTTTCTCTGGAGCAGTGCCAGATTAAACGGGGTTAAGTTACTTAGGAGGTTTTGCTTGCATCTCATGTGAAAATTACATTCATAGTTGGGATTTGAAGTTTCATTTGAATTTGCTTACTGGGTAATGAGTCAACTTTGTAGTCTGCTTATTAGAAACAGAGTAAATGCAGATCTGTGTGAGCTGAATTTATTTGCAACTCAAATTTTGTCTCTACATTTTATTTTTTCGAGACAGAAGTGAGAAATAATCTAAGGTTGGATACCGGTTAAAGAGTCTGGAATGTAATGCCCTTTTATTCGGTTTGTCAACTGGCTTACAGACCAAACCTGGTCATATGTGCTTGTTTGCAGGATTGCTTGTGGTTTTGGGGGTGCTCTGTTTGTGTATCTCAACCGGCTGATTGTGGAGTGCATGAGAAAACAGAAGACCATTAACAAGTTTTTGCTAAGAAAGTAAGTATCTTACCCCAATTTTAAGAAACTTTTGTAACAGACTAGATATAATTTCAATTCGTAACATATATATAAGACTGCCAGTGATATTGGCCCCTCTAACGGCAATTCTGCCTTAAAGCTACCAAGTACAACAGCAACAGTATCTAAACAGAAAGAAATCCTGCAGTTTAACTTAACATTTCAGGAAATACAGCAACAATGTAAAGAAACTCCATTCATGAAATACAAAACAAATCAAATCTTTTACAATCAGAAAACAATTTAATAGAAAATACTCAACCAAAAGTAGGAACCATTTGATAAAGCTCAGTTTTAAAAAAAAGTAGGATTTTGGCCATACTAACAGTTAGGGAACACAGCAATTTCATAAAAACACATTAGCAAAGAAAATGGTGAAATGTTGCATAACTTTGAGGTCTTTTCACATAAACTCCTTTTCCTGTGACACCTTCATTTGTTTATTTGATACTGGCCTCCTGCTCTCTGTCACAGTGCTGTATAGGGAAATGCAGGTGTACAGTATGTAGTGTGTGTAGTGTTTCACTTTCAGACAGATCATAAAAGGTTATTTATAGACCACAGAATCAAGCATGCACACATTGTATGTCAAGCACACCCATTAATGACCCCACAGTCCATCTCTTCCTGTTAGACGTCTGGTGTATCCTGCTCTCGTCACCCTACTGGTCTCAACTCTCACGTTCCCCCCGGGTTTTGGACAGTTCATGGCCGGTCAGGTGAGAACATCTGTTCACACCCTTTTGTCAGTTTGAAAGCATGTCTTGACTGTTGGGAGATGATTGATATTCATTTGGAATGAAGTGAGAGTTGGTGTCTTCATACTTGATAGAAATAACCTCCTCAGAGGCTGGCTACGGTTGGTGAAGAATTTTCATTTAAATCTGTCTGTGCTTTTCCCTTTTATTTATGACATGGAAATTTAAACTTTTGCGTAATGACAATCCAAGAGGGGAGTTTCCGGTTCAGAGTATTCACTGAAATTTTTTATAGCTTCACCAAGACATTTAAAACGGGTACACATGCAGGACACTCATCCCCTTTATAAGCCCATCCATCCATCCATTATCAATACCGCTTATTCCCTCATGGGGTAGCGGGGGGAACTGGAGCCTATCCCAGTGGTCAACGGGCGAGAGGCAGGGTAAACCCTGGACAGTCCGCCAGTCCATCGCAGGGCCACACACAGGACATACAAGGACCAACAACCACTCACACTCACATTCACTCCTAAGGGCAATTTCCCCAATCTCCAATCAACCTAACATGCAGGTTTTTGGACTGTGGGAGGAAGCCGGAGAACCCGGAGAGAACCCACGCAGACACAGGGAGAACATGCAAACTCCACCCAGAAAGGTCCGGGATTCGAACCCAGAACCCTCTTGCTGGGAGGCGACAGTGCTAACCACCACACCACCGTGCCGCCCCCTTTATAAGCCATTTAGACTTATTTTGAGCCTTTTAGATATTATTATTATTATTATTATATTTCTAAAAGAACTATAAACCTATATGAGAACTTATATTCTATGTACTTTATAAACACACCCACGTGTGTGTGTGTGTGTGTATATATATATATATATAATCAGACATAGAATAATGAAAATACCCTAATGACTTTAGTAATCCCCCTTTCTCGCTTGCCCAGTGAGCTCTAGATTTCATCTCTGGGCCAGCAGCTCTTTGCTGCTCATATCAACATTTGCCAAGACAACGTCAATAAGCCACAAAGGATTTGAAACTACATTGCTTTTGTGAGATATAACAGATGTGTTACTATAAATACTATGACAATGCCATAAACCCTCCAACAGCACAGAACTGCTTACATGTGGCCAATGTACACCCCCTACACACAAAAATTATTGACTACAATACAGATATAGCCACACCAGAGGATGGCACCAGTCTGACCTACATTATGAGATTTTATATGGTAAAACTGCTAAGCCTGTCTGTGGATCAAACATTGAATGGTTTTTGGAGGAAATACCAGAAAAACAAAATCTTAAGTCAGGGGTACATGTGCCAAGATGTTTGTTTAAATGTGCGTCACAAAGTGTGTTCCCAATGCATAAACATGGTCAAAACTATTTGTGCGTTTGGGTAGTATCGAAATGTATTTTATTTGATCTGTGCACCAGCAAAAACTCCAAACTCCTCATTATTATGAACTGGTTTAATGGTCAATGAAAGAACTGTGGAGTTGATCCATTTTAAGCCAGCTCATATTTCAAGGGTTAAAAAGAGTTTGGGCCTTTGGGCTCTTGGCTTTCTTTCAGGAGTCCAGGTCAAAATAGCACAAGCTAATTACAATGACATGACTATTTCAAATAACAAGTTAAAAAGAATCCTATTCACGCAAATGAAATCCTGAACATTTATTTATTCATTTTTATTTTTTAAATTTCCTTCAGGGCAGTCCTCAAAATACTTCTTCACAGAAATTAATTGATGAGGGTTCTCTGAACAGGCCTGTCAGACAGCAGAAGGGTAACCATCCATAAACGGATGTTCCACCTCAGACTGTTTTATTTTGTCTCTACCTGTCAGCTGACACAACACGAGTCTCTGGTGGCGCTGTTCGACAACCGCACGTGGTGCAGACAGGGTGTTGCAGAGGAGTTCGACTACATCAGCCACCACCACGCTTGGAAACATCCACAGGTCAACGTCTTCATCACACTCATCCTCTTCATCATCATGAAGGTAAGCCTTGAATGTTTGTTCAGATATCGCTGTGATTATCCTCAGCCTGATCACGTTTATTATAAAAAGCCGGACGGACACGTTACAATCAGGGCTCTGTTAGAACTGAACCACCTGAGTGACTTCTACATGAAGTTTTCATAGCCCTGGCAACAAGTCAGGGCTTACTGTTAAGTAAATTTCTAGGCAAGCAGATGCTTCCCTGATGGAACATGAGCCATTAATAAAAATGTAAACCTTTTTCACGATATGTGTACAGAAATATGTTGAAATTGGTTCACGTTTTCAGAATATCTCACCCAAATTACGCTCTTGTTTCCAGTTCTGGATGTCCGCTGTGGCTACCACCATGCCTGTTCCATGTGGAGCATTCATGCCAGTGTTTCTTATCGGTGAAGAAAACCTGTCTTTCACTTTTCAATAAATTTGGTAATCTGTCTTTGAGAGTTAACCTTTTTCTTTGACCGTGTGTGATAGGTGCAGGATTTGGCAGACTGGTTGGAGAGATCATGGCAACCATGTTTCCTGATGGAATACATGAAGACGGTAGTGTGTATCCCATAGTTCCTGGTGGCTACGCCGTGGTTGGTGAGTATATTTATTTTATTTTCTCACTTTTGCATTTTAACTGCACATATTTCAGTTGGCACGTCAGCATAAACATATTTAAAACGATTATAAAGGAAACCTTTCTTACATAGTCTGCAGTAAGCTGCAGCATCATTTGAAAACATGAGTTTGGGTTGTTTGCTCATGAGCAGAGATATAAGTGACATTTGCTCTCCTTCACTGCTGCTATGTTAGTTTTTAAAGTGAGGTGTAAAGAAAGATTAATTGATTTCTCCCACCTAGATTTCATTATCTGTCCTTGGTTCAAGTTCATTGTGTCTCTTACATGGAATGCCATTAACTCGTGGACACTTTTATGTTTAGTTTTCTTTTCTGTTGACATTGAACACAGTGTGAAAGTTTATTCTCATACAGCCACTAACACCATTCAAAATAGTTAGATAAGTTCCCAGAGTAATGCTTTCATTGCCAAATCATTGTTCAAGCAGCTCTATTTATAACTTATATTTCTTTTAGAATCTTTTACAAAACTTACAATTAATTTATTTCCTCTAGTTTCTAAACTTTTGGGTTCCAGAGGACCACGCAGGGAGTCTCTAGTCTCTTTCTATTCTCTAGTTTTAAACAATTCAAGTCAATATTTATTTCATTTTCTATATTGTAATTTTCCTCCTTTTGTTTTGTACAATAATTCCCACTTATTTTGGTCTGAAAGTGAATTCAGTCACCCAGATTCAGTTCACCATAAATCAGTTTTAATACACAGATTTCAGTCTTTTCTACATGAGTGAACTTTTAAAGTTTCAGCTGTTATATCATTTTATAAAAACTGACTGAGAAATCAGTTGTTCTTGACTCAAACTTTTACATTGTGGACCATTGAAAATCATGAGTGCAAAAATTGCTTTAATGATATAATTTGATTGAATTCATTAATATTACTCAGTTTTTATGTTTAACATTTAGCACTGAGCACAACAAACCAAGTGATATTTGCTTCCTCTGGACGGGTTTTAAAAGTTCATTTGAGGGGGGAACTTTTTATTTATTTATTTTTTAAAGTTTCTTTCCCTCATTCTCCTTCACCACAGGCGCTGCAGCTCTGTCTGGAGCGGTCACACACACGGTCTCCACAGCAGTGATAGTGTTTGAGCTGACCGGACAGATATCCCACATCTTGCCGGTGATGATTGCTGTGATCCTCGCCAACGCCGTGGCGCAGGCGCTCCAGCCCTCGCTTTACGACTCCATCATCCGCATCAAGAAACTTCCATATCTACCAGAGCTGGGGATGGGACATCATGAGTGCGTTTTGCTCTTTAATCTTCTGAAGCAATTTAGCCTTTTTCTTTCATTTGCTTCTTTTCTTTGGTTTACAATGCACCCACTTCTCATCAGCTAAGCTCTATCTTGTCCCCAATGTGATAGGAAGTATAATATCCGTGTGGAGGACATCATGGTCAGGGACGTCAGTTACATTACTCTTAACTCTTCCTACCGTGACCTGCAGGAGATGCTGCTGACTGGTCAACTGAAAACACTTGCCTTGGTTGAGTGCAGAGGTTAGTGTGCATACAATGTGAATATCATTTCATTTAACAATTATCTATGGCCCCAAAGCAAATGTTTTTTAATGTTGATCAACTCTGTTAAGAAACTCTTGTACAGTTAGTCTTATGAAATAACATTGTATTGTTATATGTTGAAATACCAGCATCAACACTGCCATTATATTTTTGTTAATTAGCTTTTATAGATAAAATAGCTTGTTTTTCTTCATTTTCACAATCCGTTGACTTGCATCGTCCTATTGCTCCTTCATCACTGTGTCTGACTTCTTTCCGTCCCCTCCCGTAGACTCCATGATCCTGCTGGGCTCCATAGAGCGTCTGCAGCTCCAGTCCCTTCTGTCTCTACAGCTGGGCCACCAACGGAGGCTGGAATACCTGCGCGAGTTGGCCCAGGACAACGGCACCCACGATCCCCTGCCCAGTCTGACCTCGGACAGCAGCCCCAGCTCCCCCTGTGGTCAAAGCCACCTCAACGCTTCGACCAGCACTGGCGCTCGCCAGGGGGTCCGCTTCCTGGTGAGCACCCAAGAGGTGTGAGGCGTCCGGGGGCGCCAGGGTCGGGGTGGGACTGAAGCCCGGCTTGGGGTGGGCTGTAGCAGTAGAGTGAGAGTGGATCAGAAACAGCATGCCTGAAGCATGTAGCAGAAGGTATAGGCACAGATGAAGGTTCTGCCGTTTTGGTAAGTTTTTACCAAATGTATGAGTATAATTCAAAATTGCTCCTCCATTAACTCTCGTTTTCTGTCTCTGTGTCGTCTGTGCCCTTACCTGTGCTGTCCTGTTTGTATACATGTGCATGTGCTTGTTTTTGTCTTTGCTGTGCTTGTGTGTGTGCATGTGTTTGTGTTTGCCTTCCCCTGTTAATACATTTTCCATGTAGATCTCCACAGAGGAGTCTTCCTCCTTCAGCCCAGCGGTTTCCGGTGCGCAGCTTCCTCTGAAATCCGCCCTCAAAACTGTGTCTGCCATCAGCGAGACAGAAACACCGAACAGTATGTATTTCACACTATTCCGAAAAACACACACAGGCAAGAGGGCTCAGAGGAACATCGAAGCAGGACATTACTTTAAAAAAAATAAAAGGAAGGGAAAAAAGTCAAAATAAAATTGAATAAGACCTGTGTTTTATTGTCTTCCCAAGGCTCACAGACCCTTTCATGTGCAGATCCGGACAAGGAGCTGTTGGAGGTGAGATATGGAGAGTTTATGTCTGCGAGTTTTCCATAAGAACGTGTCATCCAGTGTGTGAGAGGAGGTGTGTTCTCTTTTGGAATCAAAGCGTCCATGTTGTTGCTTGCCTGTCGCTGATGGGCAGGACCCACCCTCTGTCAGCAGGGCTCTGCTGTCTGATATACTGCCATGCTCTAGCTCATGCTTCTGTCACCCTCACTGCAATGCACAAGCACTGCCATAATTTTACTGCCTTTTGGCTGGACTTTAGGCAGTGACAATGCCATGCAGTGGGGTATAAATATTTCTGTTTTTTTCAGGATTGAGTTTATTTTAAACAGTGTGGCAATTAATCTTGGTCAAATACTTGCTGGCATATAACATAGAAAAATGAGCAGCCTAATCATAAAGGGAACTGTTGGTTCAAATATTGTAAATCATAGTGAGCTTTTTTCATTTTCTTACATTTGACTGAATAGATAATTACAACAGATGATTAAAAATGAACGGGTTGCCAGGCCCAAGCTAGTATAAAACTTTAAAGGTGTGTTATTTCAGTACTTCATAAAACTGAAAAGACAAAAGCCTGTTAAGCAGTGTTGATTATATCTTTTGTCCAATTTATTAGATAAAGTGAGCAAGTTTGGAATAAACCTGTCAGAATGTTTTTATTGATGTCACATAATGTGCGTTTCATTGCAGTGCATTATCATGTCTGCTGTAGAAAAAGTCTTTGATTTCCCTCCACAGCTCATCTGAAATGGCAGCCATTGCTTCTGTGAGGGCCTTAAATAGGCTGAGTCAGCTGTGCGTGATTCATTGGAGATAATGTGTAATAAGTTGGGGTTTTTTTCAGCTTTAAACCTGCTAAAAAAATCAGCCATTGAATTGATGATGAAAGAACTAAAATGCGGGATTCAATGCCTTTTTCAGCATCGTATTTATCAGCCAAGCCATCTCGAACAGATTTTGTCCTCTCTTTTTGTTCTGCGGTGTAGTAATTATATCCTTTCAGCAGCATTGTGCTCCCGTCACCGAGATTACTCCCAGCACAAGCCAGACTGGAATCCGGTGTTGCAGCGATGCGATTGTTACGGAGGTCAAAACTGTTCAGTTTCTCTGAATCTGTTTTAATGTTGTGCTGTCTTAATGCCTTCTCTCCCCCCGGCTGGCAGAGCCCAGCTGGGCCGGCTCCTCCTGAAAAAAGAAAGCCCAAACGAGTGAGGATCTCCATGGCGGTAAGACTGTCCGCCGCCTAGAGACTGTTGCTTAGCAACCGTTGCTGTGCGACACATGTAGAGAGTGCTGGTCCAAAGTGTTTGCGGTGCACAAACCAAAGCTTTAGTTGCTTTGCAGAGACAGTGTGTGTGAAGGAGATGTGTGTCTTTTCAGCCTCAGTGTTCAGTGATTGGATAGATTCCACATTAAATTCCTCATGATGTTTTGGATTTTTTTTGTGGCTTTTTTAAGTTTATTTATTTATTTCAGTTGTGGAGGTTGTAAGTGTAGTTTACTGCTGTACAGTTGCTCTTGTAGACCAATAAACTAAGTTATTCCTTATCATAAAGTCCTCTAGACTTAAGATTATACATTTAATTGTATTATTACACTGACATGAAGCAACTAAAACAGTCACAATCGTTGATGTACAATTTTACTTTGTATTGAGATTGTGTGTAATGACTGAAAGAAGTTTTCCTTAGCAGGACTCCACTGAAGTAGAAGACTGTATGACCCCCTCAGAGGTGAGACTTTGCAAACGGAGGATGATAAAAATGATTTAGAGGTTACATGCGTCCATTTTTCTGCAGATAGCAGAGTGGGAGGAGCAGCAGCTCGACGAGCTGGTGGATTTCAAGAACTGCAAAATAGATCCCGCACCTTTCCAACTGGTGGAGCAAACATCTCTGCACAAGGTACAAAAAGCCTTTAACACCCTTTAAAATTGAACTTCTCATTTAAAAGGAGAAAACTGGGCGTATTTTACAATTTATTGTTAACAGCCTAGCTCTATGATTTAGAAAAATCACAATCACAGCACAGAGATGATCTTTGGGTTGAACCATAATATTATGTTTTAATGGGTGCTCTGGTTCTGCCCTAAAGTGTAGAATGAGACATTAATGCATTGGGCTTTAGTGGACTCATTAGCCTACACTTATGCTGAGGTCAGCACATAGTCACGTTGAGATGAAGGGTGCTGATGATGCTGGTGAAATTCACAGCTGTTCAAAGCCACGGAGAAATGTAACTTATGTCAGATGTCATCCTCAGACTGTCCCACTGTTATTGGCCGCCTGGGTTTATGGCTGTTGGGCCACCGCATCTGACTTGATGATCATCCTTAGCCCCAAACACATGACCCAGTCCAATCCCAGTGTGACAGTTTACACAGCGCAGAATCAAAATGCAGTTAAGCATCTTTCGTCCTTCTTGTCCACAGACTCACACCATCTTCTCTCTCCTGGGCCTGGATCACGCCTACGTGACCAGCATGGGGCGGCTCGTTGGAGTAGTATCTCTCAAAGAGGTGGGCATCCTTCAACTGGTGAAAGAATTCATTTAAAATGGTTATGTTGTTGTTTTTCGGATTTTAAATCACGTTGGCCACTCCCCCCGCATTAACAGCTACGCAAAGCCATCGAGGGCTCGGTGACGGTGACCGGAGTGAAGGTTCGACCCCCTCTGGCCAGTTTCCGTGACAGTGGGAACAGCACAACCGTATCCGAGGTAACCGAACTTCACAAGCTGTGCATGCGGCACAGAGGGCTGACGTTGCCACGGGAACCCAAACCTCTGGACGGGGCTAACCAATCGAACCACCCATACACAGATGTCCCTATCACGTTTTCGGACCAAACTAATTTGCAGTTTGAAACCAGTCTCGGCGACGTGTCGAACCCGTTGTCAGAGCTGGTCCTTCAGGAAAGCCCCTCGTTCAACGAGGACCAATCACAGTTTACTTTTGACTGCAGCCCCTCCCACACCGAGGAGTCAGAGTTGGCTTGTGACTATGACCCTCCCACCCAAACTCCAGAACCAGAGGAAACGGAGCAGGAGCTTGGGAGCCCATCTCCGAACAATGACCAATCAGAGCCTGTGGGAGAGGGTAGCACCGTCCACCTTGAGGATCGCACAGAATGATCAGATATTTTCTGTCCCATCATGAATGTTGACGTTTCTTACATTTGTAGAGGTCCAGCCTAGATGCTCGTGTTTATAACGTTGGTAATGTGTGTATGAGAGCGTGTTGGAAAATGTCTGTTGAAAGGTCAAAGCTGGTTTTATTTGTATCTGTGTTACAGTCAACAGATCTGAGACCAAAACAAAATAAATCAACAATCCTTTCTGAATGTATGATCCATGTATGCTTATGTTATTCATTACATATAATTTTTTAGACCCAAGATGTTCATATATGTGAAAGTCCCACTGCTTACAGCGTCTAAAGCTATTTTTTCCCCCACATATAGATCTAGAAAATGGTTTGTTCACAGGAGAAAAAGTACTGAAGAGTGTATTTTCCTCCACAGCTTCAAACTGCATTAGCTGCTCCTCATGTGTTCAAATTGCAATATTTTTAAGCCCTTGATTTTAAGTGTTAGTTTGGAAAACTCAGTGTCCCTGTGGTGTAGTGGTGAGCTGTTTGAACAGCTCTTTGTGAGGCCTGTTTAATGGCCGATGGTAGGATGCATTTGATAGGCTGTACACTTAGTAAGTCATGTCATATGATGTGAAGTAAGAGGATACAATCTTCAGTTTCACAACCAAAAAATCACTTCAACAGCCCTATCAATATGAGGGATCCTGTTGAATAATATCAGATAAGTGTTTCATTTTCAGAGGGAATTCGAATGCCTAGGTGTACAATGAAAAATATTTGTATTAAATAAAAATATAATTAATTGATTCTTGGAAATAACATGAGGTTGTAACAACAAATGCTTAAACTACACGATCAGGAAATGAGGAAACCTAATTCTCCTCAGTACAGACAGCAGTTCTGTGTGTTCATAATTTTCTCAAGATGATACGGCATATTTTGTGTGGTTAGATGATTTTTCTTGTTTTCACATCAAACTTTTTTTCACTTTTTAAACATTTTTTCAAAGTCTGGACACATTGTGTTAACGTGTTTTTATTAATTGGCCTGTTTAATGTAATTCATATTTTTGTTGGAGTCCACACAAGTCTGGTCTTTAAACGTGGGGATCGTTTATAATAAAGACACAAGAAACATAACCAGCTTTTATCTTTCACATGTGTGTGTGCGCTTGTGTTTTGTAGATGTGTATGAAAGATAAATTTTATTTTCCAAACCTGGTCTTAATTTTAATTTTGGAATTAATTTTCCAAAGTTAAAATCCTCTCCAGCTTGATGCCAAACAGTAATAGAATAGAAATGAGTCACAAACAAATAATATAGAGTGAAAACAAAAGGAGCAAATAATAAAGAAAGCACAGAAGAGCAAAATAATTATTCAAATGAGCACAAAGTTTGTTTGAATTAACAACTACCTATTCACAAGCACTGGACTAATGTGTGTTAAAGTCAGAATAAATGGTTATAATAGGTTAGAGTGGTAAAAATGTGTCGGCTGATATGCAATAAATTTACATTATTAATTTAGTGAAGTTGAAGTGGAGACTGCATAATTGACAACAGTCAGCAGTTGCATGTCACAACATATTCTTATCAGAATATTTATTTTATTTATTCTTATATTAATATACATATTAGTCCCTACCATTTACTATCAGCTGGGATCTATATACACAATGACAAAGGCAGCTTCCAGAGGTTCCCAACGCTTGGTACTCTACCTAAGACAAAGCACACTGTAATTAACATGATATTATTTACTGCTCATGTAGCCTTGTTTGGGATTACAGGAACTGGATAAATGAGGTCAATGCAGACAACCCCCTCTACTCTATAAGAATTTGGTGAATTTCTATGTGGCTAAAGGTTCAACACTATCTCTGAGTTGTTGGAAAACATTGTTGGAAAACAATAACATATATATGACACCAAAACTGTCACATGCTGTGCCTGCAAATATGAGAACTTTTTTTTTTTTTTTTTTCGAGCGTGGCCTCCAATTCAGTGCCGATGAGATGCATCTTCTGTACGAAGCCCCAGGAAGTGTTTGTTTATCAAAGAGTATGTGAAAACTTGAAATGAATTTCAAATGTATGTATTTTACCTTCATGCAGCACCTTTGAGCCATATTTCAATCTTATGTGAAACCACTGCAACACACCAAACAAAGCTCTTTTTATTTTAAATTTTTTATTATTTTCTGTCTTTGGAAGCAGTTGTGCATTTAATGTCTTAATGTTTTGGTTGCAAATAGAATGTGCAGTAGAGCTTGCCATATAATGTAAAAGGAATTAAATGTAGAATGCATATAAGCTCATTTGCAGCGTATCTAGTTAAGCAATAAGTCTGTAGTATCTCCCTTTATATGGCACTGGCCTGTATATGCTTTGTACATATGAAAATATAACGATTGGAAAGCTCATATATGTGATTGTATATAGAAGAATTATGGATTTGAAATCAGCAGCCACTGTTATTTTTCAGAGAAACATCAAATTGTTTTTGTACAAATGTGAATGATTAAATTTAAAGTAAAATACATGAAAGACCAGAGCGCATTTGTGTTTTTCCTTTTGTGATAATATTACGCTTGGGAATGGAAAAAAAACAAAGACTCTTGTTTAAAAAAATCATATTTATAGATGAAGAACATTCAGTCTTTCCATATCAAACCCACATGATACAGCATGACCTGGAAAGGAAACAACACTACAAAATATCCATAGAAAAACCAACTTGGTAAGCAACACATGACTTCACGAAAATGTACAAATCTCAGTTTGAACAACAGCATTACATTCTGGTTGAACTCTCCAACATGTATACTGTTTAGGGCAGCGATATACAGTGGAATGAGATCAGCGAAAGGCTTGAAGTATGAGGGGACAGAAGACTGCGAGTAGAGCTGGGGTAAGGAGAAGGAAGAGGAGAGAGGTTCACGATGCAAGCAGAGTAGATCATGTCACATCAGAATCAACACAGACTCAAAGAGGACATAAAGATGGACAACATCACATCAAATACTCCTTCTCCTCCTTCTTTTCTTCCTCCATATCATCTCTCTCCTCCTCTTCGTCGAAAGACGCCACTCCGGAGGAGGCCCGGTCGGAGAAGAAGCCCCTGGGGCTGCAGTGCCAGACCCGGACCTCGTGAAACACGTTGCCTTCCTCCTCCTCGTCCTCCTCGTCCTCCTCCCCGGGGGACTCGGAGTGGGAGGTGGAGTAGCAGGAGTCGTACCTGCTGCTCCTCGCCCGGGGCCTCCACTCGGGCTTGTTGTGGATGCAGACTTCACTCTGCTCCTCCTGCAAAGGAGCCATCTGCTCCTCCATAGCCTCCAGCCTCTCCTCCTCTTCCTCCAGGAATGGAGGCATGCAGTCGCCGGGCGGAGCAGAGGCCGAGCCGGCCGGGGACGGATGGAGATTATTGGGAGTCGGACGCCTGTCGCAGACGCCGTTGCCGGTAGAGACCATCGTACACTCGGAGGTCGCTGGCTCGCTGCCTTGAGAGTCAGGCTGGCAAAGCTCGCCGTCGATGTGATCGGATGTGGCGGCGTCTGGAGGAGGAGCAAATGGTCAGAACACCTGGACGTGGATGTGTTAACGGGTCAGGAAATGAAAAAATGAGGGACCGTGTCAGTGAAAATGGATGAGAATGATCAGCGGCATGATTTGAAACTAATAAAAATGGTGGATGTGTTAGATACCTGAGCTCTGGCTGGTCAAGCTTTGAGTCTGTCCATTGGAGTGTATGTCTTCATCATTGAATATATCTTCCTCCTCATCGTCGTCGTCCAGAGAGGCCCATGCACGCAGTTTGGCCTCAGCAATAGCAAACTGCTCGGCTACACCTAGAAAAAAGCAATGGTCAGGTAGCCAAATACCCTGTGATTTAAATTTTTGGGCTTTAAACTGTAGACCTTTGTGTTCCCTAAAGATGGTTTTGTCGTTTGCAAATTCGTCTCTAAATACAGCTTTCTTGAAATAAAATCCCATGTTGCTTGAGATGTTCTACTTCTGGAAGAATGTCTGCTGATGACTTTTTACATTTGTTATGATGCATAACCATGGCAACAGGAAAAGTTAGCTTTTTATTGTAGCAAGTGTATAAGCTTTCTGAAGACCAAATAATGTCTGGCACAAGACCACAAAATACAGGTGAGTTACAAAGAAGAAGTCTACAATTCAGGAAAAAAAATGAAGAAAGGACGATTTTATTTTAGATGAGGAAGTTTAAATCTGTTTTTCCCTACATGCTCACAGGAAATGCAAAAGATTACTGGCAGACAAAGCGTACGACGTTGTGTTTACTAGGATGCATCAAATTATTGGACCTGACTGCAGAAACTAATATTAATACGTCTCTGCTCTATGAAAATTGCTCTGAAATATTTTTCAGCTGATTTATTTGTTATCCAGCTTTGACAGAACTTTATTGTGTTTCAATTCAACTATTAGTTTTTAAATGCCTCATTTGTCCACAGTTAGAAGTTTGTTATTTAGATCACATCTGTTGTTGTAAGTAAATAATGTTTGTGTTAAATAATTATCTGAAAACACACATTGAAAGCTTACACATATTGACAGTAGTCTGATAAAAATAAAAATGACTGATCAGCATCTTCCAAAATCCCCCAGTCAGCTTTAACTGAACCGGAATGGTTTACAAATATGTAGCAATTTTTAAGAAAACGACGGGATTTGATGGAAATGACCAAACAAACATGATGATGCAAGGTGAGACGGGATCGTTGTTCTTTCAGCAAAAAGAAAAATATTAATAATAATACACAGGTGACTACATCTTTTTCGTTGAAGGGCCTAAAGCCACAGGGTTTTCAAATGAAAACATTCCTCCTCTCTATGCAAATATGCATGGAAACCTTTGCCCCCCAAAAAAATAGAAATTGGTAATAACCAGATCTCAAATGCAATTCAAAAATCAGCGGGGGATGTCATGGTGTTTACGTCCTTTTGAATCCAGCGCATGCTTCACAGCTTAGAAAAAGGAGAGGGCAGTTCAGCAAAACAGATAACTGTCTTACAGGAATTAACTTCAGCAGGTGGTCACTTTCTTATATGCTTAGTGTGATGTTCAGGCTCTTTGCTGGCTATGTGGGGCTCTCAACTCCCCACATGGACGGGGCCTCCAAGTGTAACCACAGTTAGCATCTTGTTTATTAAGAAAAGAAAAAAACTAAAACCTTTAGGAGTTTGATTCTGTAAGCCGGCTTTGTTCCTGTGATCTCATTTGCTGGAGCTAATCAGTGATTTCAACTAGAAGATGATTCATTCCAAGCTCTGCCAAGGTTTTTTTTTTTTTTTTTTTGGATCCCTGCTTCTTTCCAAATACTTTCCAAGGAAAATGTTCTTATGTGTCAACCATCTGTTGTCTCAGGTTATCTATGAATAACTTGAAGAAATTAATTATGTTTCGTGTCCCTCAAATTTGTTTTGCAACACTACAGACGTGGGGGAATAAACTGGATGATACATATTGGCTTCTGATTTTACTAAATAAATTGGTCTATATGTTACATTTTTTCAATCATTTAATTTAGAATAGTCTTACTTAGATAGTGTGCAGATCATTTTAACAAGAAATTAAAATCTAATATACTAGATAGTCAAAAACCTTAGAGACATACCCTCATGTTGCCAATTGTCTAAAATACAATTGTTCAGATTTTTTCCTTTGAAACCGTGGCAAACGTCTAATACAACTTTAGAGATAAAAAACATTTAATTTCATGGATTTTTCCCCCCTGTAAGAGAGAAATGCACAGTTTGCAGAGAAACATTCGACTCCATGATGTCTATGATGCACCTTGCTTTCCTCCCTCTTGCTCTATCTCCCCATCAAAGCACAACAATGTCACCACCGCCAGAGAGGATGAGTCACAGTCACAGCTAAACAACAGGGACTGCTGTACCAGTGGACAGTGAAGGGCTGTGGGAGAATGTGTCTAATAGGCCACCATCTGCTGCCAAGACGAGCCGTCACCCGAGAAACGCCAGGGTGGGCGGAGCCTATCGCTGACAGAGGAGTTTTAAGGGGATTAGGTGCGTGACAGAAGGTGGGCACCGGTCACGAGACAGTGCTGTGGTTAAACCGTGCTAAGAGGATGCTCATGCTGACACAAATAGACATGTGACTAATGAATGTGTTTTAAAAAAGCATATTGTTTTCCCCTTGACATTAGTTTAAAGAGGAAAAGCACAAATACCTGCAGCAAACCGAGCCTCCTTCTCCCCTTCGGTCAGGTGGCAGTAGGAGTTGAAGTGGGACTGGGCCCCCGGTGGGGGGGCCGCGGGTTTCGGCCAGCCCTTCCACTCTATGAGGTGGGCCACCCGGCCCTGGGCCAGCGAGGTGGGCTTGGTCACATGATCCCTCACAGCCTGGGAGATGCCTGACACGGAGAGGTAGAGGTCAGAATCTGACGCTTGAAGTCATGGGGTCGAAACTCTAAAATAAAAAAAAGGCTTGTTTCACCGTTTAAGGAGGACCTGGCCAGCGCGGCAAACTCATGGATGCCGACACTTTTCCGCGAGTCAGCTGGAGATTTTCCTGACTTCGGAATCATTTCACTCTCCTCAAATTTCACCTGCAAGACATTACCCTTAGATTTTATTGTGGTTATTTGTTTTAAAGCAAACAAATAAAGCAAACAAATAACCACAATAAATTCCAGATTCCAGCAAACAAAAATATACATTTTACTACATTTATGTGTCACATTTTTATGAGATTTACAAATAGCATCAAAGATCATTAAGGGAAAACACACAGAACAGAGACACAGACATGCCTTATTGTGCCAAGAAAAACTGCATCGCCTTAAGTTTAAATGTAAAAGAAAATCTTTTCCTACCTCTTCCTCTTTCCCCCTCTCCATTGTTTCATTACTCCCAGTGCTCAGGCGCATTGTGGGCATGAGGAGATGGTGTCAGAGTGCAGTAAACCAGCACAACTAAACATCGCCGCTTGAGCGTAGTGGTTTAAACCACAGGGCAGGCAAGCAGACAGCTATGCCCTAAATTTACTGCACAGATGCTTCTAAAGCCACAGTAAGCCGGCGAAACCGGTTTGAATGGTTGGGGTGGAGGGGTGGTGGGGGGTGGAGGGGGGGCGAGGGCAATGGTGACAGTCTACATTGGAGTGGGCAAACATATGGCATGTGACCAGCCCTGGGTAAGCAGCTCCAGCCAGGCCTGCTCATCACAAAGCCGCTGATTAAAAGTGATAGCCCCACCTAATGAACTCGGTGCCCACAACAAGCGCACATGACCGAGCAGATTGGTCGGGTGAGCCAATCCCGCGGCCACAGATGCCGCGGCAACTTCACACAAACAGAAAATATTGTCGGTGAATGACTTGACAGATATTCTTAAGCAGATTGGCTCCCAAAGAAGCTAAGGAAGGGAGAAAAAAAAAGCCTCCTAAGTGGTTGAAGGCTTACACTGAAGTGAAGCATGACACTAAATGTGTGTCAGTGCCACTGGGAGGGAGTGATATGTAGGTGCAAACAGTTTTTCCAGCCAGACTCCACGCTCCTCGGAGGAGAATCTCAGCCTCACAACGCACCTGTGAGACGTCACTCTTCCTGAACGCTGATAAACACATGCTCAGCGTGTAGAGCCCTCAAAGGCTCCCTACTGAGATGAAGCCGTGTAGTTTTCGGCACCGCAGACTGCTCGCTTCCCTCAATAAGGGAAAGAAAATAAGCCCGATAAATCTACAGCTGCAGTATTTGCGAAAAACTAGGACTACAGTAGGTCATATGCAAATATGCAGCATTTGAAATGTATAACAGTAATTCCTACCTGTATTTCCCAGAAGTGAAACAGTTTTTCAGAGTGAAATCTGTATTTAAATGATCTCATTTTATTTGAATGCTAAATTTCTTGTATAATTAAACAATATAAATACATATGTTAAGCACGCTGAGCCTTCAAAAAAAAGCAAGAACAGTATTTATTTGACTAGTTTGTGAGTTTCAAGTTTATGTCCTTTGGGTTCTATCCATTGTATCTTTGCAGTGATTTTGCATTTTGTTTATGGGTTGAATTTTAGTTGCACGTTTGTCTTTTTGGTCATTTTTTTCTTCTGTCCCGTTTTATTAATTGGAGTGTCATACTGGTCCTACTCATTTCATAACTTGTTCTTTGATTTTGTGTTTTATGCTAATTATTTTGTGCCAATGTTTTTCGTCTATTGATTGCCTTTTTTAAACACTTCATTTATGAAGGTTTTTGGCACACAGTGCATATAAGTATGTGACAGGATGAGAAAATAGATTGCTAGATACTGTATAGCAATGACAACAGATGTCAACATACAAGAAGAGAAAATATTACATGAAACAAGACAAAACCCAAAAAGTGCATTCAAAAGGTCTGAAGACACCTTTAAGGTTTGTATTAGTAGTTCCAGGTCAATTAAAATATTCACATAGTTAACATAAAGGTCCTCAGAAGTATGAACTTTCTTCATTGTCATTGTTGTCCTTTTTAAAACACTTTGCATCTCATTTCTGTTGTTTCGTACCTAATATTTTCAGACCGTGTTGTTCCCTTGTATCCTTCTTTGTACATGACTTGACTCTTAAGGGTCATGTGGGTCTTCATCGTACAAATGAGGTTTTTCTTTGTAATAATGGTGTCTACCCTTGGAATAATTTCATGATCACTGTGGTGTCTGTGTTTTTTTTCTTGTATTGGGATTAGATTGTGTGTAATTTGTGCTTCCCTGCAAAGCTATAGTGTCTGCTTGGTTAAACTCAATGAATCAACGTAAAATACATTCTGATAAAAGGTGCCGTTTAACCCCAGATTTCCCTGTGAGCCTTGGGAAGGTCCTGCAGTCTGGCTCTGCAGCATGACCTCTGCAGGGCACACTTCTGTCATCTGATTTCAAGCGGTTGTCTGTTATTTTTTTTGCTGCATTTAATCAATCATATCATATGTAAACAAAAAAGACTGGAAGTGTAATCAACGATTTCTTTGTGGTTTAAGATACTAATAAATCTACCTTTCATTCAGCCAGGGCAGCATATGGGTACTGCTTGTGTTATCATTTTGGATTCTGCTTTTCATATTTGTTTACATATCATCCAAGAAACATTCTGATAACAATCAGGGCTCAGAGGTACAGAAGACACTGACTTGATGTGGCTAATGTGGAGCTGTTAGTATGAGCTGTCCTTATTAAAAACTCATATTTCACATTGAGCGTGGCATATGCCTTTCCTAAATCCAAACAAACTGCATGATTATGAAGTTGCAAATGTAGGCCTATTCTTTTTTTGTACCCAGTTGTTTAGACCATTTTGTCCTCTGCCTGCAGACCCACTGTGAAGTGACTTATTGGCTAAAGCTGGGCAGTGGAAACAGAGGTGATCTGTCCTCTGCTCCTCCGGAGACTGCGATGGTGATTTATACGACCAACAAGTGGGACCGGGTGAAATGGAGCCTGGGCTCTGTGTGTGAATGGAGAAAACTGCAGTGCCGAGAAGCCTTTTTTTTTCTCTTCTCCTCTTGAAATGGTGCATTCAAGCAACTGAAGAAGCGGCACACGCTGCTGACTGAACCCCCCCACCCCCACCCCCCTCTTTTGCTGAGACCAAGTCTGTAGCCTGCAATCGTGAAGGGGAAAAAAGGGCACAACAGGCGCAGATGCAGCTGCAGAGCTCCTGAAGTCTTAATCTGCATACCAATAGCTCCATACCTGCATCAGACAAGCACCACGGAAACACCAAAATCCTGTGCCCTTTATGCGCACCTCCATCGCTCCGACGATGCTCGTGTGCCTAGTTATTTTTGCTCACAGCCACTCTCTCTCTCTCACACTCTCTCTCCTTCTCTCTCTCTCTCTCTTGCTCTCTCTCTCTCTGTGTACCTACCTGGAAATCGGACCGCGGCGGCTCATGACAATGCGCTTAACTGTCTCCGATCGGATCAACAGGGTGGTTTGTCCTACAGCTGCGGGGTCTGCAGTGGAGCATCAGTGGCCCGCCGGCGGCGGAAACATCTTCCAAACTCCCGGATTACACCTCCGGCTCAGACGCACCATTTGTTGCTCGGTATATGGGTTACATATGCTGAAGGCTGTCCAAATGTCTCCCGATGGCGAGCGTCATCGACGCAAGGCGGTGTCATCTCCTTTCCCCCCTCCTCCTCCTCCTCCTCCTCTTCCTCTTTCTTCTCCCCGGCCCACGCTGCTGAGAAGATACAGAAAAACTTGCGGGTTTGGTGTGAGAAAATGACTGATCTTTCGTTTTTTTTTTTTTGCCCCTTTTTCTTTTTGTCTCATCGAACATCCCAAATCCAGATCCTCCAACAGGACGCACGCAAGAAGCATGTATGGCCATTTCAAGAAAAACATCACTTTAGTTTTGTGCCTTTGATGAATATGACTTGAAATGATGTAGAGAATTCAAATGGAACCAGACAATCCATAAAAACCCCGTTGCCTCTGAAAAATGTGTTACTCTGTGGGCAAACCGGTCAGTGCGCGCCTGGCTGCACCAGTATGGACATATCTGACATTTCCCAGTGTTTACTCATGCAGGGGTCAGTTATCCTATACTTATCCCTGGTATGATTACAGCTATGTTCTATGCTCTATCGAGATAGGACACGTGAACCCTCAGGTTCAAGGCACAAATGGCAGAATCCTGGGTCAAATTCACATTTCAGACACACAACGCTGCTCAGCAACTTAAGAAGTCCTTTATTTGCAATGTTCCATAACCTTGTATTTCCAGTTTCCGATGCAAAAGAAGCCAATAATTTCTTAAATAAAGAAAGCAAAAGAAAAAAAAAAAAGGAAAAAAATATTTACAAAATTCAAATAAACTAATAATCAATGTATCATCTAAAGCGCCTCTCTGCATCTGGACAACTGTGGTTTCTGTTGGAAAAGGATGGACACTGCAATTACATCAGAAATGTATTGTTTCTGAAAAATAAAACTGAAAAAAAAAAAGTTTATCATTATTATATATTTACAGAACGGTCCTGAAATGAGTTTCCACTTAAAGTAGAAAAGGCTTTCGGATCATTTCTGCGTTGTTTTTTTTGTTTTTTTAAGTTTTCCTTTTTTTTCTTCCACTGTATATATATTTCATCAAGTCAATTTTTTTTTTCTGTATATTTCAAGTTTTTAACTGTGATTGGGTCATTAAGTGTCCTCTACAACAGCTCAGGTTTAAGCAAAGAAGAGGCAAAGATGTCGGTGAGTGTGGTTCACTTCTGGGGATGGGAGAGGATGGCTTAGAGGAAGCATTAAGACCAACCCCAGCAGTCAAAGTCAACATCAGTCCTCTTCAAGTTCATGATAGGAAATAGGAAGAAGAAAAAAAATAGACAACCTTTGCTTTAAAAACTCCATTGTCAAATTAAGATTAGTTCATGTACATTTTGTCTACGAACATTTTGCCCACTGTTATCAGTATTAGAAACACACTTCAGTCATGCTGCACACTCCAGTAAAGGACAAAGACAGAGGAGCCATGTTTGGACTGAAAACACAGTATCCCGTGAATCAGGGAGCCCACCACACCACGCGTCCAACTGGTTACTTCTGCAAGTCAGATAGGATGTTAGGCATTAGAATTGTCTAGAATAATGAAAAAGCAGCCGGTTGGTTTGTGTTACTGTGAGAAGAGAAAAGTTTTCGTAGTGATGTGGGAGACTTCACACCTCATTAACAAGCAGTCCTGCTCATTTTGTTTTCAAGTTTATTCGATGAGGACACTTGCTGTGTAAAGCAGGAGAGGGGAAATGAGGAAGCAGGAGAAAGGAGAGAAGAGAGAAATGATTGTTTTCTGAGTCCATCCCTCAAAGAAAAGAAAAAAAAATAAAGATTTATCCTCATTGAGGATTGATTCGAGTCTGCCCCTCTGGCAATATTGTCCATAACTCCATGGCGGTCTGCAGAGCCCCTCCTTGACCAATGGGGGCGACTGCTTTCTCATCATTCCCCTCAGTCCTTGTCGGACTCCTCCTCGGCCTCACGGAGCCAGGTGAAGAAGGCTGTGACTGACTTCAAGGCCACACCTTTGCCTGTCTGCTCGGCGGGGTCTTTGCTGGACTCCCATTTGTAGAAGGCCTCCTCTTTAATCACGTCCTCGTCGTACAGGGCGTCGAAAAACATCCGCAGCAGGTCTGCAAAGACAGAGCTCAGAGGTCACCACCGATTGTGCACTGGCCTTGTAAAAACAGCTGGTATCAGACCTGACTCGCAGCTCAGAGCAAGGCGGAGAAACAATCGAGATTACAGGAAGTGAATAAAGCTAATCCTGGCTAATTCTGGCTAGTTTTGCCTTGTGAAGGACAGTTAAAGGACAAAAAGAAAATCTTTGCACAAACAATGACTCTTGTTGCTAATCTTATATCCATTTTGCATGATTGTTTGGAGCAGGACACTCACTTGCAGGCTGCTCCATGTGCACCATGAGTGCCTGCAGGGCGTAGAGAGCCTGCAGCTCTTTCTGCTCGTCGCACAGATATCTCTGCAGCAGACTGGCCCGCTGGTTGATTTGCTGCACGTCCACTTTGTACGGGTTGTCGCCTTAAAAAGGAGGAGTCGAGCATGAGAGCTTAGAAAAACGACCAGGGAAACTAAGCACTTCCAGCCATTTGCATTAGTATTTTTGTCACTGCTCCGACCGGCAGCGCTGAATAACAGGTAGGAATGTGGGAAGGATTTCAAAAAAGACGCAGCTCCGACCTCACCGCGCTGCCTTAAGTCATACTTACATATGATGGCCGACTGGCACACGGATGTCATCAATGCTCGTATGAACTGGTTGGAGGCAGTCTGCTGCTCGTCCAAATTAGCCTGAAAACAAAATATAATAAACATTAAAAATGGCCCAAAAAATTACTTTGAACACTGTAGTGACCTTCAAGAGGGTCCTGCCATGACATAGACAGATGTTCCCAGATGCTAACAGTCCAGAAAATTCCCCACTAACTCGGTAACTTGAGTAAATATTACTGCAGAAACCCTGTCAGTGGCTCACAGAATGCGTACGGGAAAAAACCTCTGCTCTTTTCCCAGCTTTAAATGACTGATCGTCTGGCTTTTTCTTTCTTTGTTTTCACAAGCAGGAAGCACTCGAGCCTGAACATTCTGGCACGGACTGCAGCTGTAGCTTTCACACGGAGCGGCAGACCCACCTCAATCCAGTCTCTGATCCGCTGGTTGTTGGCTTTGTCCTGGAGGAGTCTGTCCAGTTGTTTGCTCAGCTCCTCTCCACTGAGGGCTTGCTTATTACCGGCTTCCTTTGAGTCCATGTCCTCTCCAGTGGTGAACTCCACTTTCTGAAAATAAATGCACCCTATCAAGAACGCCCGAAGACAAGCCCAGGCCACTTCCTACAAACCGCCAATCTCACTGAACCAGTTTTTGGCTGCGAGCAGACAAACAGAAAGCGACATTCACTTTCAATACTGATAAAGGTATGCAGCTAAAAAAGCCTCTACAGCCAATTCGTTCCAGGGCACATTGGAGTTGAGGTTTATCTACTATTTCTAAATACAATTAAATGAACATCTTGGTCAGACGTGTCCTGTTTTAAAGCTACCAAAATAATTTTCTGTGCCAGCATCAAGCACAAGCTGGGCCGAATGACCCATTTTTTAGTCAATGTTTGAAAAAAATTGACCATTTTAAGTCATGTGCATAAACAGTTTAAACAGGCCTTTAAATAAGCGCTCCCACTTCTTTCCGTGGAAAACCGAAAGAGCTCCACATACCTCATCAGTGACAAACTTGTTGACATCTTCATCCTTGGGCAGGAGGTCATTCCAATTTAACCCAGCTTCTTTCCACAAAGACCCGACCTTCTTAGCAGTCTGACAGGAAGGGAGGGGGGAAACACCTCAATTTAGTGTCACTTTACTTTTCTTTTTGAAAAAATAAAATAAAAACACAAAACAGTAAAAGGAATTCAAGTTTGTAATTGAGTTTTTTTATGTGATTTCAGTGCTTACCATTCCTTTGCAGAGCAACTTCAGGATCTGTGCCAGCAGGACACCCGCCTTCCCCAGAGGCACAAGAGGCTTCGAGATCTCCCTGAACAGACGACAGCACAGTTAAGCGTTCGGTTTTTTGGTCGTTTGATGGAAGGCCAAAAAAAAACAGGATTAGCGTTTCTAAAAAATCTAATGAGGTTTCAAAACACAAGCCAGGGTCACTTTCAGGCATTCATAGACATTTGACTGTACCATTTCATTATTGGGCTTCTGTGACTTTAACATGAAGACGTGTTAAACAGCCACAGGTGTATGGCATGCAGGGATTTTATTCTTGTACAACCGATTCGTGTATTTTTGCTCCTATTAAAGTTGTACAAAAACATATCTAGGAGGCTGGATAAGCTTGTGTGCTGGAACTGTGAGCTGTTCAATCCTGCTCAGGCAGAACATGTTGGCCAGGGAGAGACACAGGGGGCATTGTTGTGAGACATTAGAGGAACATTAGGTCTAATTCAGGTTATGTGTCTTTATGTCAGACCAGCCTGTCTGTTCTTGTCGGGTTGCGAGCGCCGTCCTGGAGTCATCCCACAGTCTGGAGGGGGAGCCTCTCTCGACTGTGTCAAGTCCATTTTGCGTCCCAACTCACCTGAAGAGTGGTCCCATAGGGATGCCTCCCTCGTGGAGCATGGGGGTAAGGAGTTCAGCGAGGTAAAGCCAGATGTGAGGTATATCTATGGCCATGTCCTCTGCTGCCTCCAGGATTTCTTGTAGCCTACAACAAGACAGAAACTCAGCCTCTTAGACCCAAAGCTTCACTTCTCCTCCACAACAACAACATAAAGGACACCGGATCACGCTGCCAACTGCTCACCCTTTGTAGTACTGCTGCGTGGGCAATGTCCCAGCTTTCACAAGCTGGTGCAGCAACAGGCCCATGTGCTCTCTTGCAATGGTGCTGCGCTCCAGAGTCGACTCCACGCCGTTCCGCACAAACACGTACAGCAGCGAGGCACTGTTGAGCTCTGCAACACACTGCAAGGCCTCCTGCGGCGAGGGGAGGGATAAATAAAGACAAGAAAGTCAGCGGGGCGCACGCCAGGAGTTCAAACCGGCGAACGCTTTCGTGCCAGTTTTCGTACCTTCACGTCGTTGATGTGGAGGTATTCTTCAATGATGGCGCTCGACTTCTTCTCCACTTCTTCTTCGGACAAGGCAGGTTTGGGAAGAGAAGGAGGAGGAGTGGGAACGCTCTCGCGCTTAACTGTAGAGAAACGGGATGAAAACGCAAATTACACCTCGATGTACAAACTTATTCATCTAGCTGACACATTTTCTCAACTTTAATTAGAATTCATTTTTATACCTGCAACGTCTCTGCTTGGACGCCTGTCGCGGCTACCTTGGTCTCTACTTCCGCGGTCTCTGCTTCCTCTGTCTCTGCTGCCCCGGTCCCGGCTTCCTCTGTCTCGGCTTCCTCTGTCCCGGTCGTCGGTCATGCTGGCGACGCGGCGCATGGGTTCGACAGCGGCCCGGCTCTCTCCGCCCCTCCCGCCGCGATCCTGTGACTCTCTGCTGTAGCTCCTCTTGGTGGCCTGGCTCCCGTCGCGGGCCTCGGGGCGGGTGAACCTGTCAAAGCGGTCCCCCCTGTCTCTGTCCCCGCCGCGCTCACGGCTGGAGCTCGACCTGGAAGGTTTCGGTGAGACAATTCTGCACTTTAACGTTTCGATGAGTACATTTTAGAAGTTGTTTGCGCCTCACTGTGAGGCGGCAAAGAAATACATTCAGAAAAAGCAGAAGGACCGCAAATTTAGCTGCATTTCGGTGTGCGCCAAGTACCTCTGGGGAACTCTGCGATCGGACTCGGCTGGAGGCTGCATGGGGCCAGACTGCTGCAGGGCTGAGAAGCGGTTGAGGGTGCTGGTAGCCGGACGTCCAGATTCTTAATAGAGGGGCAAAGATGCATTAGGCCCCTCCCTGAAATAAAACAACCACATGACGTCTTTTCAACAGAAGTGTCTTACCCTGCTCTCCACTTGCTGGTTTAGCTCCACTGCCGCCACTGCTGCCTTTTCCCCAGCTCCCCCACATGCCTTTTCCCCCGGGGGCGAGTAGCTGGTTGTTGAAGTCCAGAGCACCGGGCTAAAGAGAAACACAAAGTTACATTTATAGACAAAGAAACTTAAACTGGCTGAGAATTAGAACTCCATATCAAACTGTGCAGATGACCAGATCATATGCATGGAAGATTTCGGCCTTACCTTTGTGATCTTGCTAATGCGGGTAGTGTCGATGGGTCGATTCTTTGAGATGGGCACTGTGTTCCAGCCCTCGTCCTGAGGCACGCTGATCCGGCTCCCTGATGCGTGAGGGCCTCGGCCCCCCATGTTCCCTCCCATCCTGCCGCCGCCGCCTCCTCCTCCTCCTCCTCCTCCGCCACCCCCATCCTTCTTTGACATAAGCTGCTGCACTTTGATCTGTTCCCTGTGCTCCTCCAACTCTGCCTCTTTGTGAATCTGGTCAATTGTTTTAGGACCCTGGTCTCCTCTGCGAGGTACCCAGTTGCACTGGAGAGGAGTTAGGAGGCGATTAATATGATTCACAGTGCATGTATGCATATCAAAAGATTCTCTCTACATAAATACTTTGTGTCATGAACAGTCTACATGAAAACATGATATCAGCTCTTTCTTTCTACATGTTCTTGTGGTTTAACATTTACCCTTCTAAGGTCCAAGACATCTTGCAGCATGAAGCGGATTCTGGATGAAGTCTTTCTCTCTTTGATGATCTTGTCCATCTGGTTGAAATACTGATCCATACGAGGCTGGCGAAGAAAAAAAAAAAGTGGCTTTTAGGTGCTATAGCCAAGAAGGCAACAGCCATGTTACGCATGTGAGTGCCTCCTCAGTTCCTCAAACCCATCACTAGTAGTCAGTGGCCCAGACACGTGGCACTAATGCAATAGTCATCACCAGAGGCAGGTTCTACACCACGCCACAGTCTACACCACACGCTTACCTTAGCCTTCTCAAAGTCCAGGTCTTTGCCAATAGTGGAGAGAAGCCTGCAGAGACACTCCAGAGACTCTTCATCATGATTCTTCAGTAGTTTCACTACACAGTCGTGCATGATGGCTTCTGTCAGCATCTTCAGCTTGAAGAGTTCACCAATGAACTTTATGTTACCCAGTGAGCGCCGTCGAGCCTGGTCTTTGGCATCCTCCAGCTCCACCCTCAGGCGCTCGCGGTCCTCATCCTGAAGGGAGACGAAAGCGGTCAACAAAAAAAACTACTCATTTCCTTGACGTCTGATTAAACAAAACAAACATGTGTTACAACCTTGGAAGCCTCCAGCTCCTTTTGCTTTTTCTCAAAGATCTCATCATCATCCTGGTCCTTCTCAAACTCTTTCTGGCAGCGGTTGAGCAGCAGTTTGCGAAAGTTCACATAATTTCCTGGCTTGTCTGGGCTGGGAACTTTCAACTGGAATACAAAAACAATGCATGTGATCATTTTAGGGACTTTTAGAATTTATAGGAGCGATCAAATTTAAATGTACAAATTAAATTGTGCTCCTTCAGTTCCTCGATACCATCACAAGTATTCAGTGGCCCAGACACGTGGCACAAAACAAAAGTAATCATCGGAGCACATTCTTTCAGCCCAATGCAACTTACCCCCATAAGGCAGCGGCACATGTTGGCGTAAGCCACAGAGAAGTTGGGCTCCGAGATGGCCTTCTCAAAGATGAGGTCAATGGCTCCCTTCAGCCTCTCTTCTGTATCAATAGTCAGCTCTGACACCTGTTTCATCAGCTCCTGAAACTTCTGGGGGGTCAGTTTGTTTAGGATGCTTCGCAGACGCTTGAATAACTCTTTAGTCTTGCCCTCATCAGAGTCGTCTTCTTCAGGCTCTTCTGCAGCGCGTCCGCGAGTGGGCTTCTTCACAGACGGCTTCCAGGCTTTCTCGGCCTTGTTGAGCTGCACATCATCGTTGAGCGACATGCTGCTGATGATTTTCCTGGGCTCTTTCCGTTGGCCTTGCTGGGAGCGACGTGGCCCAGAGAGCTAAAAATCGCCAGACAAAAATGCATCAATTAAAAAAAGAAAACAAAAAAACTTGCGGATAAATATCGATTTTGTCTGAGAACAGGACAAAGAATTTCTACCATAAAGGATTTTCTCTCCCGAGACGAATGAACTCACCGTGCCTCGTGGCCCTCCCACTGATCTGTTCCCAAGATTAGATATATATGAGGGAGTAAAGTCGGGACCAACAATCATCAGACGTGCTGGGTCAGCAGGGCGGAGTGGAGTCTTGTTCACCTGAAGAAAGAAGTAGAATTGCAGATGCTCAAATCCAAAGAGAAAACTGCTGTGTGACATGGAACATATCGACACCACGGTAACTAGGCACCTGGTGCAGCTCAGCTTCTCAAAGGAAATCTAAATGTCACTTACTTTGTCCAAGACCACGTCGCTGATGATAGGCAGGCCCTCGGGTTTGTGCATGCTGGCGCTGATGAACTGGAAGCCAAGGAGGAATTCCCTGTCGTACCGCTTCTTATCTTCCGGGTTTAGCGGCTTCCAGTTTTCTGAGCAACGTCATAGCGAGGAGAGTCAGAGCAGGACACTAAAAGGCGTCTTCAGACGGCGAGTTGCTTTTTCGAAACATTTCTTTTTAGGCAGTGTACGGGATTTTAGGACAGTCGCTTTCGTATTGTTCTAACTCTGGGGCGCAGTCTGCTGTCTAAACAGTCAGGGGTCTCCACTGCTCTTGTATCACAGTTTAATTCTCACAGCTTTTCAATAAAGGCCCTGGTACAGTCCAGGTGACTTGCTGTGACACGGTCAAAGGTCACAAGGCAGGTAGACTTATTAAATTATTTACCAACAATTGAATGGAAATATTCTGGATTTTGAGCTTCACGTACAAATATTCAGTTATTACTAATGTGTCATGGGCTGTAATGTTTCATGCAAGTTATATTGAGGTGGCTAGATCCACAAAAGGAAGGCTCTCAGAGAAATGTCACTGAAATGTATATTCAGATTTAACACTTTTGTCACTAATGTAGCACTAATAATTGGAAAGTCGAACGAAAGTCGAAGTTACCTTCTTTGTACTGATACTTCTGCTCAGTTGGCTCAGGTGTTGCTTTAGGTTTGTCTGGTTCTGCATTCTGCTTGTCCTCTTTCTCCTCCCAGGTCTCATCTGGTGCCTCTGCAGGAGGTTCAACTGGAGCAGGAGGGCTGGCCTGAGTGGGCAAGGGCTCAGGAACAGTCGTGGCAACCTGCTCCTGCAAACAGGAAGGGAAGTATTTTCATGTTCTGATCATCTAGTTGGGAAGGCCTGTTTCAAGACTCAGCCTCTGAAGAAATAGGACTCAATGATGGAACCGCTGTTAGAACTGAGAGCTCATGCACGCAAGGAGGAACGCACCTCTGTGAAGGCATCCAGGAGGTTCCCAATGGCTTCCTTCTTGTTAAACTCTTTCATGTTGTCCTTCTTCTTCTTTTTTGGCACAGACGTAGCAGCTTCAGAAAAAAGGAAAGACCGTTAAGATCAAAATCTTACAAAAACAACATTATTCATATCACAATCTGAAATCCATGTGGGGAAATATCCGTACCTTGCATAGTAGATTCCTCTGGGCAGCCGACCGAGGCAGGAGGGCCATCATCCGCCTTGCTTTTCTGCTCTTCCTCTTTCTTCTCCTCCTTCTCTTCCTCTTGGGCTGCTGTTCCTTTTTTAGCCACAGGTGTGGATTCCTGAGATCGGGAAGTGTCAGGCTTTTCATGGGGTGTAGTGTCTGAAACGGCCATATTCTCGGAGAGTTCTTCAGTCTCCTGAGGAAGACCATTGGAAAGAGGAGTCTCTGCAGTCGGTGTGGGCTCCAGCTCGGGAGCGCTGCTCAGGTTATCGTCGTGGCTCTGTGAGACCGCAGGCTCCTGCACAGAGTTGGCGGGCTGAGATGCTTCGTCTGCTTCCTGTGGCGCCTTCTCTTCGTTTGCCGTGGTAACAGGGGTAACCGTTTCTGCGATCTCAAGTGCGGGTTCCGGCTTAGAGCTGACCTCTTGCTCCTCTTTGTCCAGTATCTTAACTTCCTCTTTTTTCACTCCTTCCTTTTCCAGTGCCTCCTCAGGTGGAGCCGACTGAGGCTCCTCTGTTTTCAGGGGCGTCTCCGGTGCTGCTAATGATGCTGAAGATCCAATAGGGGAGTCAACCGTGTCTGCGTCATCAGCACCGACAGCGTTTACTTCTTCCTCGGCAGGAGCAATGGTTGCCGCTTCTGCCGGAGGGAGGGAAGGTGGAGACTGCTGGTCCTTTGTTAGCAGAGAGGGCATCTCGGCAGCAGCTGTAGGGGCTACAGGTGGGGGAGACGGCTCACGAGGCGGAGCTATGAGGGCTTCCACTTCCGGTGTGGCCTCAGCCACAGGGTCCATCTTTGCCATAGCGGGAGGTGGAGGGGTTTCAGCATCAGCGGGAAGCTCTATGCTTTCATCTTGACGGGGCGAAATATGGGACGAATCCCACAATAAGTAAAAGCCGTGGTATATTTTTTACACAATCACAACTGCAAAGGTTTTCTCACCTCCTGGTGTCAGTGCGGTGGCCGACTGTGAAACTTCACCGTTGGTCTGGGCAGGGTTTATCTCTGCTGTGGAGGCCTACAGCGACAGAGCGGTGGTTAGGACCAATTCAAAATGATTTAAATAAATAAACACCAAAATCAATAAACATCATGGACAACAAAATGTCTGAATCAAATCCAATCAAATCTGTCTAGTTTCCCTCCTAAATAAAAAATAATAAAAGTTGGCATTTTTAACAACCCTTTGGATTCAGCTTTAAAACGCAAGCCGAATTTGTCCAACATTTGTTTGAACCAGCAAAACCTATTTTCTTTCCTTCTCACACAGTGTACCCAACACAGATTTGTTGGAAAAAAAAAAAAGAAAAAAAAAAGACAATCTGCCCCCAAGTGACCATTTCTGTTCCCAGTCTGAACCAGTAAATACAGCCTGGACATCCAGCAGTAACGTTTTACCTGTGGTGGCGTCGGCGTGTTGGTGGATCTTCCACCAGACATGATCTCCTCTGTGATATCTCGCCCACCCTGGTTAGGGTCTCGTATTGTTATCTGTCAGAAATGAAAAATATTTGTCAGGCATCCACCAAACAAAGGTTCATCATCATACGCTGTGCTCCAATCCTGTCACTCCTGATCTACAGCTGCTCCCCGTCATGACAAAGACTATTGTTATTTTCAGGTAAAAGGGAAAGTTCCATGTTCAACAGACAATGGACTTTCACCCTTTCATTCATTCAACTTTTTTCAAACCGACATAAAAAACGAGGCGCACAAGCCTTTTGTTTGGACACAGTACCGGTTTTCGTTCCCTCTTTGGTGGGGCTTGTGACTGTGCCGGGGGTTGCGGAGGAGGCGGCGCTTGTTGCTGTTGCGGGGGGGTGCTTATTATGACACTCTGAGGCTGGACAGATGGAGGGTACTGAGGTTGGGCTGGATAGTATGCTCCTGCTGCAAAAGATTGGAATGAAACGCAACAATTACTCAAAATACAATTACGTGTAAGAGTTCCCACGGAAATGTAATGCATTCCTGTTTAACGAGATCTCACTCTTGATGTGCTTATATCACTGGCTAGTGCACACTCGCAAATGAAAACCTCCCACTCCTGGTTTAGAGCATCTCCACCTGGTACGACCATGTGTTTGGTGTGATCCGACCAAAATAAAGTCAGCTCCAAGTCGGGTGCCTCGTTTTAGCATGAAACAATAGCTTCATTAATGGGTTAGGTAGATGGCTCAGTTCCACCTGTTAGACTGCAGGTTTAGGTAACTTAGCTACCCATACAAGACTTTGCAAACGTGTTTACGTGTATGTGTAAGTTCATTTCCATTTGGAGCGATGAAGTGATATCAAATTGCATTTGCTCCCTTGAGAGCAAGTTGAGAGCTGAAGTACTTAGAGCTGCTCACTTCTAATCAGATTACCCAACACACACACACACACACACACACACACACACACAGAAATGCAAGGTATGGACAGGGCTGCTATCCATTTAACAGCCAGGGTGCTTTGTAGAAACATCATATCCAAGGAGGGTGCATGACTGAAAACTGGAACGGAGCACTGGATGGGATTATCTGAATATCTTTACAGACCAAATGCAGATTTATATGGATCTAAATACTTGACTTTACATTTGAAGCAATTTTTTCAACTATTTCTGTTCAAACTGTAAGAATTACGAAGCCAATATAATCTAGGTCATAGTTTGTTTCTTTGCCACCCAAATATCCATGTCCCTTTTTTTCCCTTTATCCTTATTTGGTGTGAGCAAACAGTGGCGATCCCCTTAAAAGTTTGCTTTGCAAAGAGCCCGTCTGCGTTCTTCAAATAAAGGACCTTAAAAACACTTTGCCTTTACTTCTAAAAGGCTGACCCGTATCCGTTTTTTTTAACATTACTTTAGCTTCTACATTTTGCCTCTTACAGTGGGTATGGGTGGACGGCTTTTCAATGGCAGAACCAACACTTTGCAGATTGTTTATGACCCTCCGAAACAAGTTTGTGCACACTAGTCTAAAAAGAGTTTCCCATGTTTGGCAAATGCTTACAAAATATTCATATATCATGCTTTTGAGGGGTCTTGCGTATAATTTGCTTTCAATAATATTTACAAGCGATTGTTCTATGTAAATGAGGTCCACAATGTGTCAAACTGCCTGCTCATATAGTTGTGAGTGCTTTTAAGAGGTAAAAAAAGAAAAAGAAAACACAGGACGAGATTAGACAAGAAGTGCCACAAATCGTTTGCCACTGAAGCCTGCTGACCACCACACAAGCACACACACTACTCACCGGGGTAGCGCTGGGAGGTAAGAGGAGCACCGTGGAGAGAGAGACGGCCGTTCTCTCGCCCGCCCCCTCTCCCCCCACCACCCCGCCTCTCCCTCGCAGCAAGAGAGGGCTCTGAACCAACGCAGCAAGGAAGAGGAGGGGTGAGGGACGGGAGAGGGAGGAAAGAAAGAAAGAAAAGAGGGCAGGAAGAGACAGATGCAGAATGAGTTAATGAGAGGATCCAGAGGAAGCAGGGTGTTAAAAAGGTCCCATGAAATGAGCGTTGACTTCACTGTGCTCAGCTTATCGTAGTACGCAAATCTGTTTCAGCTGTTCAAATGCTTAATTTTTACTAGACTTGTTTGTGGAACCAACTTGCCCTTGAGTGTGTGAATAGGCTAATAGCCCAAGCACACCAGAAGTAAGTTTGGATGGGAGCCTCTAAAAGATGGTTCTTACCTAAAGCCTGCGGTACATTTTAGTACAGACCTTTTCCCCGCTAGAACTATGTGAGATTCACATTAGGTGCCCAATACTATCAATTCCCACCCGACCGCTCAAACGTCTGTTGATGATTCAGACTGATGGCCATCGAGTCATTTCATGGAACCTGTAAGGCAGTGTCAGGTGAGACTGCAGCTAGAGAGAACACAGGCCAAAGCAGAATCAAGCCAGACCACATGCAACTGGCAGTTCGACACATATAGCAGTGTTTGGACCCCGAAAAGCATTAAACACACCAACCATCCAAGCAAAACCATGACACATCCAGAGAAACTTTGCGGATAAAGACGTGAAATGTGGGCGTGGAGCAGACCGGAGGTCCAGCTTCTCAGACACTTTTTGAAATGGTGCGTTCTGCCTGTTTGACGCTGTTTGCATCGCGTTTGGGGTTGTGCTTGGTTGCCACTGCTGTCAATGGAAAAAGACAGTAAAGGAAAACCTCTTACCATAAGAGTATTCGGCAGGGCTAGTTCCCGGGTAGAAGCCTGTACTGCCGGACACGGAGTACTGCTGGGTAGGAGGCATGTACGGGGCTCGGTACTGCAGAGAGAACATAGAGACTACTAAGTGAGATGCCCAGCCAATGCCTGCCCATATGCGTGACAAGCTCCAGCTGATTTGCCACAGCTCCTTGCATACAAAGTTCTCAGAACACCAGTATGAGCTTTAGTCAAGAATGATTTTTGTTTTTTCTTTGCACCTTCTGCAAAGCTCTTCTGTAATGGAGGATTTGGCCGTGGTCCATTTTACAGGGAGAACCCAGTTTTAACAATATATATATCCCTTTAAAATTGACTGACCATGGATTCCTGCCTCGCCCACCGTGTGCTTTGAGAAAAGAACCCTGTCTGTCCATTTGAATCCAACACTCAGCGAACACCGGGGTGCTACAGACCAGTTTCAGCATCTTCTGACCACGCTATTATTGAGCACCAGTGGTGGCAGAATATATCCATTTCCTAGGCTTATATGTTAATTAAAACTACTGAAATTAGTCAAACTCAAACAGCATGATCATATCCACCAATGATTCAGACACAACTGACTTATTGCGCTGCTAAAGAAAGAATGGGGGGATCCAAGTACATCGAAAATCTGCACAAGCATGCTGAAGGATGAAGCTTGTGTGAAGCCTTGAGCTAAATATATTGATGAATTAAAGGTTCATCTGTGAGCAACAGTTACTCCTGTCAGCTCACCTGTCCAGGGGGGATGAAGTAGCCCTGAGGAGAGCTTGGAAAAGGCAGCTGCTGCTGGGGAATCATCATCATCTGGGAGTTCGGTGGGTAGACGTGTGTGGGTCCAACAGGTCGGGGACCACTGCCCTGCTGTACCCGCGGAGCACTGTTGGGCATTGCAGATCGGTTCTGATAGTAACTCTGGAGACAGAATAAAGAAGAATGAAGGAAATGGAAAAAAAAAAAAAAAAAAAAATCTATATATTCAGGAGAAAACTACTAGTTCTTTGTGTGCGTTTGGTGTCTCAACAATGGATCGTAGTGACCACTGAGCAAGTCACGCACACACCTAACCTCGGATGGCTCATCAGTACATGGCAACATGTGGTCTGATTTGTACAAACATTCAAGGGTTCCTGCCACATTGACAATAGCCCAAATTACGAAGAGAGGGACGAAGAGAAAAGCGGTTACCTGCAATGCTCTGTATCCACCCTTCAGCCGCACAACACGAGCAGAAAGCAAGAGAGGGAGTGAGATTAAGAAGGAAACGAAGACTAAAGACAATGAGGAAGGTTGTGTCCGGCACCAAAGAACAGGGAGATCAAACGACCACAGATGTACATGCAATTCTATAGCAGCCCGTATAGGAACCGGATCCTTTCTAGTCCTGAAGGTCAGCGTTCAGAATCATTGCAATAGCTGCCGGAACATGCAGAAACGGACACTGAAAGGCTGCCGGCCCCACAGACGAGTTCACTCTGATATCACACTATTAGGCTGACCACTGCCAACTGTGCCAGTAGGAACTAATGGAGATGCAAAATTGACATGAGACAAATGCAGTTTGAAAAAAGAATCGATTAAAAAAAAGTAAAAAATTGAACTTTCCACTTGATTTCCACTTGAGCTCTTGCTTGATTTAAACGAACCCTGGTGTGGTTACTCTGCTGGTGTGGGTCATTTAGTGTTTTTTATATTGTTATTTTACCTCCCACATACACACCTGTAAAAATATGTAGTGAAATCTCCAATAAGAAAAACAACAGGGTGTACGGCTTGCATGAAACAATATTGTGTAGTGTATATTCAGTGACTAGTTTAGTGTGTATTTACCCCAATATGCAACACAGTTCTGAACATTAGAATTTCTTTTTTTTTCTTTTTCTAAAATGGTCAGAGAAGCCAATCAAAATCTAAATCGGGGAAGGATCTGAACCAAGGTACCAAATCTAATGTGAATACAGCCTGACTGACTAAAGACTCTAAAGAAATTCTTGTCAGTGTGCATTCCAAAGCTATAACATTAAACTGACTAAAAACAGAAGCATTTCCCAAACCTGAATACAACACTTAAAGCTATGTCACAGTCCAAATTTAGAGGAAAAGAAATTACTTTTTAAAACGAAGGGACAAAGCCACACAGCCTGTCTGGCACTGAGAAAGCAAGTTAACACTGTGGCAAGGCCGATTCAAAAAGAGACATGAGGATGCAATTACAAGAGTAACTGCAAGTGAAGCCCATTTTTCCCCTCTACATGCAAAGTACCACCATGAGTCACAGAGCAAGGGCTGAGTGCAGCTCCGCCCGACTGCCTGGTTTCACTGTGCACTGGTGAAACAGCCAGCGCTTTTCCATACACGGCTGAGTGGAGCTAGCCTTAGGAGTTCCACCTGGACCGCCATTCCCGTCTTTGTATAAAAGAACAAGGGAATAAACTGTTATGTATTCTGAAGAATGCCCAAACTTGCTATTCTGTGGAATGTGTAGGAAAATGTCTGTTTTTGTTACCTACAAGTCCCCTGAACGCAATCTTTGTTAGATCATGTTGTTGAAAAAGAAAAAAAGAAAAAAAAAGCGGAGAAATTGTTTGTTTTTCTTTCCACTGCAAGTCGACAGTCTGAAAAGGAAACCGAAAAATATGGAAATGCGAGCTGCTTGATTTAGAAACCAGCCGCAGAAATACTAAATGACAAAAAAGAGGCATAAAGATAGTAGTTCAGCACGTGTGCTTAATATAGTAGCGTTCATAGGTAAAGATGCAATTTGATCCTCAACAGCATTTTATGGGTGTTACCCTGGCATGACAAGTTCAGTTTTGTACATTTCTGGTCAGACTAACATGTTCATGTGCACTTTAAAACACTAACAGATTGTTTTCCTCTGTCATTAAAAACCTTTGCACACAATAAGACCATTAGTATATCTTAGAATATGTGGCATGGAATAAAGTGAGATTATTGCCGAGTCACAGCCTTAATGTTATGACCATAATGTAAAGACTTAAAATAAAGAGTATAATGTCTGAAACTGATAATGGCGGTTAGTTATTCTAATTAATTAGCTGATTTATGGTTTAATGCACGTGCAGGGTGATTTAAGAAATTAATTCTGCTTTTCAAAAAGCAAAACTAGGAAAAATTGCTGTGGAGAAATGGATTTTAACGATGATGTCGTCCCTAAGTGAAATACTAGAAAACAGGACATACTTTTCTGATTTTCCCAACAAGTGGGTCTGAAAACATGCATAACGCTATAGAGACAGGGGCAATGTACATAAGATTGAGGGGAGTTAGTACCTGTTGGTGTAAAGTACGGGGCCCTGTAGCAAACTGGGGGACAGCAGAAGAGAGGAAAGAAGTCAAGACTGACAGTCAAGGAGAAAGACAGGCCATAACATGAACAGAGATATACACACGATTCATGCCAAAGCATAACAGCAGGTGAAGCCAGGTCAGAAATTTAAGTGAAAGAGCAGGAAAATAAAGGCTCTCAAACATCACATAACACTGAATGCAAAACATCTCAGCGAGAGGGGTGGGGCATGCTGCGAAGAATACCTGTCTTGGCTGTTGTGCAGAATTCATTTGAGACGGTGGAGGGGTGGCAAAAACAAGAGAAGGTGGCTGCCCAGGGCCGTAGGCAGGCTTGAGAGAAGAGCGGGAAATCATTCGATCAAACTCAAATCTACCAAGACGACGCCAATTCTTCCCGGTAGGCGGATCTTACCTGTGTAAGTCCAGGGGAAGGGGAAGGATTTGGGACAGAAGAAGGTCCCGTTATAGGCTGTGGTGGTTTGTTCATTTCACGTTCTTTTATGGGCCTGCATTAGGGTGGCGGTGTGCTGCCAGCCTCTCTGAGGAAAGAAAGGAGACATGTCAAAAATGATCACATTGACCAAACATCTTTCTTTGTCAGTGAAGTTAGTTTACTTTCAACCTCCCCAAAGATATGCAATTAGAACAGGGTAGAAACATCAGTGTATGCAGACGTCTTCAGTGTTGCCACATCTAACTAAGCAGTGAGGGTGTGGTCAGTTGTTTTGCCTATGATAACACCATCATCTCCCACAAGCTTGTTGACTTGCTTGTAACAAAGTTAATATAAGAAGCCTTTAAATCAATGTACCTCCCAGAAATTTTCCCTGGCACTATATTGCATAATTACCCCCCTCAGAACTTCCAGTGCAATAAATAGACATGAACTGGTAAAATACATTTTAAAAAAATCACTCTTAAGGAATGTCACTAAGGGGTTAGAGACACCCTTCACTTAGAATCTGCCTTCAAATTACATGGACTGTCTTCGTTTCCAGCAAGTTTAAGAAAATGGATCCCTCAGGTCAAAGTTCATGTACTGTGTTAACAGCGGCTTCAATGTCCCCTTGTTGTGCTAGCCACACGTGCCGATAATCTGTTCAAAGAAGTCAAATTTGATGCCAAAACTAAGTAATCGGACTTAATGAGCGATACATATTTGTCAAACCGTTACGATATGCAAGGCTCGACGAGTTAAAAAAAAATGGAAACACGACTAACAGACGTGTCATTCAGCATCCACCTGCTGACACGGGCACCAATGCTAGCCGCTAACCAGCGCCATGCTTCAGGTTTTTAACGCAGAATGCTACCATATGGTTTTACCCGCAGAGACGGCAGTCAAATGCGCGATGCGAGATTAAAAACAACAGAAGCCCAACCAAACGATTATAACGTTTTTAGCGGAGACTATAGGACAGAACGCACGCTTTTGGCCCGCTAGCATGGCAGCATTCCCGGCCGAAGTAGGTTAAACAGTTAGCCAACAGCCTGCTAGCATTACGTGTCCCGGTACCACAGAGACATTTTATGTAGTTACGCTACGTGGCTGCGTCCATATTTAACCTTAACGTCCACAGAACCGACTTTTAGTTACCCCTCACGGACGACAAGTTTACACCCAAAACTCAAGAACAGCAATTAAACTTGTTCCGCCAATACTGTTGCCACATTCGAGACCGATTAAGTTACCATCAAGCTATTGTTGGCGAAAGTAAGCTAGCGGTTTAGCCCTGCCCTCTGCTATGAGGAGTGTTTAATTACAGGCCCAGCGGGCTCCACGATCAAATTAAACCATCAACCTGACATTCAGGGTTACCTTGATTGCATATTATGCCAACATGGCAAAAAAAAGTTTGAACGTGACTTTAAAAATCAAGAGGTTGTCCAAGCACATGTTCCTTTCTAAATCATAAACGGGTTAGCTTAAAAGCTAACTGCAGTTTGCTTAATGATAACGATGGTCAGATGAGATTAGCCATGAGCTGTCATTTCAGCTAACGTCAGGTTAACTTCAGCTAATCACCTATTAAGGAGTCTTTATAAGTTTCGACTGCCAAGAAACTACCGACAATTTCGTTGAATTTGATTTACCTGTCTTTTTGTTATAAAGCCTGATTATTTTTTGCTCGGTGTCCTGATGTGTGGAATGACAGCCGGCAAGGCCTGTTCAGCCTGCATGCCTTTAACAAGAATGTAGCCCTGCTCGGTGGACTTAATGCTAGCGCCGCCGACGTTGGCTGCAAGGATTCTTACCAGTTACCAGTAGTGACAGTGTTGTAAAGTTGAACGTCGAGTCAACAGCCTCTGATCGGTCTTCTTTTAATTAAAGTGTTGTAGTTTTCTTGTCCTTTACTCCAACCGAAAAGTGATGCCCCTCTTGGCTATTGGCTTAGCGAGCTAGTTAGCTAACCGGCAGATGGGGCGAGTTCTACTACTGTCACTTCGGTTTAAATCCCAGGACGTCCAAAAGTGACGGTGCTTAAAATCTAATAATATAGTACTTAGGATGTACTATTGACAACTCCGATGGCCCCGAAATAAGCCTCTGGACCGGAGGTCCATGATCAAGGCGTCGATGGTGACGGATTGCCGGTTAGGTTTGTACACAAGTGTCGTGTGATGAGGCTCAGAAGGAGGCCATAGTGCGATGTTTCAGCTGTGTGAAGCCGGTGCGCCTCTGAGTCGCATGGGTAACTTCCGGGGAAATTAAAATGTGAGGCCGTTCCCTCGGTCATGTGATAAAGGAGTATGAATCATTTGATGAAACAGGCACCAGAATCATCTTTTATTATTGGAGATAGCGTAAACTAGGACAAACCAAAAATAGCCAAATTAAATTTTGCCCAAAACGTGGTCAGTGTCTTTAAATAGGTCAAATGGGGTCTTTTTTTCAATAATTCTGTGTGTGCTCACTAAAACGGACATTTCAGCACATTCGTGACAACGTGGTGCATGATGTCCATAGTACCATTCTCGGGTACCCCTGAGTTTGGAAGAAAGTTTTATTTGGTTTAGCTCAGGGAAGCATTTGATCAGAAAAAAAAGCTTAAGATATCAGAATTGTCCCAGTTATGCTGGAGTAGCTCTAAACAGAAAAAAAGGAACCACAAAAAAGGAACACAACCTTCAGAAAAAGATCCAAAATATTCTTGCTAAAATAGATTAAAATGATTTTTAAAAAACAGATATATTTGGCTCCAATTTGGGCCCTGAGATAAAATTCTGTTTATCCACATGTAAATGCTGACTGAGTCCTATTAAACAAGATTATTTCATTAAAAGAGTAAAAAAAGGGGAAAATGTAAATTAATATATGTAAAATGTGTCTTTTTTAGTAAACTAATTGTTTGAACTTAGATGGTTCCTCTTGAAAAAACTTCTTGACATGAGGTCACAGTTGACAGTCCTGTAGTTACGGTACATGTGTAGTGACCAATAGCCCATGAAACTCAAAATGACTACAAAGAAACTCAGCGAAGACAATCCAAAATAATAGCCCAATTGCAGACACAAAATGCCAACAAACACATACAACAGAAAAGCTAACCTGAGCTATTACACTGTATATAAAATGATGGATCCACTGCAAGATCACAGAATTAAGAAAGCTTCCGCCCTGATGTGGATTGACTGAATTTTAATTTTTAAAAGAAGTTACCTCTGTAGTCCTTTTCTATGTAAAGTATCCCCCCAAAAAATCTGTAAATAATTTATATTTGTGTTTAAACAAATTAAATTGAATACTTAACATAATCTTCTATTTAAAAAGGTGTATATGAAAAACGATTAGATTATTAATCACGCAAAAAAAATTAAGCTGATTAACAGGTAATAGAAATAATTATAATGTGTGACTGCCATGTAGAGAATGCCAACTTGAATGATAAATTCTACTTGTTTGTAAAATAATATGCATGGTGGTGTTGTCATCGTAAATAAATCAGAATTAAAATTAAACATCTGAAACTTGTGGTAAAAACAGGTGGGAGAGACTCGGTAAATATTCTCATTTCAACAATTACACATGATCCCTATCCAAGTATACCTCTAATGTAACTACTTTTTAATACAGGATTATAAATTGAGTTAAGATTGGATTTTTTTTTTTTTATGGATTTTAAGAACATTTTTAAAGCACAACACCACATGTTGGGGGTAAAGTGTGTTTAAATGTATTCCATCAAGAAGAGTTTGTTAAAAAGCTGCAGAAATGTAATTAAAGTCACTCACTGTAGGGGGCTCGCGGTACACAGAACAGCAATCAAGGCACATTGATTGTAAAAACCTATTTGAAGGCAAGTTTCAATTAACTTACCATCACTGAATGTTAATTTGAATATTATCTAAATATTGTTTTAGTGATTTCTTACATTGAATTCATATTGAACCTCACATAATGGTGATTCGCCTCTTATATGAGTCCCAAAACTGTAGCCTATCTCAGCTCTGAGAGGCGGCGTACAGCCTGAAAAGGTCGCCAGCCCATTACAGGGACACACGGGCCATTTAGAGACACCGGTTAACCTAACATTCATGTTTTCAGACCGCAAGAGGAAACCTGAGTATCCCGAGAAGACCCATCAATACACAGGGGGGACATGCATACTTTTTCAATTCTAACTAGGAATACATTTTAGGCAGCAAGAGGTTGAGGATTTGTCTCTTTATTTTCTCTTTCAGGTTAGATACATAAGGTAAGAAATATAGTGGATGTATGATATAATTTTATAACTGCAAAAACAAAAACTACACCAGCGACATTGACCAGCATTAGAAAGGTTTTATTTGAGAAAAATCAGACACTCGTTAAAAATAACAAAGGAAAAGTAACATTTGGTATCTGCAGGATGGTAAGAATTATTTGTGAATGTGACTGTGACTTGTGACATGATTTATGCCTTCTAATGAGATGAATTAGAGTAAAACACCATGCGGTTTTGGGTGTTGAGTGTATGAAGTGTGAGTGGTTGAATCACAAATCCGACTGAGGAACTGAATGGTCCACGCCACCATTAGGCCTTTTGACAGGAATGGAAAGTGCAAGATTTCTCCAAATCTGGTGTGAAGAGAAAATAAATAAAACAATTTATTCAAATACGTGGGGAAGCAGTCAAGTGTATGGACTGTTTGCAGCAAACACAACATGTTGTTCTTCATTTATATCCAAACTGATATTGTTGATGTAAGTGTCAGCTAAACAAACCTGATGCAGTTGTACCACACTGTCTGAGTGAAGACATGGCAGCCATGTACTCTGGACCCAGAAACTGCTCATAGGTTTTTCCAGCTGATACCTCCTGGAGACACTTGGTGGAGTCCTTGAAGAGGAGGTTCTTTCCCTGATCTGACTGGAACAGTCTGAATGAAGGGTCACTGCCACTGGCTCCAAACTGGGTCTGGACATATAGAACAAAATTAAGTAATACAACTAGATAGTTTTAGATTTTTCTAAATACTGACTCAGTGGGAAAATTGCATTTGATATTTCCCCTTAGGCCTGTAAGTAAAAATCATTGTGCTCAGTTCAGATTGATCCCACGAAATGATCACATTGGCAAAGTACAAACTAATGTTTAATTTGTAATATTTGACACATTTTCTTCTTACTGAGAACTCAATCATGTTCCATTTATTTTAGGAAAGTCGTGTATAGAAGACACTAACACCTTGCATTATTAAATTAAAGTAGTGAATTGGTTTATTGTCGGAAAATATAATGAACTATTTAGACAGCTGGTCAATCATTTCAGATGAATATAAATCACAATGCAGAACGCTTACTGGACAATTGCATCTTAAGTATACAGATCTGATGTGTCTCTACGGTAAACTGTACTTCCGATTTTAAACCAGAAAACAATTGTTTCAATTATTTTATTTGACTTTTTTAAGTTTAAAAAAAAAAAGTATTTTCGAAGTTCTTCTTATAGTGTAATGGCCGACATGCCAGTCCAATCCATGCACACAAAAAAACCCACGCACATATAATTGAAAGGCTCGTTACTGACCTGCTGTTCCTGCAGGATGCGGACCACATCGCTGCGGCTCTCTGGGCGAGTCACCACGGCATGCGCAGGCACAAGAGCCAAGTGACAAGAGGCGTACTCAGTGATCGCCATTGGAGCTTTTCCGGGGCAGATCAGCTGGTAGTCAGCAGAAGACACACCACGAGCCCATTCGGGACCATTGCCTTCGATGGGACACGGTGGGACAGAGTTTAGAGGAATTTCGTAGCCCCAGAATGCAGAGCGATCATTGAACGGCAGGTTAACCAGCACGTCTTACCATCGCTGTTTTCAGGAACGATTGTGTGTTTAATGAAGGCAACATCGCCGGCATCTTCAACCAGACATCTGAAGTGATGTGACAAACGTGATGTTAGATGAAGTGAACGGGGTAAGGGGGTTCAGAGCAAAGCCAGTGGGGCTTCCTGCAGTACCTGAAGGCTCCAGCGTAGCCGTAGTATTGCTCATCGGCGCTGGCTTTGCACTTGGCCTCGTCTCCCACGGATTTGCCACTGCCTTTGCACTGAGAGCAGAACGGAGAGCTGGGGTCCGCTCCGGGGGCACAACCACTGCTGAAGAACTTAGCTGGGGTTTGGAAGATAGACGCAATCATTAAAAACATGTCATACTCTGTTGAATGGGAATAGTCATTCCTTACTAAACTGAGAACATTGGATTTATCCATAAAAGAACACACAGATCATAAGAATTACACAATTAAATGCATATTGGGGAAAAAAGAGAACACATCTCTTACTTAGCTACTTATCAAAAATAGAGTTTGTGCTTTCTTTCTGATATTTCTTTTTTTTTTAGCTTGATAAAAATGCACAAACAGCTATTTTTGGCAGGTCACGTAGGTGTTCCATGGAGCTTTAACACACTAATACTACACACTCACTGTCGTTACAAAACTACTTTTTCAAAATGAATGCAAAGAATCGGTCACTTACTGAAGTCGCAGTCTTTAGTTTGTGCATAGATGAGACCCATGGGGACGTTCCAGCCAGCCGTTCTGCCCATGCCCGTGTGGCAAGACCTCTTTCCCTTCAGGCTTTCCCAAGTCAACCCTGAACTCTTCTTTACCACGGCAATCGCATAGTAGGAGGAGGCAGTGGCTGACAGCGGAAGAATAGAAGGATAGGGATCACACATGTTGTTTCACAAGGGATGAGGATATTTTTAAAAATTACTGCTACTGGTTTTAAAATGAATCTCCATTATGATTACAGGAAAGAACAATATATTTTGGCATTCATCATGTTGGAAAAATAGTGTCTACTTTCGTCCCATTCCTAATTAACTCCCAACATAATCTATATCAGTCAAACCTAAACATTTTCTTTTCAATTGAGCATACGTTGTGATTACACCATGCAGTTATTTGACCATTTTAAAAAAAAAATCAGTACAAATGACTGTATTTCTAGTTTGTGTCTTTTCACTAACTCAGCAAAATACAGTTGGTTTAATACCTCCAGAGGAGCTGCACAGTTCTGTGGGGAGACACAAAGATGCAAACATTAGATGGTTTGTGCGTGCATTATAAAAACACAAGTCAGCACAGTGCATTCTGGACTCTGTGCTATTTAAGCAAAATACCTGTGTCGTACTGTTCCACCATGGCAGGGACCAGACCACACTTCCCAGCAGTGTACACCTCCCCTCCGTCCACGGCCATCGCATCGGCCTCTTTACGCTACGGGAAAATTCAAGTAGCGCTGAGTCAGAGACAAACCGCTGCCACCGAATGGAGTAAATCAGTTTGGTTGCAGATGTTCTTATTTTCAATAGGTTTTACCATGATCTTTTTCAGGCACTCCTCGACAGAAGGGGCATTCTGGCACTCGATGGAGGTGCTGTCCCCGGTCACGCTGTTGATGCTCCACGTGTCACACTTTGCCGTCTCGGCGTGGCCCACAGCGCACCATTTAATGGCACGGGACGCGGTGCCGGGGGTCTGCTCTGGAGAGGGACGTAAAAAACCATGACCACAGTCCACGCTCACACGTGTTTCTGTCGGTCTTCTCTTCTGCAGTTCCCACGCTTACCTTTTTTCAGGGATCGAACGATGCTCATGTACTCGGCACCCAGGTACAGGAAGGAGTCTGTGTTTGGGGGCAGCTGCACCAGTTTCTGGGTGGAATCTTTGAACATCAGGTTCTTGGAGGGGGCATAGGCCTCAGAGGAGAAGAGGTTGAAGTTCTGAAAGGACACCGAGTGAGTCAACATGAATTTCCTCTGCTCTTTTTTCAGCTGTGCACCATGCAGTTTTGGCTATATTTCTTCTGATCAAACAATGGCTGGTTGTGCTGTGTAAGGGATTCTCTCATTCACCTGAACTCCGCCGAGACTTTTCCAGATTAAGTCAGCCAGCTGTGGGTCCTTGCGGGTGACAACAGCGTGGGCTGGGACTCTGGCCAGGTGACAGCTTTTATAGCTGTCAATGGGTGCTCTGGTGTTATCCTTGCACAACAGCTCATATTTGGACTTCTCAGAATCTAGAGGAGAAGCACCATAGAGATCTAACTGTTATTTTCCTTTCGGTCCCCAAATGAAGTTTTTCTTAATCCTCCCTTCACCGCATTTTCTTAAAGGTTCTGTTTATCTAGGGAGCGTGGAGCAGATCAATTTTGACTGCAGGTGTGTAAGACACAGCAACATGTTTGGATGTCATAAAACCTTATATTCATGCTATCTGAAGGATTAAATTTACCATAAAGCAATATAGATATTATTGTTGTAGTAATAAAAAGGTTTGTGGTTTTCTTACTAACTACATATGTTTATTTGAATAACAAACCATGGATAAGGTTTCCCTCTACAGCTCTTTTCATTCAGAAGTAGTGCCTGCTGATAGTTCTGTTTTTGTATATTGTTACTGGCCAATGTATCAACGTTTTTAATACATTTTTGGAAGACAAAAATACCCCTATGGACATGAAACTGAATTGAACAAAGACCACGGTGAGTTGTTTTTGGAGCATCTAGCCAGTTTAGTTGGCTGGCTGCAATGGGTCAACATTTCAGTTCGCATTAGAATCAATATATAAATCAATATATATACACAGACCTGGTACAGTGAGATGCTTCACAAAAGCCACGTCCCCGGTGCCCTCAGCCAGACACCTACGAAGCCAAACAACCAAGGCCTGCATCACTATCATAGGACTGTTTGTGCTTTTCTCAAAATATATGATCGGTGTTACAGACTACAGGGAGAATAAGATCAAATGTATGTGTAGATTTAGCTAGAAATCAATCAAAGCTAAAATGGAGAGATAAGTTGGAAGAAAGGCAGATACTGACTGGAAAGCTCCGTTGTAATCATAGTAAGGCTCCGCTTGGGACCTGGAGCAGTCTCCCTTACAAAGTTCACAAAGCTTGGAGCCCTTTGCTGCCCCCGGGGCACAGCTGGCCTGGAAGAAGTTGCTCACCGCTGGGAAAGAAGGAGCAAGAATATTATAAATCCTGATGCTCTCACAAAAAAAAGTATTTTCATCTATGCAATTTATAATCAAAACTTTTTTCAATCAAATGTGGAAGAGCCATATATTTTTCACATAAAAAATCTAATTTCGTATTATTTATATAATTATGTTTATATGATGACACCATTCTCTAAAAATGATTCACATACCCAGATGTAAAAAAAACAGACTAATTCAACAACTCTGTACATAGCTATACTGTGTTGATCACAATGTATTGACCAGCATCTATACCTTTGACCTAAACAAGACAGAGTATCAAATATTAATTTCAAATTTTCTTCTGAAGATGGTTAAAAAACCACTCACCTTCCTCCACAGGTCTGTCTTCAATGCCGGCCCACTGAATTACATTCATGGACACCAGAGTTCCGATGGGAATGTTCCAGCCTGCTGATTTTCCCAAGCCAGTGTGACAGGACTTTTTACCCTCAAGCTCCTTGATGCCAAACTGAGATCCCTTCTTGACCACAGCAACAGCATAGTAGCAGGTGTCTGAGGCTGAATGTTTAGAAGAGGGGGGGAATCATTGGAGAACATTCTTATGCTTATTCTATTAGTAAAGACAGTTAACAGGTAGACCTACAAGGGCCGTAGTCCTCAGCGATGACGGGCTGCAGGTCGTAGTTGTTGAGTCCAGCAGTGTAAACGTCTCCTCCATCCACCGTGATGGCATCAGCCTCACCAGCCTGTCAGACAATACACCTATTACCATCCCACCGGCTGTCTCTGACTCAAGTGTACATCTGAGTGTTTACTTTTCAAGTATGTAGCTGGTAGATTATAACAGGGACGTTTTACCTGTTAACAACAAGGTTTTGACTATAGGTTTAAGTAAATAGCCAGTTGTTACTAAATTGATTTACAAAAATGCTCATGCCCTTTAAAAATAAGCTACTAAACATTACAATTTTGTGTAAATCAATCAAGCACAGTGTTCAATGGAAAGGGACGTTAATTATGCAAATTCCTTCATTCTTTAACATTCACATTTGAGGCTGAAATGCCGAATGAACTCCCCCCAAATCAAGGTGTACTTTGAAATGAACAGATGTTTATTTCCTCACCTTAATTGCAATAATGCAGTCGAGGGTGCTCTCTTTTTCCACGCAGGTAAAAGTTGGAGCAGCGGCTGCCAGATCCAAACATTTGCGAAGTTCTTGTTTGGACTTTACGCACCATTTGACTTTGTCAGCGGGGGCCGCGAGCGCGGCGACTGCGAAAACAAAAAGGGAAAAAGAGGTTCAGAATCTTTCATTTTAAACATCAGCCAAATCAAACCATTGAAAAAAGTAGTTCAACACTTTTAAAGAAATCTTTTTTTTTTACCCAGACATCCGAGCAGCGCCACAGGGAGCAGAAGCTTCATGCTGGAGGAGAGCTGTCCTGAAAGAGAGAGCGCAGTTTCTGGGGATTTGCGCTGGCTTTTATAGGAAATCTGACTGGACCGGGCCAAGAGATAAAATGCCTGACTTTGTCCCAGGTTTCCTAACGGGAGAGGTGGGGGCTGGTTGGATGGAAAGGGGCACTTTGGTGTGCTGGTACACACAGATTACACAGCCTGTCCGACATTTCCACATAATGGAACTTTGCAAAACGCCTAACAAAGATGGGCCATTGTTTGCTCTACCTGCAATCACCTCCGAGCAGAGATTGATTACCGATGGGCATTTCCACTCTTTGAGGGTGTTTTTCAAGGACTGTTTTAAAAACTCAGGTCATTTTTTGTATTTTTCTATTTGGGTGTGCAGACCTGCACAATCTTATTATTAGGTTTTCCTTCAGTTGCCCTTTGTGAACAGTTTGATTAATTGACTTATTCATCATTAATCTGTTTGTTTATAAAGGGCAACACAAGCAGAAAGTTATCCCGACATTCTTCTAATGCAATAATAAACCCCTCTAACTAGTTGAAAGCATTGTTACTAAGTAGAACACTCACTCTGTTTTATGCAAGTCCATTTTCATCTTAAATGTATTCAGCAATCAAACTCAGGTGTAAGTAGCAGATCTATTGTGGTTAAGCAGTTTGCATCCTATGCCACTGATCACAGATTTATTAAGAAATTCATCAGAAAGAGTAAAGAAGAGGGAACCAGGAATAAAATAGTATTAAGTGAACATGGACATTAAATTAAAATCCAACTTATGTACATGTATTGATTGCTTGAATTCCATTTCTATTATATTATAACATGAGCATTATTATTCAACATACCTTTTCAACAGTGTCAGTGTTTTGCCAGTGAATGCACACAATGTAAAAACAAAATGACTGAAAAATTCATATTCATAAATGGAAATTGAGGCCAACATTTTTCAATATCAAATATACTCCTTCAGTCAGAAGTGTGAATAGGTAATCATAGTTTTAAAAGACATGTTTACACCCAAACTGAAAATGTCCCACTCTCTGCTGCAGATGGGCAGACTGACCATCATATTTACAGAGTAAATATTATGTAACAACGGGGCTTTGGGTTCATGCGCATTTTCAAAACTGTCTTTGTACCCATCTGCCAAAAGCTAGATCACCCCTGAATATCCCTTTGAAACATATTTCTTTTCTTTCTTTTTTTTGTGTGTGCAATAGTGCGACAAGAACCAATTTGTGGCTCTGGATGAGTTGATGGAAGTGATACTCTGACACCGCCATTTCATTGCCCTTTCACATCCGAGAAGCTGGATTCATGTGATATGAAATTAATTGTATGCCACTTCTAGAATGCAAAGTTACTATGAAGTGACACAAAAATGACTGATTTAATATTTCCTCATTTTTAAGGATTCTGTCACAGTCCAGCCAGGTATTTGGAGGACTTTAACATCCGACGCTGAGGTTTTGTGATGACCTGAGACAGTTCTGATGGACTCAAATGCACGACTCAATCTGCTGACTTGAACAACAAAAGTATGATAAGTGTATTTTTATTTCCAAAAAATGCAAACAAAAGGCATTCTCAGGGAGGATCAATAATCTTAACTCACACTAACTCTTGACATGAAAGATACTCAAACACTAACAAATCCAACTTGATCTACACGTCCATGAATCAACCAAGACGAACTGACAAAGACAAAGGGAGACAAGGACTATCTATACAATAGCGGAGAGTGAACACAGGTGAACCAACTCAGGGGCAGGGCAGACTATTACCGAGGTGGGAAAATAAAGGGAGGAAGTCTGGGTCTGGAACGAGAGGAAAAGGTGAGTTCAAAAATAAAACACGAAGTGCCTGAATGCAAAACACTGAACATGAACATGAACATGAACATGAACATGAACATGAACATGACTACATTAAACACAGACGAGACATTACAGGTTTCTGTGGGTCAGTGTTAATTTCTTCCCATGGTTGTTTTCTTACGGTGAATTGTGTTTCTTTGTATTTAAATTATTGTTGTTATTCTGTTTTCTGAATCATTGTTTTTGTGTCTAGAGGCAGAGGCATGGAGCACATAAAAATTATTGTGTATAATTTCATTTATTTGATAGAATCCAAGAGGATATCAATGAGATACGTTTTTCAACAGCAGGGATTTTTTTCTGAATTGACAAAATATGAGTAAACTACACTGAGCAGGACTGAAATGAATGAATATTTATTATACTGAATTGGACTGTACTGATGATTTTTACTGATATTATATTGTATCAAAAGATAACTTTTGTTGGTGATTGTTATGAGAAACTGTGAACGATCACACTGAACCAACAAGCTCAGGTCCCTTAAGATATTTATTCATCTTATTAGAGTAATGCTCTGTTTAACGTCATGTTTCTTGGGCGAAGTAGGTAGCAAACATGGGACACATAACATTTTCCTCCCTTTTTCTATCCAACAGTCAATGTCAGTTGGGTATTTTGTCGCTGAAGACGGTGTACAGCTCAGATTAAATTGACCTTTCAACCTGATGAAGAATGCCTTCAGCTCTGCTGTCCCTTCTCATCTGAATAATTCATGACAGACATCCAGCTGATCTGTCCCTCTTCTGTGCTTAAGTGATAAGCAACCGTTCAAATAAAGAGAAGTAGGATTTTCGTCCACTTGTATGTGTCATAAGGCACTACTAAGCGTTACTGGGAAAGGATGAGCAGAAGAATGAGAATGAATGTGGAATGAAATCTGTGTTCTGCAGATTCTGCAAAATGTGATTTGGCGAGCTGATGGTTAATGAGTAATTCTGTTTTTGCTGACTCATTATTGACTTGTTGAGTGACCATATAAACACTAACCATGAACAGTTTGCATCATATTGGTGCAGCAACAAAAAGAGTCATAGTTCAGGATACTTTAGAATATCTTAAGTCATTTTTATTTCTGATGTGTATGTGAAATAATATGAGTTTGATTTAAATTCAAAGAGAGAAAACTAATTGTTAGGTTCTTTGGCACTGAGCAGTAACATTTTCGGAATCGCATAGTTGGCAAGCCTTCGTGGTCTGGTCCATGAGCTAATGATGATGTTCAAAAAGTTTTTTCTGGTATGAGAGGAGTTAAAGTACATCAGTCCTAAAACATCAGGGTAGGAAGACGTTCCTCAAGCTGTGGCATGAACCTGTCTACTCTTATCCTCCTTCCAGATTCTCCAGGTGAATGCTACTTCCATTTACCTTCCCCTGCTTAGATATGAGTGAGAAGAAAAACAACTCAGACGTTCTTCACCACTACCACAAAGGACCTAAGGAAGAGCTGGAAGTTCAATCCCTCATTATGAAGTTCAAATTCTTTATTCTGTAATTTGTCTTATCTGCACCAATGTAGAAATAGTTTTCTTTGAACCAGCACATAATATGTAAAGATGCATAACTGAGTGAGATGTATGGTTTTGCATGTAAATTCGAAACATGATGTCTAACTGAGCAGACATAAGGCTGTAGAGTGTGCAGCTTAATACACAGCAGTGGGGAGCTTCACTGGTGAGTGCTGTGAATTCTGACAGATTGAGGACTCCCTATCACAAATTGTATACAGAAGGCTTCTGAATAGTGATTTTACACTTGTGACTCTTAACATAAGCAATCTCAGCAGTTCTCTGTACCTTTCGGAAAGGAATGTGCGGTGTAGAATGTGAATGAATAAGGCCAACAATGATAAACTGCTAAATAAATTCTTATTCATAGGATAAATGGCATTATCACAATAGTAACTTATGTAGCCTAACAACATTTGGCTCTAAATGATCTTAATAACATTTTCTATTTATTTGTGTCTGTCTTTAGTCTTCAGACCAACTTGTCAGGTCATTGTAATGGAATGAAAGGGTAAATTAAATAAGTGTGAAGTGGTGAGGCGTAAGAATAAGAAAGACAGACATTAGACTAGTGCATCTGGAGACTGTCCTCTGACTTATATCTTACGATGTCACAACCAATCACAGCAGAGTGGCCTTTTGACTGATCTAATCCAGCAGCAACCACACAGATGTTCACCTTTGGTATTGACTTCTCGTTGTGACCTTAAAGCTTTGTTTAAAACCATCTACTCCCATCACCATCTACACTGAAAGGCTGTGTCCAAACCTGAGCTGTTTTAGAGGGTAGAAATGATTTTGAAGCACATTCTGCTTTTAGGTTAAATCTATTTCACGAGTCTGTTTTTTTTAATCAGATAAATGTGTCTTAAGCATGAATCTCTGTGTAGATAAAGAATTATTTTTACAATCCTTATCTGTGTCACGAGTCTGTATTCCTGGTCCCCGTTGGCTTCTCACAGATGGCTGTGCCTTTGTCAATGTGTGCTGACACTTCCCTCAGCAGTACGATGACGCCTCCTGATAACACAGCCGGCGCGCTGGAACTTCTCTGCCCTGTGTTCACTGGGCAATTTGACATTTATTCTACCATACATATATGAAATGTATAGATTCATCCCCTTCATGTGGGCAGTCGCCCTTTTCAAGCTCAGGTTCTCTACTAGAGATCTGAGAGCTTGAACTTTTCCATGCAGCGCTGTAGCAATGCCACGTCTCTGGGAGTACCTCCTTCAGCCCTGTTGTTAAGTTTCTTGTGTTCCTTCTTCTCGATTCTGACTTCCCATTCAGTTGTCCAGCATGGGTGATATTTACATACAGTATATATATACTCAATATAAATTGCTATTTTTGTATAATAGAAAAATACTTTTTTATGTCTCTTGAGTAAACAAGGTCTGTGTCAAGTTTGGGAAAAAATAAAAGTGAAATTCCAAAAATGTTCAGTTTCATGAAATTGCTCAAAGCATTTTATATTTGAAACAATTCTTGCTGTATTTTTTAAATTATCTTTTGAAGCTTTGTAATGTTGCCTTTTCAAAGATATGATTTGTGTGCCCATCTACGTGGCTAAAATTGAGTGTTATTTCTTTGTATTGAACTCATGAGTGCAGAGCAGCTCGTCCTCTATGTCTCAGTTCCTGTTGATATTGAACAGATGAGCTTTTTTATGCTATATTATCTCAATAAGCACTTAAACCTTGACAGGAGTACAATATTGTGTGTATGCTGGTAAATGTGTTACTATAAGCAGGAGACGCTGTTGCTAAAATGTCTGGAATTTTGAATTTGATTAAAGAGAAGAGTGGAGTTTGCTGACACACAACAGCAGCCATTTGCTGATGATTCATCTCAATACCCACACATGGTGACAAAACTCCTCTTTCAGCTAAAAAAAAACACTTCAGGCTTTTCTCTCTGGAGATTTGATGTAAAATATTGATATTAGCAGTTAACTTAACCGTGTCCCCAATGTGTTGGCTGAGTTAAAGTGTAGGCTGAAATGTTAAGAGACCCAACTGAACAACCATCTCTCTTTTTTACAAGCCGAGCCTCTTCACAGCCAGCCTGTCTAAAACCGTTCCAACATTCCGATCTAATTTTGTTTGAATTATTTTTGTGGCCTGTCAAAATAATGTTGCTACTCTGTTAGGTGTTTCAAGTCTTTATTTATGTAAAAGGTAGATCGAAATGATCAAATTTAGGTTGAGATGTGTAGCCCAAGCTGTATGGACAACCCCACAGGATCAGTTTTTAACACAAAACTTTTCTAAACTCTTACACAAACAATAACCAGTAAGTAAACATGCCGACTTGATATTTTGGGAAGTTTTAGAACAGTCAGAAGACAGGACGTGACTTTTGAAATGAGCTTCTCATCACATAGAACCAACCTCATGTGAAAAATGATGTTCTCCCTTAGCTCAGTGATTACACATTAACTTCTATTGATTCTTTCTTAGAACTACCTGAAAAGCCGACAGATGACTGGGGGCATCAGCCGGTTATGCAACACACAGCCCTTTAAACAAACCAGGACTAAGGGCTACTATCTTGGTTACCTAATTAAAAATTTCCGCACTGATTCATAATTTTAGCTTTCGTGTAAAATGAATATAGGTCCTCGCTGCTGGCCAGAAGCATTCAGTCCCCTTAAGATCTCAATATCAGAGCAAAACCTCAACAGGGGTGTTATAAAAAAAAAAAAAAAGACAAATAATACGACCTGTAAAGTCCTCAAAACTCTAAAGTAAATCTGAAGGGAAGAGGCCAATTCCTTCACAATCTGGCTTTCGATCACAGAAACGCTGCTTAGACTCCAGATGCTACCTTTAAAACAAACATTCAACTAGTGGTTAAGCACCTGAACAGGTAGAAGATGTGTTTAATAAAAATGTAAAAAAGCAGCGGGGAATTTTAGCCTTTATAGGATTAAATCCAGCAGTACATTTTCCTGTCCGCTCCTTTTGTCCTTCATACAAAGAGCAGGTGGTGAAGGAATGCACGTCACCAACTGTAAAATCCACACAGCGAGGGGGAGTGTGAAAGAGTCAGTGCACTCGTATGTTTACACAGCGGCAAATCTTTTCCCTCAGTTCTGACTGTTGTCCCGCAAAGAAACTGTTCCCACTATCAGCTGGGGCTCTTTTGCTTTATTGTGTTAAGGGGGGAAAAACATGGACATTTAAGATGCTGACCTATAATGAACTGAACAAAAATCACAATAAACACAAGAATACTTTGTTGTTATGATAATACACATATTTTCTTTCGTTTTTTTTTTTTTTTTAACATTGGAGACCTGATTAAACCGCCTCCAGAAAGTCAATGTGTTAAACAAAAGGAGGCACATTTTTTTCTAGCATGTCCCCATTTGAGGGGGAGGCCTCCCCAAAATCAATAGGAAGTTCTTCTGAGTGATCATCTTTATCTCCACCTATGATGAAACTTCTTTATGTGCACAGGTGGGTTTTCTCCCTAAATCACAAAGTGTCCATCCAAAGTCCAAAGTGACTGAATCAGTATTGATCAGTACATGGAATCTGTTGACTTACGTTAAATATTCAGTAACATTATACATCAGCATTAATTGATTTAACTGCCATGGCTATTAAGATGTGAAATCAATGATATTCTTGGACTTAATTGGTCCAATTGTGGAGAATCTTTGAGTGGAAGTCAGGAGAGTGGATGCTTGATATTTATAGATGGTGGCTGTATGTACCCACGGCTGCATGAATGGGGTAAACACAATGAGTGTGCATATTTCTGGCTCTGTCTTACCACACAGCTTTAACCATGACACTATAGTTATAGTGTGATGTTACTGGCCCCTTAATGTTTCTTTTTTTTTTCTAAACCCACTTCGGAATTAAGAGAAATTAAGAAGGGGAAAAAATCAATGTCAAATGCACCTACCTGCTAATTAAACAACGAAACCAATAGAATCTGAACATGCTCACAATATTTTCTGCCTCGTCTTACAAATGGGAACGCTTGCTTGAGTATCTTAAAACCTCCATTTTGACATAGGCAGCAGTCTGCTTACTTATTGTTGGCAATTAAGGCACTTTACCACCACCACCTGTCCATTCAAAGAACTGAAACCACGAGATAACAGCTGTTGAGAGCAAATGATAGAAATTGGCACAACTGATCCACAAATCAGGATAAAAAGTGGCAAAGAAAACGGTTGTTGAATATTCTAAGACTCCCTCCACATCCTGGTGTCAGCTGTGGGACCACCTATGTTCATTCAGGTTTTTTCTAAATTGGGTTTACTATTTTGACCTTTGAAAGAAATCTCAACAAAAGACCAAGCAGAATCTCTTGGTTTTTAGAGGTTATATTTCAACATCAGCATATTTTCTTGGCAGCATATAAAAAAAGAAGGAAACAAAGACTACAGTTAATAATCAGTCTCTCTAAGCCGTCTCTGTACAGTGTAGGTCCGACTGATGAGATGTACCACCTTCCATTCATTCCCCTCAGTATCAAAAGACAAACGCCGCTTGCTTGCAATTTTTTGGATCTTTTCTTTGATCGTTTCTGCTCTCCAAGTAATTACAACTTTTCAAACAATAACAGATTAAAAAAAAAAACCCAACAGACTGAGCCTCCCTTTGCTTGCCCCATGTACAGAAAATAACAATCAGTCCTAGAAAATAAACTCTGACTTTTAACATCCTTTTTGGGAGGTAAAAGTATTTTTGTACAAGTCCCCAGTGGGCCATCATGAATAAGTGATCTGTTGTTGAGATTTTTCTGACCAGGAGATATGTGAATGTGCTATGTCCTGATGGGCTTCAGTGTTCAAAGAGGTTCATCAGAGCTGAACTATGATTCTATCTAAAAAACAAAAATAAAAAGAGTGATGACATCTGTAACCTCTTACTGACCATTTGAAGACCACTACAGAGGGATTAGGCTGTCAGCGAACATGTCAGTATCGAGTCAAGTGGAGTAGCGGTGACAGTGGTCCATCCACTAATAGCTGTTGTGGCACACAATGATGGGGCCCGCACCCTGAACGGCGGGTGATGGATTCAAGGCCCGTATCATCGTCCCAGTTTGTTGGTGAAATGGTTAGGTCTACCAGAGATACGGACGAGCTGGACGTATCTGGGAAGCCTAATTCCTCTCCTGTACAAATACAGTCTCCTGTGGACAAAGCCCCGCCTCCTGCAGTGTGATGTCATAGTCCAAGTGGGCGAGCTTCCTCCTGGGAAAGTTGGTGACGAGCTCAAAGCGTTCATTGGGGTAACCTTTGGACTGGACATGTCTTACCAAGGCCTGGAAGGATAAGAGTTAAATCTATTAGATATTTTCTATCAACAGTGTTTCACCATACAATGTATTCGACAAAAAAAGCACATTTCATGTTAGATCAAAGAAAATCATTATGTTAACTCACCAGAAGTTTTGCTTTAGAGGACAAAGAAATCTGCTCCCTTTGTCCGTCTGGGTAACGGAGCATCAACCTGGCTTTGGGTCCTTGGAAGAAAAATATAGAGGAAAGACAAACACTTTAAATAACTTTTGAGTTTAGATTTCTTAGATTTGGCATTTAACAGTAAAATCAACATATAAACATATATAGTTTCCCTACATTCTACATGATTCTACATTCTGTGCTCCAACCACAGCCGTTAAGTTCGTTTGATGGGATTAAAGGTCCTTTTCAATAGTGTGGGCTTTCACAAAACACCTTCTCGCACTACCGCTAACTAATCTAATTTGTCTGTTTAGCAAAACAGACGAAGCAAGAACAGACAGTAAAGCCAAACTTTTAGCTGGTTAAATATCTAGCAGACACTCTGTCTTCTAGAGAAAAACAGGTCTTGGGTCTCACCCTCCTGTCTGACAGAGGCTGTTTAGAAAGAGAAAAAAGTGGAGTCTCAGTGGAAGACTGCACACAAAGGACGTGTGCACGTTTGCTGGACTGACCGCAGCAACTCAAGACTTGTGACTAGCGTAGAGGAAGAGCCTGTGCTGAATAGTAAGGCTTATTTACTGCCCTTTACCTTTCTATAGCGGTGAACCCCGTAAACCTGAGAGTTCGAGTTATATTTGCAGTGGCACAGAACATGTGCCCCTTCATCCAGTTCAAACAGATCTCCTGACCTGTCCCGGTTCAGGTCAGTCACAACCATCTGATCTAACATGGGACCATTCTGTTCCTTTATCCAGCTCTTTAAATATAAAAGGTTTCTCAGTGATCATTCACTGAGAGTAAACTTTTCTTCCTCTTTAGTGGTTTTCACCAGAAGCTGAGAGCTTAGTTGACACGGCACTGTGTGAATGACCACTGACACAAACACATAGTCGTACCGTTGTCGTCAGGACAGTCTGCGTCACAGGTTGTGGTGGTGCTTATCTTGGAGGTTCCGGCACTCTCGGTTTGCGTGGTGCACTGGTTCGCCCCAGAGTCAGCGGCGGGCTGAGGATGTCGAGGCCCTGCTGCTGATGGCTCCAGGTGGTTCTTTTTGCTCTCCTCTTTCTTGTGACTGTGATTGTTCTCTTTGTACGGGGACTTTCTGTGGGAGGAAGTGGAACTGTCCGGATGAAGACGCTGCTGGGCCGCCGTGGCTGAGGGGGCTGGTGAATGTTTACTGGGTAGGCCTTTGTCTTCGTGGGGTGCCGGTCCTTCGCTGTCTGAACCATCAACAGAGATGGGTCCCTCGCTGTCGGAGAAGGGCTCAGCATCTGACTCGTCCTCTGATTGGGGAGAGTCGGGGGCTTCAGGGACATTGGAGGACTCATAGTGAGTTTCCTGTAGGGAGGCTCTGATCGCTGCCTCCAGCTGGCTGTCTTCACTGGCATCAATAAGGCTCTCCTAGAACAAAAAAACAGGAAAGAGCAGCTGAAGAAAACAAATCAGAGTAAACATAGTTTAGTTGTGGCTGTGAAACACTTGAACTGATGAAGTGGTTATAATACATCAATCCACTATCCATATTTGAATCTCTTCAGCATAACACTGATGATCAAAGACAGAGTAATCTTAAATGAACTTGTGGAAACAGAACAGAGGGTGAGAACCAGAGGTGGCACAGGAAGTAGGAGACCCACAGAGCGAGCCCTTTTGGCGGGGGGTGCGTGGCAGGATGGCCCGTCCAGCTGCCCATGCTCTGCCAGAAAGCCGGTGGCTTGCTCAAGGAATGATGCCACATCCAGTTGGTTCCACTCTACCATTTTTTGACCTAAAGAGGAGAAGAAGAAGACAACAATCCTCATTCTTGTCAGGAGCCAAAAGCAACTCAGGCCTTTAAAATGTGGACACTAAAGTTTTATGGAACGCATGCTTGGTAAAGATAAGGTGGCACTACTTTCTCATACACACTCACCTGTGCGGGGATCAAGGATGGAAATGTAGGGAAACTTATTCAGCTTATAGAACTGGATATACCTTTGTCCCTCTTCACTATCGTGGTATACCTGCAAAGAAAAACACACTACAGTGATACACAGAAATGTTCCAACCAGATCGACCCAGGTGAACTTCCTTGAAATAAATATATATTTTCAGCATCTTAAAACACTGCTTTCATCACTAATTACAACCTGCTGTTGTTTTTGCACAAGTGCAAGGAAACTGTGAAGATATGCGGCTCTCTCCAGAGCTCAACAAAGGGTGAGTAGCTTTAGGACCACCATCTCTGAGTTGTGCGCTCAGCACATTTACTCTGCTGAAGTCTATTATATAAGAACCATGCGTAGTAAAAAGTTGATGGCATACCTGCCAGAATATGAAGTGTTCTCTGATGATGTTCTTCACTGCATCGTTACTCCACACATCCCTGTTCAGACACTGACACGCAAAGTCCTGAACATTCTGAATGTTGATCATAAGCCACTTGTTCTCAAGCTGCCCACAGTCCTTAGCCTAAAAGGGACAAAACAGGAGTCAGAGGTGAGTCACAGTCCCACACTGGACTCCATCTTTTACTGTTTAATGAAAAGATTAAGATGATAAGCAATAAAAAGAAAAATTAACAGTAAATAAAATAAATAAGAAATTAATTTAGCGATATTGTTAAAATTTCTTAAAATGAGCAAAGTGCTCTTAACATAGAAAGTAAAAATGTAAACATGGAATATGCTGTTTTTGTAATAAAGCTATGGCTCAAGTGAACTCCAATCAGTGTGTTCCCATTTTTATTAAATATAAAAAACAGCCTGGCATTTGCTTGTATACTATGAAGAGTGTTGCATTTTTCCCTTGTTTCACGCATAAATTTGAACGGTTTATTCAAACTGAATCATGTCGTGGTGAAAAGTATCCAGTCAGTTATTCACCGTCTCAAAGCTGCCTTTGTGCATGAGCTCAATAGGAGGACGGAAAAGGTCTGCCAGAGTGCTAAGTTTCTTGTCCACCGTTCCACCGTTCCGTAGCTCCTGTTCCTGGCGGACTGGTAAAAAACAAAGTCAACACAACCAAACACAGACCTCATGGCTGACAGACCGTTGGAAAAAGCAACTTTTTCACAACCAGCTAATTTTTATTAGCTTGAGAAAATTAGACATACTCACTTGTTTCTGTTTGGAAGTCTCTGAAACCGTCAAATATTGATCGAGCAGGCCGTCTTCGCTTTGGCACTTTTGGTTTATGATAGGAACAAAGAAAAAGTTGCTTCAATCAGTTTTTACAGCAGCTCAATAAGAACCTTTCGGATGAGGTCGGACAAGTGAAAAAACACAAGAATACCTCCAAATAATGACTCTGGTTCCACTAGTATGTCTTGTTTCTGGGGAATGGGTGCTCGCACTTCACTGAGACAAAATGCAGCGCACATAAACTCATAAACAAAGTCATCAAAGGCACAACATACAATATCAAACATTCATGTTTGTAACTGGAAACATGTTACATCACCCTGGGCAACTCACTAAATAAAATGCATTTCTTTTTCAGAATCAAGTAGGGAAATAAGACTGGCATCAAGTATATGTAAAGAAATGTGCACTCACTCTGTTGGTGGAGCTCTGCTGCTTGACGGTGCTGAGCTGGAGCTGGAGCTGGTGCTGGTGCTGGGCTCCTCTGCTATACCTCCTCCATCCAAAAACATGGTCACTGCCATTTCCAGATTGTTGTTGCATGCTTCAAGCATATGTTTCCCTACACTTTCTGTGGCTCCTGGAAAAAGATTGGAGACAAAGCGACTGCTTTTCAGTATTATTGTAAACAGATATAAACTATGACTAACTGTAACAATAATGCTGATATTAGTATGCTCTGAGGTAGGAGGATTTAGGATTTAAATGTCATTTTGAAAAGTATTAGCCTGAATGGGTGAGTATGTGATCATTTACAATAATTCAGAAAATAGCATCAAATGATTTAAATATCGTCTACTGTACTGGCTATAAATGGTATTTTAAACAACTTTTTGTCTAAAAAGAATTTCAAAAATGTCCACGATATCACTTTAAAAACATTCAAACTGTATTTAAATAACTACATTTTGGTTTCTATAGTTTTCGGGAAAAGTGTTTAAGTACAAAAAGTAGGAAAAAAATCTAACTCAAACAAAATATTCTAAATCATTAAGTTATAATAGTTTTTCTTACTAAAATACCCAGCATTATCATTTGGTTTCCTGCCTCTTTAAAAAGGTCAGCAGAATTTCATATTCATTTTTAAATTTCAAATAATGATACACTTAAAGTAAACATTCTGATAAAGTTAGTTCCTGGTTGTTTAGAATACGCATTCGTTATATTTAAATGCTGATCGCATTATCATAATGTGCAACTACAATCTGACTCGTTAATCGGAGATATGCAATTAATTCTGCAAAGATTGTCAGATATTCATTTTATTTTCATATGACTTTAACATTGACAACAATGAGTTAAACTCCAGCGACCGATTAACTAATTAGGTGAAAAATGCAGCCAGTTTAATGGTCGCAAGGGCTTTGGGAAATAGGAAATGAAAATACCCACACGTAAAAAAAAAATCGAAAAAAAAAATCAAATGTTTTCAAATCCTACTTAATTACAATAAATGACTATATAAACCCATGATGGATGCAAAAACGCACAGCACGAGGATGAAGTGGGAGCTTTTTAAGGATTTAAACAATGTAACTCTGATACTACAAACTCTCTGGCTGTACTGCGCATGTCCGTTTCACTTTCCAACCCCGGCAGCCTCTGAGCAGCCCCCCAGTCATATTTTACGATAAATAACTTCAACTGACATACTCTCCATCGTGTCAAAGCGCCCATTAACTACTTTATAATTTTATGCTACTATCTGAGACAAAGACAATGTCTAATAAGGTCTGGTTCGACTCAGAGTCCGTGCGAAGATGACAGTAACACAACATGAAGCCTGGCTAGTGATGAAGAAGGGGAATGTTGTACAGCCGACGTCCATTCCACACTCCCAGAAACAAGACAAGCAAAAAGAGCACTAAACCCATCCTGGGGTAAAGAATGAATGTATTCTATAGGCATTTAAAAGAAAATAAAAAAACATTCCAGCAAGCGTGGGAGATAAAAACCAAAACAAGTGGCTTCAAAATCTCTTTCAGAGTCTTTGACCAGAGTTATGCTAGAAACTGGCTGTGCTTTTCCCCTCTGCAAAGCATTGACAGCGCAGGAGCAAGAGGAAGACCTACCGCCCATTTTCCTTACCTGCGGACTAAATCCATGTGCTCTCGGGGAAGAGAGATATTCCTGTATGAATATCTTAATCAACTCAGTAGTTCAACTGCTTAACAAAATGTTATTTTACCTGTTATTGCTGTGAATTGTTGTATTAACCCGTTCACCCCCGGAGCTGAGGTGTCTCCGAGCGCCGCCATCTTAACCGCCACAAACAACAACACAGAGGCGGCGCATGCGCTTCGAGTCTTTTTTCGCCACCGTATGGCGCGGCGCGAACCACATGCGTACCCACAAGTTAGTGCTGCATTGTGGGTAAAGTAGTCACCTTTTTTAAAATCCCCCGATCAACTCACGATAGGAAGCTTCATGCGATTTATTTGATAACTTGTTCAAGTTTATTAAAAATAATTATATATAAGCAATTCTTTAAAATGTAGCTGAAATTCAATTATATCCAACATGTAAAGCAGTCACATTTCACTTATTGTCACATTTCACTTATTTGTGGTGGTGGCTACAAAAAGTTAGAAAAAAGCTTACGTGTTTTGGGCAATTTTTTTAAATGTGATGCCTTATGGGAGGGTATGTAGCTTTCTGGACACGTTCAGACTTACTGTTTGACACAGACACAAGGAATCGTGCTATAAACATTAAAATATTTTTGACTATAGTGCATACATCTCATTATACAACTTTCATCAGTGCATGTGATGGTGCAGGGTAAAATTAGTACAAACTATATACAAAAATATAACAATCAAACCTATTAAGTAAATTTCCCTGAATAGAATTGTGCACCTTTACTGTTTGCTTAGATTCTGAAATTTTGAGTTTCTATTCAAATTACTAGGGAGATTTACCAACAAATGCAATGAGGCGGTTAATTGATAAATATTGTCCTTATGTAGATTGAATCACATATAAAACAGGAACTAGAAACAAAAAATAAAAGACTATCAACTCTAATCAAAAAATGTAATCAGTATAATTCAGTAATTAAAATGATTAATCCCGAACCAATCAGTCATGCCATGTAACCAACTAAACACCACACAGATTCAGATTATTCTTTAAGAGTAGTTTTATTGTTATCTGTTGTCGGCATAATACATTCAGTTTGAAAACAGCATCAACCAAGTCCAAACCCTATAGACTCAGTTCTGACAGGGAGCTGAAAGTAGTTTGTGGAGATGCTCTTCAACTTCGAAGATATTTTATTAGCTTAATTCTCACACAAATCCATTGTGTTTCCTGGCATAAATGAATGACACTATACAAAGGGAGGATGGTGATGGCACTGACTCGCTACCACATGAGATGTCCATTCACAAATACACAACTTGACACTTCAAATCTCACTGGCTAAAGGCTGATTGATTTCAGTTGATCTGAAGGTGATAATAATTGTTTCAATGACATTTGTAACAGAAATACATAATCTTTTTCTATGAGCTCATAACTCAGTTACAGATGATTATTGATAACGTCCCAAAAACTGAGATGAGAACATTTAAAAGGGAAAATAGTTATAAAAAAACACCTAATCTACAATATAAACCAGATCTGAAATTACTTACTTTTATTTGACTGGAAAGCAATACCTAACTATTAATTTAGGGCACTTTGATTGTTAAAAGGCCAGTGATATCTAAAAATCTTATCATATTATAATGACCAGAAATTAGCATGTAGTTTAGCACTAAATCATCTGAATTAATTAAACTTCAATGTTTCTTAATGGTATTCATTCATATGTGACCTTTCAGACCTGAGATGGGGAATATTTTTTATACAAAAGATACATTTTTTTAAATTAGTAGCAACATGGCGCAAGCTATGCGCATTCAGGGAATATTTACAGGAAACTTTCCGAGAATTCATGTGATGGTTAACTCACTTTTGATCAAAGCTATATTGTGGCACCTCCTCAAGATATATATATATATATATATATATTTTTTTTTTTGGAGCAGGTGCCACAATATTGCTTGGATCAAACAGTGATGAATTAAGATGATGAAGTGCCCTGGTCTTTAAGCGCTTCCAAAATCCAAATGTGCTTGAAATTGTCTGAAAAAATGAAGTATCTTATCTTACATTAGTAAACACTTTGTGAGAATAGTAAAGACATTAGAATATAAATTCTATTCAAATGCAATCTACATCTTACTGTTACCTGTTCACATAAAGTTTATAAACATATTTCTAGAGAGAGTAACGGCTGTAATCAGTGATGTATATAATGTATTAAAAAAAAGACTACCACTGATTACAAAACCACCTTTATGAACACAGATGATTTTACATTCTGATTTATTTTACTGCAGAGGTCACTCTTGTTAATCAGCAAAGGAATCTAGGAGCTGCAAAACATTTAGATAAGGAATAGATAGGGCGGCTCTACACCAAGATACACCCTAAGTCTTAATTATGCTAGTTGGTGTGTGTGGTCTATCAGCTGTGGAGTTAATTTTATGAGCTGCTTCAAATCAAAATGGCTTTAAGGCTTTACTGAAGTATATTTCATTGTCAGGTTTGATTCCTGGAACAGCACAGTTTAAAAACGTATTGAAGCCAAACCGAGGAAAAAAAACAACTATGTAGTAAAGTGTGCATGTATCTATATATGGTTAAGTGGCTTCCTTTTTCATGTTGCCTTTGATAAGATTGTTTATTGTTCATTATATAGCTTATGATAACAGCATCTATCCTACCAACAACAGTTAAAAGAAAGTCCCTACAATAGTGAGAATGCCACATTTTTCCTACAACATGGCATGAGTGCAAGTTCAATAATACGGTCATAGACTTATTCCCGATTTCCCAGACGGGTGCTGAATGATGGAGGATTCAAGGTGTATCCCTCAAACAAAAAAAGAAACAAAGTGCAAATGAAAAATAAAGATATGAGTGTAGGGTAGTTTTTCATTTTCACAGTTCCACCTTAATAAATCAAAGTTTCCACGCAACAGTATAGATCAAGGTTTGAATGAGTGCATACATGCATATATGTTGTTATGAGAGCCAGGGGGAGTTTGTGTTGGAATGTATATTGTGTATGGAGTGACTACATTTGATATGGTGAGGCTGATGTGTTTTAGAAGGTGTATTTGTAGGCAGGGCAGGCAGGGAGGTGAGAGGGAACACTATGAGGTTGGCAGGTGGACCATACACTGCAGCTCAGAAGCGAATGAAGGTAGCGTCGATCTGGCGAACGCTCGGCAACGCCAGCATGATCTTTCTTCGGTACTGCGGATCTTTCTGTAGGGGGTTTCTCTCCAGATAGACCGTCTCCAGAGTCTTGGCGTTCTTCAGCTCGTCAAGATCTGACCAGTTGTCAATTTGATTATCGTTCATCTGAGGAAGAATTCAAAGAATAAAATGGGAATAAAGCTTTTCCTTCATTTGGATTTCTCAATATTCACTACTAACGATTCCCTAGGACCAAATAAACTTGACTCAAACTGTTCTTTGGTGAGGGGAAAAAAACAAATTTGGTTAGTAAAATAAGTGTTATGAAGCTTTACCCAGCAAGCTTCCTCTGACTAACATCCCCAAGTCCCTTTTTTTTGCACTAAAAGGCTGATAACACTGAACTGTTTGATAACACATTATCAATTAAATTTCAAAGCAAGACATTATCAGTTACAAAACAGAAACAACACTGTATCAGTGCGTGTCCTTGGCCAGGGGAAAACAATCATCCATACCCAAAACTCCTGCAGCTCTGTCAAATGGTTGATATTTTCGATTTTCTTCACTCGATTAGCAGCGATGTCCAGTGTGGTAAGTTTTTTCTGTGAACAGAAAACAAACCAAAAAAAAAAAAAGTTTAAGGGTTCACAATAAACTCTATTGTTACATATTTGAACCACTAGTTTTTAGAGGTTTGAAAATCTCACATTATTTTCCAGGCCCTCAATGACCTCAATGCCATTGTGGCTCAGGTAGAGCTCTTTCAGGTTGACAAGATTCTGCAGCCCCTCAATTTTAGTAATCCTGTTACTCTGTGAAGAAATGTACATACAATTACAAACTGCTGTTTTAACACGCACTAATCATTTTCCAAGTGAAATGTGTGAGGATACCTGGATGCTTAAAACACTCAGGTTGTGTAAACTATCCAGATTCTGGAGCTTCGTTATTTTATTGGTACCAAGAAACAAACTTTGCAGAGATGAAAGTCCATCCAGGTTCTCAATGACCTGTTGACAGACAGAGTAGTAAGCTGGGGTCAACAGAGTCATTCTGTACACATCTGTGATAATCCACTTTTTGCCTCACCCTGATGCGATTAGAGCCCAGCTCCAGCATCTCCAGAACTGAGAGGTGGTCCACGTTGGCAATTGCACTAATTTTGTTGTGAAGCAGAAAAAGCTTCTTCAGCCGTGTCAACTGCTCCAAATTTTCCACCTTCCTCAAAACGTTGAACGACACATCGAGCTGCCTGTGGGTTCATCAGAAGCAAAAATAAATAAACTGCAAAGTGCTAACTCTAATGCAGCCGCTTGGGGGACACTTACTCTAAATCTGTGAGGCTGTGAAGGTTCTCCAGTTTGCGTATCTGATTGTCATAGAGATCTAGTTCCTGCAGTGAACTCAAACTGTCAAGGTTTTCTATCTTTTTGATTAGGTTTTGTCGTAAGGAGAGTGTCTGGATAAACAAAGAAATGAAGACAAGGTTAATAACTTATCCATTCTCTCAGATATGAAAAAAAAAGCAAACGCATGTTAGAAAACACATGCTGTCTTACCACTTTAGACATAAAAATGAAAAGACCAAAATCTTTATTACTTCACTTTACAAGCTAACAACAGCGATACAGAGTGAAGGTACTTACTTTGGCCTTTTGTAGCACCTCAAGTCCTTCAATTTTTCCAATACGACAATGAACAAGATCAACATCCTGGGAAGAAAAAAATAAAACATTGAGGAAACAGTGACAAGAGGTACAAGGAGCATTTTGTTTGTTATGCACTTGCATGCGAGTTGTTGTAAAGAAATAACAAAAAGGTCTTGATTTGCAAACTCTACCCATTTAAATACCACTAAAAGTGCACATTAAAACTATCCAATACAGATGAAGGAATGACAAATAATAAAAGCGCCTTTTAACCTCTTCTTCTGGATCCAAGGTTATAGTGTCCATGTCAACAGGGGACTCTTCTTTACCTAAAAGGGAAGAAAGATCAGGCAGCTTTAAGAAAAAGTATTTTATTTGAAAAAAAAAAAAAAAAAGACAGAAGAACAGTATTTTTAAAAACTCACTCTAAAAGGTCCACATCATTCTACATGAGAAAGTTGCTTTCAGTGGGACTGAGGGAGAGATAACGATGGCTTACTTGTGGTGGAGGGCTGATTGGGGTCAACATCGCCATTGATGCTCTTCCTCCTGATGTCATCATCACCAGACTCCTCGGACTCGCCCCTTCGGTCCACTATAATCAGCAAACAGAAGCTCAGTTACACGATTCGGTGCCTGGGGGTGCTTATTCTTTACTGTAACTTTTAGACATCGCGCATGTAATATGATGCGGTGGCTACACCACCTCACTCACTGGGAAGATATAAGCATGTCAGCAAAACGAGCACAGCAAATAATTCGCGATACAGCGCAAAAAGGGCACTTGTCACTATTGGTATCGGGGAATGTCAACAATACTAAGCTCCATTTCCAGTCTTGCTAGTTTTCCCAACTGGGGTTTACTTCTTTACACCCATACAAACACAGACACACACACTACTAACCATGCTAAGGGGCTAGGTAGCTAACTGAATCACAATGAGAGCATGACCACCATATTTGAAGCGTGTTTAAGGGACGCACAAACGGTACAAAAACAACAGCAACAACAACAATTTTCCACGACATTAAACAGGGCGCTTGTGCTTATCACAAACACTGAATGACTAGACGTTAAATGGATAACGCCTGCTAACGTCTTGTTGTTAGCCTGTTAGCTTAAGCAATGATGAGGGTCTAGTCACTAGAGGAAAAAGAGCCACCGAGGGCGCTACTATGAAACGTGACAACCGCATCTTGTTTACTAGGTTGACAAAATGATCCTACGCCTGCTGATTTGCACATTTATGCACTCACCCTCCATATCTTGAAGCTCTCCAACAGACTGAGAAGCCATGTTTCCTATAAACACTCCTGACAACTGCTCAGCCAATCCGGTGGAGGGTTGCTCTGTCGTGACACGGAGGGGCGCTGTGGCCACGCGCACAGAAGCCCTGGGTTGGATGGGAGTTTTAGAAATGACAGTGTCCTGTTTTGTTGAGAGAAGTGACATGTATAAATTCACATGGAGCACATGAAACTGGAATGAATGACTTTGTTTAAAATGCACCACAATTTCTACGCATCCATTGGCTGTACCTGGAACACCCCAGTGGAACTGCTCTTATGTTGCAGTAAAGTTTATTCTCATGACAATATAGATGCATTTTGACTTAATTTAATTCAGAGGCAGGTCGAGGCCAATCCAAGACCATTATGATATGTCTGACTTGTTTCAGAGGAACTGTTTTGCGTATTTTTCACTAGCCTCAGATTGGTGATTTTAAACGATTTGTCAATTATTGATAGTACTTTACCTTGAGTTTAGCTACAAGACTAATGTGGCTAAATTCACAATATAAATATCTATATATTAAAACTATTTTGAAGAGAAAACGCTCTAATATATTGCCGGCTCCTCTTTCATCCCACATCTTTTAAGGTAATCCGCCTACCTATCAACTTTATGCAAGACAAGAGGAAAGTCGGTTTGCTCTGATACTGCTGCCAGCACAATATGACTACAATGAGATATTGGAACATATTCTGTACACTCATCTTTAAATGAGTGGCGTTTTTCTACTGATTTTTTTCATCCCATAATCCCCTTTGTATTCAGTCGTATGACTTCTTTTCACTATGATGCTCAAGTTTGTTAGCAAATGGTTGATACAATTTTTTTTTTTAAAGTTGACTATAATGAGAATGATGATTCAAATGTTAATGTTAACAAAATCTTAACTCCACATAAATATGTATAAATCAAAACACACTATGATAGTGTCAAAGGAGTCAAGCCACCTGGTCTTTTCACAATGCAAAACCACTTTCTGCCATGATTGCAAAGTGGATGAAGAATGCAGAGCCACTGGACTGGCCTGCTTGAAGTCTTGACCTGTCCCCCAAAGGAGAATTTCTACATAAAAAGCCAACTGTGCTTTTACATACTTTGAGTGTTTGCAGGTAGGACAGGACAAAGTAAGCTTTAACCATTTCATTGCTGGGATCCTCAATGACAAAACATATTTAAATAATAAACTCCCAAGCTCTATTGTATTCCAGTTTCTTCCATAACTGAAAGTTGGTTTCCTCCTTAAAAATATTCACTGCACTCTGACAGCAGAATGTTTAGCTAATCGCTTCCCATCTGCAAACCTAATTTTACAGAATTGCATTACACTCATGACTCAACTGTCATATGAAGATTCGATGACAACACCACCACGGTGAGCCCGATTCTTTAGTTGGAAGCCTGAGAATAAACCAGAGCAGAACAAGAGTACATTATTAAATCTATTGGTCACAGGCAAAATATATCAGCGCCGGGCTCTCACTGACAAATTTCGCGGAGGATTTCAGTTGGCAAAAGCCCCGAAATCTGGGTGTGATGGACATTCATCTTCTGGGCTGGGCCTGCCCCGTACAATAGGAAGATTGGATGCAACCAAGCATTATTGGCCATTTAGCTCTGACATAAACAGGCCAGCTCCTAATTCATGCAGATTCCATTAGAATGGGATAAGAAAGTGTGTGTGTGGATGTTGAACTTGAATATGTGTATCTACTGTAACAGAGAGAGAAAGCGAATCTGTGGGCACACCCAGAGAGTTTAACACAAGAGTATAGCTCTAAAAGGAATAAGACAATCAGTCATTTACATGGATAATGTTATAGCATACTATGCTAAAGTGAGTAACTATAGCCCATATCTAACACCAACAATAAAAATATGCATTACAACATCATAACATGAGCTGTGCAGTTTCTGTACAGAGTTTTGTGTGTGTGTGTGTGTGTGTGTGTGTGCGTGTGTGTGTGTGTGTGTGTGTGCCAGCGTGGGCTCATGTTTACAACAACAGTCAAAGTCATGCATATTTGTGATTCTCAGTTGTCTCTAAATGAGGGAGAATGCTGTCGGTGTCCACTCTGTGTTGGACTTCTGTCCCTGGTGAAGCTAATTATCTGAGATAAAGCACATTATACACAGTTGTTACTGCAGTTACAGATACAGCAGAAACTGGCTCAAAATTGATAATCTGCATGCCCATGAATCACATTCCTGGTAACATAAGGGGTATTATTTCTTAAGTAAGGAAAAGATATGATAACAAAATGAATGAATGGTATAATTCATACTTGACCTGTATGTTACAGGTACTGACATGGAGAAAGAGATTAACATAACACATTTTTAGTATTATTAGACTTGTAATAAACAACAGATTCAGTCAGCCGACACCACATTAGCCTAACTGGGTCACTGGCTAAATATTTTCAAGAGTCAAACTGCACATAATCATTGACAGTGACATTTACAAATTAACTCCTCTGAAAAAGCTTATTAACAGAAAACAGATTGTATATTTGTGTAGAAAAACTAAAGCACAACAAAAAGGCAGCTCCAAGTGTTGGAAAATATGCATTTGCCACTGCATTTTTGAGGTAGTTTAGTAGGAATCAAACAAATATTGGGGAAAAAAGCATGATTTCTAGTCTGAAACTAGATTGAACAAAGACCTGATGGGGAATAAAAGATTTTTTGGAAGTGTCTTGGCTTCAAAGAAGGAAGACGCCCAATCAAACGTTAAAAATAGAACTGATAGTATCACATTGTGGCTAAACCGGGCTAAACTATGTGGCTGCAAAGTGTTTCGCATTGTTGTGTGTGAGGAGGCCACTTACAAAATGCAGACAACACGGTGTTAATATAAAATAATTAAAGCACTTTTATCAATGATTTTGGCCAAACAATTAGAACTCCCAACCTTCGAATAGATACAGTTTAGCTAAATTTCTAAGCTAGAATGGATATAATTATCTGTACTTAAAAAATATTATGTTGCCACATCCATTTTTAAATTGTAGTACAGTACATCTATAAAATAGCAGCTCAAGCATTGCACTGTAAACTTATTTTGCCGCTTGTAGTCGTGCCTTTGACCCAAACCTGGATCGGGGAACGCTTCTTGCCAGCTTACAGGACACTGCTGCCATGGTTACAGCACCGAGTTGATTGGACTTCTCTAACCTTTGGGGAAAACCTGTTTTCTCAGCCTGGTGGCGCAGCCAATCAGAGGCTGCATGAGCGGACACTTCAAATCCATACTTTAAAGTGGAAGTGCATAATGCACTGCCCCTCGATGACATCCTGTCTTTGTTAAAGGGCTGTCCGCTCTATGTTTAAATGGCTTAAAGCAGGCTTGACTTTTATCTGACTTCTTCATTTTGCGGTGGCGTTCGGTTTGTAACTCCAGCCGAGAGATGTATCTTCGAGGTTTTGTGTTGTCGCTGTGCTTTCACTTGTCGCAGGCGGTCCCTCTTCCTGTCGGTAAGTTTACATTTTTAAATGCATTTTTAAAAATCTTTTCTTTTTAATTTTCTTTTAAAGAGCCCCAGGTTGAGAATAGAGTGCAAGCTGTAAAGTGGGATGAAGCAAATGTTTTATGCACGTTCATCGTAAACGTTACCCAGAAACCAAACGTACACTCTTGATGTACGCTGCCTAGAAGTGAATGCAAAGTATCTTAAGGGGTTGGTTTGTAATCTCATCTCATCAACATCTGCACGACTTCATTTTTGACAGGGCAGTTTGTTGCTGCGCACAAATTTAGAGCGATAAAAAGCGTCTTTGATGAGTTCAGCGCCAGGGAGGGGTTGTTTATACTCTGACGTCGAGATTTTATGATGCGTATTTTTTTTAAGGAGTGAAACCAAAAGCTCTGGTTAGCAGTTGAGTTGGACCTAGTTGGGGCTAGAGCCATGTACATTTAACTACAGAAGAATGTTAACCAGTAAATATCAGGGTGAAGCCATCTGACAGGACAATGTAAACAGAAGCTGTCCAGAGAAAAATGTCCTCTGTGGGTCTGTAAACCTGGATAGTATCAAGGTGTACTGCTACAAAGCATTCTAAAGTTTGTTTATGCCAGTATTTTTTTTTCAAAAACTGATTATAAATGCATTGCTTGAGTTTGCCTTTTTCTGTCCAACATCTATCCGCATTTTTTAAGTTAAAAAATAACATAACACTGCAATGCAGCAGCTTTTGCTTTTGGTTTCATTTTTTTCACCTCAAAAGGAAAAGTTAAAAACAACAGAGCTATTAGTCATTCTGCAGAGCACGCAGTTGTAAAGCTGTGGCTGATTCATGGTTTTTCTGCCCCCTTAGATGCAATCATAATTCAGATCCAGCAGTGGGGAGAGGTTGGAGCTCAGCATGTCGCAAGCAAGGTTCTTCTCAATGGAGTTACTTTTACAAGCTCAGACCAGCAAGTCAACAGCATCATCCGAACCATGTCAGCTGGCGCACGTCTGCCTGCAAGTGTTGGCGTCAGCCCAATTCCAGCTCTGAGTAAGACTTAGACAGTACAATGAACGATAGTTCAACTCCGATCCATTCTCAATCTCTTTTTCTTTTCTCCAATTCTCTCAATAGAGGAGCACACCATCCTTCGCTCTCGGGACTGCATACTGGAGGGGCCTCAGCTGCACTGGACCGACCGTGTGTTGTATGACGGTGAGGTGTATCTGACCCTGGCTCCCAATGACACGTGGACTGCTCATTTGCCCCAAGCGATGGCCCTCAAACAGCTTTGGGACCAGGACGTGGAGCACACGAGGACAGAGAAGACCCTCCTGCAGAAAGGATGTGTCCAGCTGATGAGAGAACTCCGGCTTTCTGAAGAACATTCAGGTGTGCCATCTTCTCCTGGGTATTTGTAGATGATTTTGAAGGAGGTGCCATGTGACTGCAGTGATGCAGTGATACAATGTGTGTTTTTTAAAGGACTTGTTCTGTTGACAGACACCCACAAGGTTACAAGTGCCTGTTTTCTTTACTCTGCAGCTCCTGGAAATCTTTTGCCACGGTTTCTGATTCCAATCTTGGCAGTCGTGATTTATGCTGGACTGATTGCTGTCAGTATTCTTATCTCCAAAAATAAAGGTAAGAATATGTGCATAAGGAATAGTGTTGTATGATCTGTTCTCTCACCTCAAAAGTACACTTTCTGATACAGATTTAGTTTTCTTTGCACGGTTCTGTGTTGTTTTACAGTTAACTGCATGGAATGTTAATCTTTACCTGTGACTCTGTTACGTGCACAATTTGCAACTTAACTTGGCATTTTGTGAAAACATGCCTTGTCACATGATCATTAATACTGTAGCTCAAACTGAATGTAAACCAGGATCATGTGATTTCTGTTTTTTCCAACTCTTTAGGTTCAGTGCTGCCTGGAGGTAAGAGGACAACAGCTTCTTTATTTCACTGTCGTTTGTAGACACTTCTCAGCTGACATTCGTAGAAGACTGATAAGGGAGTTAAATATTAAATAAAATTCTCATGTCATAACATTTTTTTTTATTTTAAGGTGTTTTGCTCATGGCAAGTCATGCGCTTTTGACTTGCCGTGCACTATGTGACCAGCTTGGTCAGCAGTTTACTCATGAAACGCAGCATTAATATTACAAATCCTCACAAATTGTGTGATTCATTTGTAGTTTGATTGTTTTACCTGTGCAGTTAACCTATTTTGTAATAATTGTTGTGATGATTGTATTTTTGCTTTCTCTTCTTTTTTAGGTGTCATCGGCTCAGTTATACATTACCCCAAAGACATGAAAGGCATGGAACCAGAGAGAAAAGGCAATGGTTACCGTACCTTGTAATCCAAAGTCATCTTAATTACATGAAAATGCTCACCGGCAGTTGTCATTTATTGCTGAAACTTCACATGATGTGGTTAATGTTGTACTAAGAATGTCATGCATTTACATATGCAAGAATTTAGATGAAGGAATAACCACTATCTGAAATAATGTAAACTTGTCTTGTTCAACATTTTGATACCTCTAATATCTTTAGTAGCATACTGTGATATCTGTGCTTTAGCACGCACAGTAGTTGTTCACACAGTAACAGACAGTTTGCCTTCACAGATACTGTTGTATTAATGTATTTCTGCTTGCACTGTCCCTTTCAAGTCGTACAATGTGAAAATGTTTAGGGGAAGATATGACATGTGTCACGCTGTCTCATGTTTCCTCTTTTTCTGGGTCATCTCCCTACATTACAGGTTTTAGATGCCTATGTTTTTGATAATGTCTTGAAAATCTGTAATTTCCAGACTCAAAAAAATGAACGTTTGAAAGTGTTTCTTCCAAAATTCCAAATGCGCAAAGACGTCTAATTTCCTTATATAGTCTGATATTATCTGAACATGTGTGTTATGGATGAAACCAAATTATTTTGTATTATGCTATACATTTTTTCTGTGGACACACGTTGTCCATTTTCAAAAGCACTTGACCCCACACTTTTTGCTGTAACTACTGATGTTCATATCCAAAATGTCAACTCCCTCCATTGGGTTTTTATTTATTTAAACAAATTGTGAAATATTGAACTGGACAAGTATCTATGTACAGTCAATATTCAAGAAGCCATCTATACGGTTATAATCTGTCATTCGTCCCCAAAATGCTGATTCATGTGTAAAAGTCATTAAAAGTTAATATAAGAAATGTTAATCATTTACAGAAGCCTCTGTTTTTAGTGCTTTTGAGTTAAGTTAGTTATTCTTGACACTAACAGTGAGAAGAATTTGACATTACCTAGCAGTCAAGTTTACATGGATGTTTCAGATTACCTGGATATTGTATTTCTTATGTTAACACAGAACAAAAAACAACGTATAGTATCTCATTAAGGAAGACTGTACAGTGAACACCAGAACACAATTACATATTCCCTTGTTTTCAAAACTAAATGTCATGTTTAGTAGGTCTTAGTGTTATCATAATCATCATCATCATCATCACCATTTTCGTTCATATATTTTTCACATGAGCAATAGTTTGTGTTCTGTGAAATAGTTTGCCGATTCATTTGTTCAAAGAGTTCAGTTTATTTGGTTATGAAATCCACCATCCTTACAAGGTTAAATCAGATTTTCAGTCAAATTGATCAAAATGAAATTAGATGTTCCACACTCTTAATGAAAAGAGCAAATAAATAGATTTATTGGCTTGATTTATGGTTAAATCATAGTATTTCAAGAGTGTTGAGTGTTGAGCTTTACACACACTTGCTCTATAGGCAATTGACAATAAGTCCAGCTCCGTTTTCATATGCCATCTTGTAAAAATAATATATTCTGTACATACATATAAAGCTGAAATCCCCTGATTTATGACACCTATGTTCCCACTTTTTGATTATTTTAATAGATTTAATTTAATCGGATCTTATCTTTGAGATTCTTCTATTTTTTCCTGTATATTTGTTTATTTTTTCATATATGTTTATTTACACTAAGGCTTGTTTCAGCATGCCGCTGTAACAAATGAACTTATTTAACTGTGGGATTAAAAAAGGACTTCTATTTACTTAAATTCTGTTTAATTTGACACAGACACATCACAGACGTAGTGCAATCTCTGAGCAGTAGGTGGCGATAGATAGAGTTAACAGAGTTCTTAAATTATTTCAGGAAATGACGTCACCATACTTCACCAATCAGAGCAACGCATTTACAAACGTTCCCATAGCAATACTTCGTTCTAACTGTAGCTTCTTGAACGAACCAATCATAGAAGCGCTTGACGGCATTTAAATTGTGTGTCGTCACTTGTACCAAATTCAAAATTTAGAGGAAGACTACGGAGGAAAACGAGTGATTCTCCCTTGTGTACCACGCTTTCTCGGAGAGGTGAGCTCATTATGTTGATTTAGATGTTACAGACGTGAAACTTTATATTCAGTTACCTTTAAAACTCGTATCGCTCATTTGAACGGTGCATTGGTACGATTAGTTGTGTGACTCTTCCGTGCCTCCATGTTTTTTCAGAAGAGTAGGTTTATTTTAAAACTACGTTGTAAGATTGGCGCGATAGGGCCCTCATTTTCAAATAACTCGAGCATTATTGGATTATAAGAAATAAATTAGCTTGTGCACAGAAGGCCAAAGGAACTGTGTTGACTTCTAATAGCAGTGTAAACACATTTTAGCATTAACTCGCAAAGTCAAACCTAAAACTAATGTCTAGGAAAACAAATGTCAGTCCATTTTGTTCGCTTTAATTGTCCAGATCTACGAAAACGGGGGTACGATGGCGCACTTTGGATTTGAGAGCGACATCCACAGTATTTTGAAGCTGGACATGCCCATCACAAACGCTCCCATGGCCAGGTGGCAGCGAAAGGCCAGCTCATCCAACCCACCCACCGTGAGCGGTTTGTCACCCGGAAAATCTGCCAATGCTTCGCTTAGTTCATCAAAAACGCCGAGTAAAACTCCAGGTAATGTTCCCTCGTATGCCTTTGCGTACCATCAAAACTTAGACGAAAGCTCTGTGAAGATGTTGTTCTAATAATTTCCCTTGTTTTTTTTAAAAGGGAAAAACAAAAAAACGCCCTCGAAAATGGGTGGCGATCGCTTCATTCCAATTAGAAACAGCAAACAAATGGATGTGGCAAATTTCCTTTTAACAAAAGAGAATGAACCTGTTGACGCAAACGCAGCTGGACCTTCAGTGAGTTATATGGTGCATTTACTCATTTTCCCCCACCAATCTCTTGCCCACTTTCTTTTTCTGAGTATAATCTGTATTTACAGGAAAGTCAGAAAGCTTGGTCTGTGTCACTGAATGGCTACAACATTGAGGATGCAAAGATTCTCCATCTTACAGGAAAACCACTTAATGCACCAGAAGGTAATGTTTGATCAACAGTTGTCAAAAGAAACTTTTTAATCTTTTGTTTTTCTTGTTCATGTTTTCCTTCTCATGCCCATTGTTGTCCTGATTTCTCAGGTTATCAAAACAATTTGAAAGTCCTGTACAGTCAGGGAACAACCCCCGCTTCTGTGAAAAAGACCCGATACATATCTTCAACGCCTGACAGAATTTTGGATGCCCCTGATCTTAGAAATGATTTTTGTAAGTTGACTCTTGATCCCACTTTGTTGAATTTCATTGTATAGGATGCTGGAAAATTATAAAGTATATAGATGTTTTAAAATATTTTATTTAAAACAACCTGCTAAAATTGACACCAGTCCACTTAAGTGTCTTTAATGAATTCTAGTCTCCTAATGGTCTTTTTGTTTTGTTCTCCAGATTTAAATCTGCTTGACTGGAGTAGTCGGAATGTTCTTGCTGTGGCACTTCACAACAGCGTGTACCTGTGGGATGCCACCCAAGGAGACATTACTCTGCTCATGAAGCTGGAGCGTGAGGAGGATTACATCTGCTCACTGTCCTGGACTAAAGAAGGAAGCTATCTAGCTGTTGGCGCCAGTGACGGCAAAGTTCAGGTAAATGTGGTGATGAGCCTACCACATTTCACATGTGTATTCAGACACTGACAAAATATAGTGTGTGTGTGTGGTGTCTTAAATGTCTGACCCTTATGTTTCTATAGTTGTGGGATGTTGAAAATCAGAAGCGCTTGCGCAGCATGGCTAGCCACACAGCTAGAGTTGGAAGTCTGAGTTGGAATGACCATATTCTCTCCAGGTACAATTAATATGATTCCAGAGTGAAACCTTCTTAAATGCTGCTTAAAAACTTCTGAAATGTACTTAAAAAAATTTTAAACGATGTTTCCCCTTCCAGTGGCTCCAGATCAGGACACATTCACCACCATGATGTCAGGGTGGCAGATCATCACATTTCCACACTTATTGCTCACTCACAAGAGGTGTGTGGCCTTAAGTGGTCCCCTGACGGACGATACCTGGCCAGTGGAGGGAATGACAATTTGGTGTGTTTATGGCCCAGAGTGCAGGAGGGTGGTGCTGGCGACAGTCAGTTGATCCGCTGCTGGAGTGAACATCAGGGAGCTGTTAAGGTGGGATTTTAATTTCAGCAACAAAATGTCAGTTTTATCCAGACTTGATCTCATTCTGTCAATAGCATGCTGATGCGTTTCTGCCACGGAAGTTAAAGTGATGTGTGTTCTTTCAGGCTTTGGCCTGGTGTCCTTGGCAGCCAAATGTTCTTGCTTCTGGAGGTGGCACTAGTGACCGTCACATTCGCATTTGGAATGTCAACAGCGGCTCATGTATCAGTTCATTAGACACTCAATCCCAGGTAACCACAGCTCTATATCCCATATTCTTATCTAGAAATAGCCTTGGATGTTTTTTTTCTTTTTTCTAAAACTGTTTGTTTAAACTTTAAACCTTTCAGATCTCGTCACTGGTATTTGCACCCAACTATAAGGAGCTGGTTTCCGCCCATGGATATGCCCATAACAATGTGGCTATCTGGAAGTACCCGTCTCTTACCAAAGTCGCAGAGCTCAATGGTAAGAAATCAAATCTTGACATGGTTTGGATTAGATAAAGTGGACAGCTTAGAGTAACTTAGTGAGAGATTTTACAGTATAAACACAAATGTGTCATTTTTATTTCCCTCTCTTGCTGATCATGTATTGTATATAAGGACGCCTCACAACAGCAATCAAAGGTCATAGATACAGAGACCAGAACTGTTGTGAGCTAATTTAGCTAATACCCTATAAAGTGATAAATGCCAAGTACATTTTCATTCAGATTTAAATGCACCCCCTATTGATGTAGTGTTATCTGACAATGAAACTGCTTTGACTTGATTAAGATGGACTGATGCACTCAATACCACAAATGAACCAAATGTAATGTATAAACCATTTCTGAAACCTGTGTATCTTAATGTTTTCTAGGCCATGAAGACAGAGTCCTCAACTTGATTCTGAGCCCAGACTTCTCCACTGTTGCCACTGTTGCTGGAGACGAAACGATCCGTCTGTGGAAAAGCTTTGAAATGGATCCAGTCAAGAAAAAGGCTAAAGAGCGGCTGGTCAAGTCAACTAGCGGTGTAATTCATCAGTCTATTAGATAACTTGTTTTACTTTGTTTATGGAGACTTAAGTGCAAATGTTTTATTAATCCACAATAAAGATTACTACAGATCTTCTTCCTGTTGGTGGCATAAAGGGTTGATGAGGTGGTATGGTTTGAAAATTTTATTTTCTCTTTTAAGATGATTTCACAATCTATAATGTATTGTCATGAATTGTATACATTAGAGTAGGTTACAAATAAATGGTTTTGTTACCACATCTGCTTATTTTTTTTTTGGAGGCTTATGAAATTTTTTTTAAATGACTTTGCACCCAATTCTCACATTCCCTATACCTTAAGTTTAACCAACATTTGTTGTTGTGCTGTAAGGGCTTAATTTAAGGTTTAGTCCAGATCCAAATGTGCTACCATTAGGACTATTTGACAACAGGTGTTAGGTTGATCTGGGAGATAAATGTGAAAACACTAGCATTTCGGTTTACCACTGAAAGAGATGGCTTTTTAAACTTTGTTTCTGAAAAAGCTTAAATTTTGTTAAATATTTCAGGAAGACAAGGGTGTCAAGTCAGTCCTTGAAATGCTGCAATGGTTTTAGGTGTTTTTACTGCATCAATGTGCTACTAACATGTTCAGACATTTTGATCCATTTAAAATTCTGGTATGTTGTAGCAGTGAAAAGTCTAAAACTTGCAGAACAGGCCCAAGAGGCCTAGAGCTGGACCCTCCAGCTGTAGGAAGCCTGAATCATGTTTTGTATTGAGTAAATGTAAATGTTTCATGTTAAACGTAGGCAAATATTCACATAATGCAGACCATTTTTCCCATTTAATTTCTAAACATACAGCAACAATGAAAACTGATGTGATTGTCAAGTTTATTGTCATTGATTTTAACAGCAATCTGCATAAATATTTTTAGTTTCTTGACCTTTGAGAAAACCGTTGGGGAAAAGAAGTGGGGTATCTTGGAAGAACATAAATTCCAAAAATGCATTACTGTAATATACAGTATACCATTTCTACTACTGTCAAAATACAGACATTTGACAAGCTCAGTATTCTTCATAACTGCTCTCCAAAATGACACAGACCTTTATCTAAAATGTTTTATTTCAATAGATAAATAAAATGAAGGGAAAAAAACTATTTCACATTTACAATCAAAACCTATTTTAGGGGAGACATTAACTTCATTACAATTATTTACATGTACTAGTCTTCAATAGAAACAGTGCCATATTCCCTCAACAAAGATCATGCCAGCCAAAGATTGCTGGAGGTCAAGCCTGAGTTAAACACTACTTTCTGTGATAAAATGAGTTCAAATTCTCAGTGTTCACAGTAATACAACATTTTACAATATTGCAATCAGAGATCAGTTGAAAAACAATAGGCCATTCATATCTCCTTGGTGTGAAAGTTTCACAGAAGACTAGACTTGCATACAAATTCTTCACCAAAGAAGAATAATCATGAGCTCTCTGACCATCAATCACATGAAGGATGGCATGTTCATGGCATTTTTATCATTAACTGTCTATGCCTCTACCCCATTTCAATATGAGAATGGGGTTAGTCACAAAGTTAGATGTTCTTTACTTTGCCCATGACGATATTTCCATTTGCATGTTTAGAGTTCCCATTTTCACAATGTTTACCATTTCTCATCACAGTCATGGATTCATTGGTTGAGCCATTCTGCTTTGGCTTTTGATTGGCGATAGGAAGTCTGTTTCCCTTTATGTAGGCCTGCACCCAAAAATTCGAAAAGAGGAAGAAGAAGAAGAAGCCATACATCCAGATCAGGTGAATCCACAAGGGGACCTGGTAGTCACACCTTTCCATGAAGTAATACTGGCTGATGTGGATGGAGACCAAAATAAACTGAATCTGTAAGACAAAAAGGAAAGCAATGAGTAACTTAAATGCCAACATTAACCCAGAGGCAGTCAAGAAACAAAGCTAAGGCAAACAAACCTACCAACTGGATGGCAGTCATGTACTTCTTCCACCACAGATACTTCTGGAAGCGAGGTCCTGCAGCAGAGAGGCCGTAGTACGAGTACATGATGACGTGCACGGTTGCGTTCACCATAGCATGGAAAGAGCCCATTCCACCAGCTGGAGGGAAAAGTACACAGAGGAATTTAATTTGGAAATGATATGCGCTTCACCAATGTGTGCATTTTAAAATGTAAATGTTCTTAATAGATAAATAAGTAAGTAAAAAGGCTCAAGTAAAAGGCTTACCCGGTGTCAGGGTGACGCCCCACCACCATGTCCAGGGCATGAAGGAGTGATGGAAGACGTGGAGAAATGTAATTTGACTTTGCTTCTTCCTCAGTACAAAGAATACCTTTCACACAAAGAAGGGAACATGCCAAAGTTAACACAAAACAATAAATTAATCAACAACGGGATGAAATATGAAAACAAAAAAAAGAAGAGAGATATCCTTACTGTGTCAAGGAGTTCGATGAATTTTGAAAAATAAAACAACCAAGCAACTCGAACCATCTGTGGGAAGAAGAGGGCATCAGTTCATTTTCTTTTTATTCCATCTTTTTTAAAAGATCAAATATTGATGTTCTGTCCTGACATTTCCCTCTGCAGCTGTTGGTTTCTTACCCTGAGAGCCTGTGGGCTGGTGGTGGTATCAACAAGATCACATCTCCAAGTGAAAGTGGTGGCCCATCCAGACATCATGAACTAGGTGTCAATGGCAAGAAAAGAAAGAAAAAAAACCCATCAGCTGTTAATCAAAGGACACTATTCAGATGGCTTAAATATGGTGAAACTGGAAAAACAGGACAAGCCTTTCTCTGAAATTAAAATCAGGCCAAATATATTAAGATGAAAAGGAGAGGTTCCAACCTTATCAAAGGCTTGTCAAGGAGGAAAGAGCTAATGATAAAGGGTCAGAAGCAGTCATTCTGTCCTGTGACATAGCCTTGACTACCAAGATTATAGATGGCCTAAAGGAAAACAGGACAAGCTGGAGTCACAGCTCCTGATATGGTGTCTATCAGAGGGGGGGATATCTAAACAGTAACAGCAAGTTATCTTAACCCAACACATGATGTACCTCTAAATGTTTATTTTCACCAACAATGATGATTTCTTCTTTTGTTTTATTCAACAAATCCCTTCTTTTACTTTCTTTTTTGTTAAGAAAAGTATATTCTTACCTCATAAACAATGAAGGCATTCAGTAAAACCATAGAAAGATTGTAGATGATCATGGCTCTGTTGAGGCCAAAAGGTTTGCGGTTTGCCATCAGGCGGGGTCCAGCATACACTGCGAAGGCAATGTAAGCCAGCAGGATGGTGGTCATTTGCACAGGGCTATGCATCAGAGGGTAGTCTCTCACTCTGGCATCTGGAAAATGCGAACACACACACACACACACACACCTTCATTACCTTATAAATACCTCCAGTCGTGTCTCTGGGTGGGACAACTCTAAGATGACCTCTCAGTTCAAGACAAAGCCTGATCTTCTACAGAATGTTTGCGCCATAGACTTTGTTAGATAAAAAAAAAACTTCACATTTTAACAAAGCATCTATCTATCTGATCTTTCAGAGGGAGGAGAGAGAGAAAACTCACCAGTTCTTGACTGTATGTAACCATGGAGTTTTACAACTCCTGAAACGGCTTCTCGCAGCATGATGAAGACTCGCCTTTTGTCCAACTAAAGACAAAAAATAGGAACAACAAAGTCAAGGAGAATTCAAACTCAAATATGATAAAGCAGACGTGAAACCGAGGTTGGCAGGCAACAAAGTGACCTGTACACCCGCTTCCCCACTGACTGAACAAACAGGAGACAGCTGCACAGGCTCATTAAACACCCCCTCAATGGCCATGGCTACCACCTTTTAAACAAATAAACTAGGAAAATGTGTACCATGGGCTCCTGATACAAGTCATGGTACTCATCTCAAAACAATTTACAGAAATTACCTGATGTTTTGTAAGGGATAGTGAAATATTTGGAGTGTCATTGTAATGATGAATCTCATTCCTGTTTCCAAGCTCACAAAGAGAGCAAGTTAAACAGGTGATGCAAAGGAGTTAAGCCACACGGCACATTCAACCAACTAAAAAAAAAAGAAGGCATGAGCTAGGATGTTGCTTCATTCTAATTCTTGCTATAGGAGTAACCAACAAAATCCCCTTGTCTATCCACAGTCCATTAAGCTTAAACACACCCAGCTTTTTAAAACAAGGTTTTACAGGAGAGGAAGCAGGTAAGATAACCCATTAGTTAACTCTTGTGGTTGAACTCACCCTCTGAACACACAATGTAAGTGGTCCTGTTGAAAGAAGCGCAAGTGTGGGCAGCACTGAGTCCAGAAGATCAGCAGACCAAGTGTGAGTGAGTGAGTGAGTGATCAGACGAAGAACAGATACACACACAGCAGGTGTCCGAGTGGTAGCCTCCAACTGCCTTCAGAAGGGAAGTGTTTTCATTACAGGTCCAGCCGGAGCGGGGAGTGTTGCGGATGACACCTTTGGAAAGCCTGTGACAGGTGAAAGTGGCAGGACTGCTGCGACAGCTTGGCTCATTCAACTCAATTTAAAGCTCACCGGTCTACTACAGACCTCATGAGTTTCAGGACCACACCCTGTTTCAGTGACAAGCTCCACCCTCCTGTCCTCACTCAGCCTGTTTGTGATTGGACTGTCCCATCCAGGGTGATAAAGGGGATGGGGTCAGAGATTTGGAAATAAAGATCCATAGTCTCATGTTTATCATAAATAGATAAGCACAAGAAAACTGAAAAAGAAAATGTGTGAAAGGTAAAACAAAATGTGGTGTCATATCAATGATACAACGAATAGTCAAAATAGAGTTGTTCCTCTGGACATATCCCTTACACACAATTTAGGTTAAAGGTAAAATCAGATATGACACATTCACCACCCATCTTGACGTTTGGCACGGCCCATCCCCTCTTGGGTTGTCTCTTAGAGGCTTGGTTCCTCTCAGACAGGCTCTCTGGTGCCTCAAGTTTTACCTGTTTCCCAAGCAAAGTGGGTGTGAGCGGAGCTCAAAATCTCCTGCTGAACACTGGACAGAGAGGTTGATTTGAGAGAATGACATCTATGCACAAAGGAGGAGCCAGGGATGGTGAAATCCTTGCTGTCTGTTTCCATATTGTTTATCATAGGGAGGCAGGGTCATGAAGTGCAAGCATACAAAATATGTTTGGATTTTATTGGAGAATCTAGTGCAAAGGTTCTAGTGCGAACATGCAGAAAATAAAGACTGAAAGATTGAAATTACGATAATTCCCGTGAAGATTAATTCAATCCTGCTGCTTCCCTTGACACAAGGGATAATGCTGTTAGTTTTTCAGAAAGTGTCACCATATCTGGACCAGTGGCTTGTTGGCCATTTAAAGGTGCAGCTTTCTTTCTTATGCATGAAGGTGACTATTTAACATATCAGTTTCACTCATTCACTAAGAGGGTTTAGAGGATTGCAGTTGCTGATATGGGCTATGTTAATCTCAAGAACTTCCACCAAAACTTGCTACATTTATGTGTCTTCCAACATTATAGAGAGCCAAGACGCCAGAAAGTGGTTTCTTTGTGCACATGCTCATTCTCACACAGATGTCAAACAACCAGTCGACAAATCGCCACCAGCAGGAATGTGCAGAAAAGCAGCACGAGGACAATAAGCTGTTCTGCAGCCGTTACTCAGGGCCACGTTATTTAGCGATGCTGGTCTAACCAAGTCAACAATAACAATGTTAGCGTCACAGGGCCATCTTTTTCCCCCTGTCAACACAACGCTCTGCTTATTATTTTCTGGTCTTGTGACTGTTTATTTCAACATATAGATTTTTGCAACTGCAGCATTTGTCTCACCAACGTTCAACACAAAACAGTGTGACATTCAGCCCAAACAGGGCACAGAGAAAAAAACCCAACCCCGAGATAAACTGGTTGTTTTCAATTAGCCAACAGAGAAAAAGTTTAAAAAGAACAAATTTCTATCCGTGTAATGAAATGAGAAAGCTACTCATTCTAAAAGAGAATTATACATAATAAAACATTCATTTTATATGGTCACGTTAAGTCTTTGTAAGGATATACCAAACATGAATGGAAACATGTGTTTCTACTCATGTAAACTTAGGAGAGACCTGTTACTTAACATGACACACTCACATGGCCACCAGGAGTCATAAATTCCCTTCCAAGTGGCACAAGCATCTATGGAATGCTGCTCTGTTTGGGTTGCATAATGCAGTTTGATGTGAATGCTGCATCACTGCAGAATTTTCAATCAGCTTACATTTAAACTATCATGACGAGACTTTGCAAACGCTTTGCCACTTTTATATCAAGGTGCTGGAGAAATTTTGGAGAGAAGCGCTTGCATTTTAGAATCAGGAATTTAGAATTTTTTCATACATTGGTCTTATTATTTCAGATCAAATGAATAAAAAAATGAATCAGCCCTATCTCAAAACATTAACAGAGAAGTTTCCATGCATGTGGGGAAAATGTGGATTTACTGAGGGATTTATTGATCCCATCGTAACACTTACAAGTGCTATTTGATGCTGTGGCGCTTGACAACAGAGTCCTGCGCCACACCCAACTCCACCAGGTGCACAATTATTTAAGGGAATACCTTTTTAAGGATTACTTTTAATCACTAATCAAACCCGTCTTGGTAAGTTGTGCATGAAAGAGGATCCTTGGAAATGTAAAAAAAAGAAATACAGCATTTTCCACCCACTGACAACAACTCTTTAGCATTGTTTTGCCAATGTTCGATGTGAAAATATCCAATAACAAGACCCTTTATGGAAGCAGCATATGCCCATTAACTATCTGAAGTAATGTCCCGCATCTATTCTTGGTGCATTTAGTTGTCCCTCCCATTAAATCTGTCTTTAAAACCAGTCCACCAAGAGTCTCTTTGATCCATCCAAATGCAAAACCTTAATCCAGCATACCCCAAGTGAATACTTGACCCCCCAGGTGTATACCGCTTCTGGAATGAATGGATTCTGATTAGTGTCAAGCTTGTTATATTTTGTTCTTACTGTGTATTTTTCCACACTGTTAATGCCTAACAAGAAAACTATGGAATGTGGGGTGGGGATTTTTTGTAATTTCTGTTGTTTACCATCCGTTATCTTCCTTTCTATTGACCATTTTACCACAGACAATGAACTGGTGTAAGAATAATTAAATTAAATTAAGTCTTCGTCACTTTTAGCGGCACCCTCCCTATTTGCACAGTTACCAGCCACCTCAATAAATTCACTTTCAAGAATAAATGGTTGACTGTTTGTCAGCTTTGATAGTGGCATCGCTTTCATAATGTCCATGCATGCATGTGAAGAGCATCCATTCCAGTGAGTCCCCGGACCGGAGATGCAGGCCTGAATTAAGGACACTGAAGTTCAAAACACTAGAATTACACTAAATAGATCATTACCTCAAATGATATGAATAACAGCAGCACACTTAAAAGTAAACTTTAATATATATTTTTTGTTTAGTCTTATGTAATCTATCTAATTTTAGTTTCAGTTGTTTGTGCTTTATGTGCTTTTATTGTTCTACATCTGAGGAAAAGATGAACTCTATTACTACCCTGTATTGTCACCATTGTTGCCTCTAACAGAGTGTGGTAATTTGCTTCTATGTAGCTTATTGTTAGCTTGATGTTAACTGTAATGTATCTGCAGTGGAAGTCACTATGGCTAAAACCACGTGCTAAATGCACAGACATAACATAACGTAACAAAACAGCAGAGAGCAGCATGATCAAATAAATC